CCAAAAGAATGTATGTAAGGCAATAAATCAGAAGTTTGGGCGAAGGGTGGCAATATCCTTAACCTCTTCATTCCGTGAGGGACATAAGGTCGCAATCATACATCGCCACTGAGCTTTATCTCTTGCTTTTATTTGAGCTGCGTCCCGCCAGAGGCCCATTTCACACAGTTTAACTCATCACTATTAAAGGTATACAAAGGGTTATATTTATTTGCAACTGACACCTGGAAAACCCAAAATGATGCTGTCTGCATGTTCAAAATCTTCCACACTGTGAATTTGACACTCATCGCAACCTAAAAAAATTCGACCGACACTTATCTTGGCTGCTTTTCTCGTTTAACAGCATGTATGAATTTAATTAAAGAAAGAATCCGTTATCAAATATTCTGACTCTTTACACCAGATTTTGTCTAGCCTCCTTATTTAAATACGGAGATATCTCAACTTCTTGTCCACCTTCTATATACATGTATGATTTACTTGATTTCTGTCTTTCCTTTTTTTTCCCCAATATCTACCAAAGCTTATTTAAAGCATACATCAATGTGAACTCTATAAACATTCGCCGTAAAATACATGAACACAAACACGTACATCCCGGGTTTTAGAGAGGTATTTGGAAAGTTATTTGAAGTTATCTGTGTGTAATTCCTGCATTGATTTTTTTTTCATTTTAGTGATTTTAATTGGTAAATACAAACTTGTGCAACAATTTTTTGTCAAGCAGCCACGTAAGCTAGGTGCGTATGCAGTCTGCGGTCGGTAAGGTGGACAAGCGAGCGGGGTTTTTCATTTGGATTATCTACACAGGACGTGGCAGTGTGCCAGAAAATAATCGGTTATTTCTGATCTTTTCACGAGGTGGACATCTTGTAGAATTCCTTAAAACCCAACGTACGGGTTGCTACGTCTGGTCTACGGCCCAAAAAAGGGGAAAACGTGGGATTTCGTGCCTAAGGTGCACGCCCATCGTGCAACTTTTGGGAGGCGTAGACAGGACGTCGAAAATTTTTGACATCATCAACGGCCGCTGCGTGCAGTCTACGAAATCTCAAAAAATGAAGAGTACGACATGCGAACGTATAGCGTTCGCCTGTCGTGCGCCTGTCGTATGGAACACGTGAGGAACTTCTTTATTCCCACTGCGGTTGGGGGGCTACGGCGCGTGCGATGCACGTGGTTAAACCGTACGATAAATGTACTTATTTCTTTCTCACTCCGTGCTCACTCCGCACTTCCACGCGCCCACAGTGAGGACCTCACGGGCTTCGTGCATGTTGAGTGAGTAGTGGTCACGGACCATGCGTTTGAAAGGAGATGAATGCAAGATAAAGGATCATTTCAGCCTTGAATTTCAAGTTTGAAAAATGCCTTAAAAGACAACAAAGGGAAAGAGTGGGGAGGGGGACCGGGGACATGCCAGGCAAGCAGTGAGGCATCAAGGGGCATAAAAGAAAAAAGAGAGAGGTCCAAAAAAATCTCTCAACACACAAGACTCGCGTTCAAAGGACGAGCAGTAACCGTAGAAAGTCAGCAAGACTGCCCTACGTCCACTTGCGTTGCCCTTGCGTTGCCCATACTCATAGTACGGATGATGTACGTAATGCACGGTTTGTACTTTGCGCGCGAGACACGTTCGAAAGCCCGTCACGTGCAGCAGGTACTTCTGACGTGCGGAGGCTGTGCTTCTCACGTACTTTCCACGCACTTGCGCACACCTTGCAATCACCAATTACTTCCCTGCGATGTAGCTACGGCCCAGCCAGAAGAGAGGAACCTAAAAAACGAAGACCCAGAAGACGGCCTCAATCCACCTCTGGATCATGCGTGCAATATGGGATATACAAACTGTATAATGTGCTTTTCAAAGCCAAGCAATAGAACTTGACCTCCTCACTTTTGGCTGAATGGGGAACAAAAGGGGGGAGGGGTAACAAATTACAAAAAAAGACCTCGCTTTATGAAGACGGTCAGATTTTCTATTATAGAGAACCACGTTTGTTTTGAAAAATCCCAAATAACGGGTTTTGATTTTACATACTTTACAATACAGCAAAATGTAAAAATGATGGGAGATAGACAATGCCAAAGAAGCAAATAATATGTCAAGAGTGAAAGTTTTGTTATTTAAGGCTTGCTCATACCGTGTACTGCATTTGCTCGAACACTTCAATGCCCCGTATCATTAAAAGGATCCTGATGTGTATTCCGTGTTTGACCTTTAATAATTATTTCCAGTGGCTTTTAAAAGAAGTTTCCTTCTGATTCGTTATGAATAAAGTTAAAAGGTGGAAAAATGTTAGTTTATGCCTCTAGCTATTTTTATTATTATTATTATTTATTTATTATTTATTTTTTTATTTTTTGTGAATTTCAGCTTTTTCAATTAAATCCTCTGCTCAAATACAAGCCACGAAATCACCAAACAGATCATTTTACCAAGCCAACGTGTGTCTCTCAAAAAAAAAAACTATTTTCGAAATAGTTGATATCATTACCTGTAAGACCTACACTTCAAATTATTTTGTTCGGCTGATAAAAAAAACAGAATTTCCACCCTGTTATAAGGTTACATTGCACAAACTGTATTTTGCAATGTGAATGAGTTAGCGTGTGGTCGCGGTTTCTTTCCTGTGGTTATTGATGTCTGTTTTATTCGGTGGCTATGGGTTTTACACAAGGCAGTGGCCTAAGAGATAACAGTTTCGTCCTGGAATCCAGTCACCCATGCTTGGTTAGGTCAAAGACGCACTTAAAAGTTAAAAACATTAAAAGAGGATGGATTAAGAAACTAACGCTTATGCACGTGTGAAATAAGAATGAAAATGAATAAAACGTTACCGTCTGTATGTTTTGTGATTAGAAAACAAGGGTTAAAATGTAATGACACAAATAAAGATTCACATAGGTTTGCAAATGCCTAATATTGTGTTATTAAGAATATCTACTCATTTCTGTTATTGCATATTTAAGAGAAACTAGCATAAATTCTCATTAAGCATATATTTTTAATTTTTTTTTTCAAACCTTACGTTTTACGGGGTGAGTGCAGACAAGCTTTAAGTACTACTTTCTGACTCTCTAAGAGCGCATTCTGAACAAGATGATCCGCCGACTAAATATGGCTGACCCCACTTCAAACGCGATGGCGCTGATTCCCGTTGGTCTCCCCGCCTCCAAACGCGTCAATAAAGTGATCAGATCTCGGCTCAGAGGTTTAATTGCTAGGCCCCTGCAGCAACGGCGCGTGTGGAGGCGGGAAGACCATCATGGAATTAGCGGCAAACGCTTTTGAAGTGGGATCGGCCATAATTAATTTGTGGGATCAGTTAGTCCTCGGATCATCTGTTCTGAATGCGCCCTAAGTACTCTGTTACAATATGTTTAAAAGATTAGTCAGACCGTCAGAATGGCGTGAACGGAGCATATTCTTCGGAAAACATGCCCAACTAATTCATTCTGCAACCAAAGCGATGCTTGTGTCTTCTTTTCATGACCGTAGTTTCATGGTCACACAAAGAACGCAGAAAGGACTCCGTCCAGTGTAAAGGCCTCTCCCCCCCCCCCTCCCCCCCAAAAAAAACAGTTTCTTTTAATTTCAAAATAAATTATTTTAAGGCAAATAATTCCATCAACCGTTTTTCGACTGAGTCATTGTAACAGCATGTTGTAATCGGTGTTAAAACAAATTAATTTTTGTACCCCGCTTTTCAGTGTTCATTCGTGGTGCTTTCATCAGGGATATCTCAGGTTGAGGTTATAAATACGTCGCTAGCCTAATTCCATACGTTGCTTGAATATATTAAAGTACATGAATAGCTTTGTAAAGTCCCTATTGACACACATCATAAATATTCAATTTTGTCTTGAATGAAAAAAATGCCCTCAAATTATCGTTTTGTGCTTAAACCATTCATAACCTGATATTGATATTGATTTGATATACAGTGTACTGTACGAAAGTAGCTACTATGACACTCCTCAAGTTGGGTCTGCTGGGGGGAGGGGCATTAAAATGATAAATGAGGAAGTCTACCTGTGAAAGCAGCAGCAGGGGTTTAAATGATCGCTATCTCTGTTCCTTTCTCTTTGACAGCAACATAGTTAGTTTATTTCCTATTATTGTCAGGGCAAATCGTGCTGAGATATTCTGGATGCGTTGTAATCTTTTGATCTTATCATCTGGACATCCATGTAATACAGAATTACAATAGTCCAACCTGGAAGTTACCAATGAGTGTATAACAGTAGCCGCAGATGATTGATTCAGATATTTCCTTATGGTGCCAATATTCCGAATGTTGAATATACAAGACCTTGTGGTGCTGGAGATCTGTGTCCATTGAAAGTGTAGAATCAAAGTATACTCCTAAATTTGTGAGCAAGGCCCTTGTTGTGGGGTTGAGTAATGACTAAAAATTCTGTTTTTCCATCATTTATCTTCAATTTGTTTGTTCTGTTTAAAATCACCCTTTTTAATTCCTTCTAAATGTTTACTGCCATCAAATAATGAAAGCGACAAAGCACCATTGTGATGAATAATGTCACCAGGTGCATTTCGCTGAGCATTTGAAAGATCTAGCGACACATTTTATCGTCACGCTTTCTAGCGAAGGGAGAGAGAAAAAAGTCTGATATTTTTTATAGATACAATACGAGTCGCCGAGCTGTACGTGAAATATTACGAGTGTATTGGAGAACCGCAGGCGAGACAATACACGAGTAATTTTCACGTACAGCTCGGCGACGAGTGTTGTATCTTGCTTAAACCACGGCCTCTGATTGGCTACTACACTAGTAGTGCAACGGACCGTGGAACGCACACGTACATGACGTGCTTGTTTGTCGAATACAGCACGGCCGAGTCTTTTGTTCAACGCGCTAGCCGTGGTTTAATCAGGGGATCAAGAAATATATCTCCAAAATGGGAGATTCTCGAGGAGACCAGTAGCATTGGCCGGTCTGAAAATTCTGTCTGTGAAATGTGGAGACTAGCTTAGACTATCATACAAGGAATGGTACATGTATCTTACGTGCCTTAGAACTCCAGTGTGTGCAACAATAGGTGATTCAAAAAAGGTAAAAGGAGGTGTGTGTTTGTTTATGAGGGAGGAGGCGCGCCCCGGGTTTAATTTGTAACCATGACAATTGATTGCTTGATTGCTGCTGTCAAGCTTGAGTGATCGCAAAGTGCACACATGATACACTGTACAAAGTGTACACTCTTCTGGACTATTTTTTAAGCCCCCCCCCCCCCCCAAGCAATCAATTGTCATGGTTACAAATTAAACCCGGGGGGGCTTAAAAAATAGTCCAGAAGAGTGTACATTTTGTACAGTGTATCATGTGTGCACTTTGCGATCACTCAAGCTTGACAGCAGCAATCAAGCAATCAATTGTCATGGTTACAAATTAAACGCAATTCCCATCCTTCAGAACAAAATCCGTCTATATTTCAAAATTGAAAACTGATCAGCTAAGTTTATCTTCACGAAAGAAGGATGTACAACTACAGCAAGCAACCAAGATTTTTGTGTGTGTTGTTGTGTCGCTCTTTTGGAGTGGTGGCCCTTACAATCTTCCGTAGTACATGTAGTTCAATGCTGCCCTTAACTACGACAGTAGTTCTATCAAGATTTCTGCTGTGCTGTTACATTTAACTGAAACCACTCGCTCCAGGTTCCAAATTCATGTCTTTTCATATATCGTTTCATTTATTGTTTCATTTTATCGTCAATTAATCCGAATGCAACATCAGATGTAAATAATCCATTATCCTCAACACTAACATTTCAAGAGAACCTGGTAGCGATCAGACTTTGATGGAGTTAATTTCTGAAGTTTAGGGAGGTTTGAGTTATATTTGGTCTCGAAGCAGAACATATGTTTTAGATTTCCGTGTCGCTACCGTCATCTGACGATTCCATGATACGAATTTACAATTTAGAAACTCCAACACGTAACGAATGACCAGTTGATTGTTTTCACATCTGTCTAAAAATCAAACTCTCGGCTGTTTAAAATCACCCTTTTTATATGTATACCAAAAGAAATATACACGTATACGCTGTTAACTTTTTGAACAGATTATATCTAGGTTAGTAATAAAAAAAATGCTGCGAACGACAGGAAATTTTTATGTCGTGTCAGTCTTCTTTATGCCGTGCCAGTCTTCATGCTGTGTACGTCATTTTGATATGACAAAAGATGCTTTATACGAAGTCCCCTGGGCAATCAACTTGGTTTGAATGCATGCACCATTACTTTTTGCATTTTTTTTTATCATGAACTGTAGACGGAAATTTTAAAATATTAATGACCTTTTGATTGAAAGCCCTTTGCATAACAAAAACCAAATAACGTAGCCTTGTTGAATAACACAGCTTCAGTAGATTATAGAGTATTAAAAAATAAAATAAAAAAGCAGAGTAGAGTATTTTAACAAAATAAAAAGCAGATGACTTAAATACTGCTTTCTAAAATAACGACCTCACTGACTCCAATCATGGACAAAATTTCTATCATTATTATGCACACGCTCCAATAAACAATCCTCCCCTCCCTCTGCCAGAATAGACTTATCGTCTTTGTTTGATCTGACTTAAAAACCGAGGGTGCCATTAATTGAACTGTTTTTAGGTCCGGCAGTAGTTTACTGTGAAAACTGATTTGAATGCATTAAGCACGCCAATAGGACAAAAGACTGACAGATATATTCCACGCAGCACAATCCACATGTAGTTTTGAAGTGTGCGTTGCGGAGCTCAGAGAGAGACAGAAAAAGAGAGAAACAGCACTACTCTGATTAATGAACAATACATAATTACCTGCAAAAAGCTTATTATATTAGCCAAGTGTAGTACAAGAACAGTGTAACTGTTGGATGCTTTATTTTCTGCGAGACAGTCCAAGAGTAGTAACGCTACATGATGTGGTGCCAGCAGATTCTGTTGGCCATGATTCTGGTCATTATGAAGCTCAAGACCAGCCTTGGGATGTCCTGTTTTGATAGCAGTCAGCATAGCAGTAATCAGGTTAGTTTCGCAGAATCTCAGGACCATTCCTTTTTATTTTTTCAAATTTGTGTGGATATCAATATAATGAATGTCAGTCGTGAACGTTTCATTTTTTTCAATATTTTAGAATGCCGCAGAGTTACATGCATTATAATAGTAATTCAATTCTTGAAACTTTTTATTTGACTTTTCAATATGTTACTGCTTAGGTTATGAAAATTAAAAAAAAAAAAAATTCCTAAACGATGCTCTTTGTTTCTTTCAGAGTTTCAGTCACCTCAATTGTTCGGTAACAGGTAAGCCATGTTCGATCTATTTACTTTACAGCCTGTCATTGGTGATAATGATGACATTGTTTATTGAGAATTTTTTACTCTGAAATGTTGAATACGGCAGCAGTAAATTAAACGCTTCATGTAGATCTATACGAACATTGTATATTGATTTTCTAATAAATGCTGTTGCATGATTAATCTGATAGCCATCAGCAACCATCATTTGCCGTTATCGCCTCTTAATGACTTTATTACTTTATTATTATTATTATTATTTTGACGTTTAGTTGTTACACAAGACAGTGAAACGTGTAAAGGTAATTGGTAAATGTAAAAAATATATAGGCCTATTTATATCTAAAACAAAAAAATGGGATATAATTTTCCAAAATAGAACGGCACGTATGGATTTGTAACTAGCTGCACTATGCACAAAATGCAAGGATAAATGTAAAATACGGAAATTCACTGCATGTCTCTACAGCGAGACATATTTAAATTTGGTGTTTTTAGTTTTTAGTATAGTGGTTATTTATTGTACCCGTTGACGTGATTCCAAATACCAAAAGCAACGCGTGTATTCAAGATGACGGGTTTGTTGGCTTTTAATTTGTCACGATATCAATTTTGGCACACGAACAATTGGAACTGTAGGTGGTCTTTTGTATTTTATGTTCAACATCTGCGGTCCTTGTTTTGTGTAACATTACCGCAATTAAAGTAAACACGGACTAAAAACACGTCTTCCTTTCAGCATTTGAGCTACATGTAAGACAGCGAAAAATTCACAAACATATAATTAACTAACAAATTTAAATCACGCTCCATCTTCTTTTAAGGCTAATGTCAAAAAGACGGGATTCTTTAAGAAATAAATATATGTATGCCACCTTATTTTGATACCAGCTGACCTGACCACCTGTCAGCTAAGAGGAGTAGGGAGTAGTGCTTTTGTAACTATGTGCTTAACAAAGGGATTCGCCTAGTATCAATTTACCTTCTCCTTTTCTCTTTTTTAAAAAGGAACCTGTTTTAAGCAGTGGCTTAAGCCAGGGAATGATATGAACCCTGGTTCTCCCACCAAACTCAAGGTGGCTCTAATGCTCCGGAACAACACAAACAAGAGGTCGTACCCTGGATTAGATATTAGGTGGCAGGCAGCAGACGACGGTAAGATTCCTTATATATATCATATATTACACCCTACCCGTGCCTTTTTTCTCTCAATTTGACCATAGTCGATAGGTACTTTTTATTTATTTTTTTTTTACAATTATCGTCATATACATAACTTTTTTTCCAGGTGGGAGGGGGGAGTAGCAATTTCTGTTATACTTCTGTATCACTGCAGAAATCATTTTTCCACCGGAGTACGTATTATGAGTATTTGTCTCTCTGCCAATAAGTATGTACCACTGCGGTAAGTATTAATTTAACAGCAAAGTTACTTCATGTCTGGGATTTTTTTAATTGGCACAGCAGTAAATGACTTTTGCCGCATATGCTGTGGGATAATGTGCTCGATGTCAGCATCTAAATGCATGCACTGAATAAAGTATACACAGCCTCGCAAGACGGCTCTTAACACAAACCAGGCGTTTTAACAAACATGTAGGAGGTGGTCGGATAATGCCTGAGTTTAAATCCAATTTATCAAAATAACACGATTCAGAGCTGGGCCTCTGAGGACATGTCTTTTGACAGCGCCCCTTGCAGAGTGAGGATGAGTTGAAAGTAGCTCCTAGAGTTTAAGAGGCCTTACGACTTCATTATGAGAAAACAAACGAGTGGTGAATACAGATGTCTACATCTGTATTCAGGTGTCTCGCCTACAGGTGTCTCGTCTACGTAATGTGAGATATATAGGTATTTGAGTCCAAAAGATGCCATTAGGTTCCCTAAAAAGGGCATTCCGAGTTCCTGGGTATCTGTATGCTGGGGACATCATGTGGGCCCCTGCAAAGGGCATTCCATGATAGATATGATTGAGGTTGTAGACAGGCCTACCCAACTACCAAACTCCCGAATTAACCGGTATATCGGACCACACTACCCGTTTTCAAGGTGTCTGTCAGATCGCATTTCGGAGTATCACACCTCAGAACAAAAATTTGTAGGACGACCGCGGTCTCATCCACGCTCTGCTGTCACCTTGATCGGATAGTAAACGATTGTCGTAAAATCGCTATATGATTTTAAAACCGGGTGCATAAATTTGAAAACCACTTAGAACAACCTTAGACTGCTACATTAATCTAATACAATGCAAAAAACCCCTATCAAAAGTGGTTAAAGCATTCAAACCGAGTATAATTATTTGCGCTGATATTCAGAAACTACACAGACCTAACCAATAATAGTATTGGAAAGTGTTACCCTTTGGGTCATCTTTCATCTCCGTGAATTTGGGATCAATCGGTGCATTTTCACGGGAGTAGCGGCCATAAGATACCGAAACTGAAAACTGTCTCTAATTCGGGAACCGTTAATGCTAGAGACCCATTCTTTTTGCATTTTGTAGAGCATGTCAAGCCCAACACTGGGGGTGGACTCCGTTTTTTTGTATTCCATACGGTTATGCTGTATCAAAAAGTACATTTTGGTGGTGAAAGCAAAATGTGCAGTACGGTAATGTATAATAAATTTTGAACCCCAGGAAAATAAAACATAAGGCTTGGCAAGGCAGACAACTTGTGGTCAAAAATGACATTATTTCATGAAATTTGAACATATGGAACTTCTGAGCACCTCCCATTTCAAGAATTTCAACCAAAATTGACCTTTTCTTTATTTTAATTAATTTTTTCTGTAGGAAATTTATGGCACATTATTGTAACTCCAAAATTGTAACATTTAGTCCCTTATATCTCCCAAACTGGCAGAGATAGGTCCATAGTTACTATTAAAGTTAAATAGGAAGTCACATACTGGCAATTTAACTGTGACCTTGAAATTGACCTTTGACCTACTTTTCACCATGAACTGAACTTTGCAAATATTCGTTCCCTTTTATCTCCAAAACTGGCAGAGATAGGTCCATAATTGCTATTGAAGTTGAATAGGAAGTCATATACTGGCAATCTAAGTGTGACCTTGAAATTGACCTTTGGCCTACTTTTCATCATGAATTGAACTTTGCAAATTTCCATTCCCTTTTATCTCCAAAACTGGCAGAGATAGGTCCATAGTTGCTATTGAACTTGAATAGGAAGTCATTAGAGGCAATTTACTGTGACCTTAAAATTGACCTTTGACCTACTTTTTACCATAAACCGAACTTTGCAAATTTTGGTTCCCTTTTTTTAATAAAATAAATAAAAACATTTATTTTAAGTATAAACTCCATATGAATATGTTCATTAGACATACATATAACAAGTATACAACTGGTCAAAACACGCTGTGTACACAATCTCGCCTCCCTGGGGAGGATACAGCCCCGCTGCCGTGTGAGGCGCTGAGTACTATCAAACTTACAATATCGTTCTCTGTCTGACCAGGACCCTGCTTCAACCCCAAAGTGCTGAGTGCCAAGCGGGGAGACAGCAGGTACCGTTTATAAAGGACTGGTATGTCCCCGGACGGGTTTTGAACCTACGTGCTCCCGCTCCGGAGGCGGACACTCTAACCACAAGGCCATCCGGTTTTTATCTCCAAAACTGGCAGAGATAAGTCCATAGTTACTATTGAACTTGAATAGGAAGTAATACACTGGCAATCTGTGATCTTGAAATTGACCTTTGACCTACTTTTAACCATGAACTGAACTTTGCACTATTTTCTGGCTTTTAAATCTGCAAAATTGGCAAAGAAATGCCCATGGTTACTATTGAACTTGAATAGAAATTCATATACTGTGATATTGAAATTGACCTTTGACCTACTTTTTCACCATGAACTGAGCTTTGCATATTTTCTTGCCCCTCATACTTCAAAACTAGCAGAGATGTGCCCGTTGTTGCCCCTAGGTTTTTCTCTTTTGTCAGCATATATGCACCACTGACAACACATTTCAAGGAAAACCAATAGGCCTTTTGTCTAGAGAATTAAAGGTGTGATTAGTGTTAGGAAAATGCAGGTCAATTCAAAAATCTGCTTGATTGTACCATTTTTAGTTATTTTATTTTATTTTTTTATTTATTAATTAGTTATTTATTTATTTATTTTTTTGCATATTTTGAGAACTCTTGTTGATTGCATTTTATAGAGCTTGTCAAGCACAAGACTGGTGGTGGTGTCCCTTTTTTTTTTTGGGGGGGGGGTGTTTCCATACGAATGCGCTTACTCCAGCTGGTGGTACAATATCCAGAGGCGGTATCGCCTCTCTGATCCTCTAGTTAATAATTCTATGGTATTTATAATCATGAGCCCCTTGGTGTCTCCTAATTTTTGTAGTGTCCATCCCCCCCTTATCTGTTTTATTTAGGAATCACAGCCTATTCTGTCTGGTTTTATTATTTTATGTATGTCAACACTGACATTCATTTTTCAGGAAGAAAATAGCACATTACCCCTTATTATGAAAAGATATGAAAGAATTTGGTGCCAAATGTAGTGTCTGTACCCCTACTGTAGTGTCCGTACCCCCAACCTATACATTAACGATTGGATAACTGGCTATGATGGCTCAATGATGATAAAACTTCAAAATATGGTACAAAATATTGTTCTAGATTGTACAAAATGCATTCATGTCCTATGATGTTTAGGAAAAACATTGTATATAAATGTATATTCGATAAAGTGATACTAATAAATAAGAGTCAGGCAAGACATTTTGAAAAAAAATAATATCAGTAAAGATGCTACTCTTTGCATTCAAAATGAACAATATTGCTTCCAATATATTGCCAAATATAGCTAATTGCAAAATAATAAATTGTATATGGATTAATATTCTATGGATTAATGTATATGGTATATTTTGAGGGGGCTACGGACACTACAATACATGCATAATTAACAGAGGTATATTTATAATACTCTCAGTGGATGAAGTATCAAACATGGATGACAATGAACAAAAGCCAAACAGGAAAAGAAAAGGGAAACCTGAAATTTTTACTGTCAGCAAAAAGAATTTGAAAAAAAAACGTCAAAGAGCTAATAGTCATGCTGAAGCACGTAAGGAAGATGCTGAATGCACGTAACATAACAGAGAAGCAAAAAATGAAGAATCATCCAAGGCTGGCCCAGCAGAAAAAAGACTAAAGATGAGAGAAGAAATTAGGACATACTGACAGAGAGTCAAGGAGAAGCAGAAACCCAACAATCCTGAAAACAGCAGAGCAAGAGGTGCAATTTACCGAGAGATGAAAAAGAAGAAAAGACTCGAAAAACAAGAATCAAGACTGAAACAAAAATCAATAAATAAATAAATAAATAAATAAATAAATAAATAAATAAAGACCAAGCAACAGAAAGAAAAGGTTTGAATTAAAGTCTGGTGAATGAAAGTAAAACTGAATGACACACAACCAAGCGCCAGCATCCACTGAAAAACGAGCTGTGGTGTTTCTCCAAAAAACATTTTGATTAATACATGTACTTGTATCCTTTTGGTTAAAGTACTGTTGTTAAATCTTTATTTTGATATTTTTAGAATGTTGGCAAAAATAACTGGTAAACAATATGTTATTTCAGTTACAAAAGCATCAGTTACTTGAATGTGAAGTGTCCGTACCCCCAAATCATAGCCTAAGAGGCGTTATGTTAATTTGAACGTAACACAAAAAATAATTGATATTGTGTTCTAAAATTGTTCGGTGTCATAGTTAAGATGTTATTCGTTTTATCTGTTACAAAATTAAACAAATGCATCAGAGTTCATTTCTCTTTCAATGTGACCCCTATTTTGTACCCCTGATTGTGAAACAGCCGCATAGGGGTGCCACTTGCGAAAAGCACAGTTTGGGCATGCCATGCAGAGCTTTCAGTTTGGCTAGTTTCATGGGCACAATTTGTTATATTGTACCAACCAGTGGTTAGAAGAAGACTCAACGAGTTAATCAGATGGCAAATTATAGGAAGCCATCGTGCTGGGGTGCCAGAGAGACAGATTGCAAGGCAACAGAGAGAAACTGCTAACAAAATGGCGCAAAGCCTCTTTCTGGCAAATCGAGATTAACCGACGCAAGAATTAGAAGACGTTTGGTTCGACTACGCCACCAGAACCGGATCATGTCGGCCAAACAACAGAGAAACATCTGGACTGAATTAGGAAGAGCTCGAGTCAGTAGGCACACATTCAACATGCATCTTTTAGAAGCTGAACTTCCATCTAAAAGATCTCGTAAAAAGCTACCGTCGACCAAAAGACACAGGCAGATAAGATTGGCATAAGCCAGATGCCGAGAAAGATGGAATCTCAGGACTGGGTGAAGGGTCCTGTGGACTGACGAGAGCAGATTCACTTGTATGTATGCAGATGGTGGGCTTGGAGCCTGTAGAGGTTCAAACCAAGCGTTTCATGAAGGTTGTGCTATTCCACGTGTTCAGGGGGGCGGAGTATCCATCATAGTATGGGTTTCTCATATGATGTGGTTTCTCATAATGATGTAGAATTGCCACTGTGCGTCATGCAAGGGAGATACACTGGTCAACGATACAGAGACGAAATGCCATTGGGGCGCATGCAATCACACATTCAAGCTAATCCAGGAAGATATATCATTTTGGTGTAGGACAATTTGCCCATCCATAAAGCACGGTCCGTGCAAATCGCGCAAACAGCATGATATTCCAAATTTAGATTGCCCTGGATATTCGCCAATTCTCAGTGTAATTGAACATGCTAAGGGTATGATTGACAGGGCAGTAAATGAGAAACAACTTCCAGTCGGAAACATAAGAAAGCTACAGCAGGCAGTAATTTAGGAATGGGACCGGCTCACAATGCAAGATTGACAGAATTTGGTGGCAAATTGCAATAGACACTGTGCAGCTGTTTTTCAAAACCAGGGAGGGCACCCCCAATATTTATTAGATAATAGACGATTAATCATCTATTATCTACAGTCTTCTTTTATTAATACTAATTCTTAGATGATTGAACTTTATTTTTTCATGATAATCTGTTTTAATCAGCAAGCACTTTTTGCTGGGTGAGCATACTTTTTAGACACACGGTTTGGCTTCTTTTGGTACCGTTTGGTTAATAAAGTTATTTTGATTACTACAATAAGCTATGTGGTGTATTTCATTAACAGAAATATTCAATTTGTATAGGTTATTTATAAAATATGAAAGAAAAATGCATAATTCCACTAACAAATGAAATCATGATCATGATAGATGAAACTTTTGAAAAATCTGGGTATTGCTTAACTTATGAGCATCAGTGTATTTGTATATCGTTATTTCTGCCTTACGCGATTCATGTTAGGAACACGAAACCTTCCGGACTGATAAACCTGTCATTGTGGATATGTCTGGGTCCTTCGGGAATTTAAGCATGATTTGGGGTGTGGCCGTCCCTGGGGGGGGGGGGGGTAATCCTATTTTTCACATTATTATTTCTGCTATCTACCCTTAATTGCATTCGCCAGTGAACCAAACAAAAATACATTGCCTATTCTATGTCATACGACAACCATAAAGAGTGATATTTTGGATCACCATGTTTTCCATATTATCGTCTGTAAAAGAGTTTACACGCCCCACAAAGGACCTTCATGTCAGTGCCTAGTAAAAAAAAAAATTCCGAAGTTCCGAGCCACATCGTAAATTATATTTTTATTAATCCCCTACGTATCAAGTACCTAACTCTTATTTTCTAGGAAATGACGTGAAATTGAGTGTGCATATAACCGCCCGCTCCATGGGCAGCCTGATCAAATTCAGTGTACTGAGTCGAGGCAACCCTGTCCCCATTCAAATTCAACCTTTTTAGTACTTCAAACCACTGCAGTGTCTTAGAAAAACCTGATTGCAAAATGCGTCCCGGTTGCAAAATGCGTTTTCACAATTTTCTTTGGTTGCAAAATGCGTTCAGTTGCAAAATTTCTATTAGCGGGAATCATTCATTGAAGCTTTGTACGTTTTTTCGTCGATAGTGATTATCTAGTGATAGTGATTTCGCAACTCCATTATCTATAATCAGTGAAATGATTTAACGTAACTCAATAATACCCTCTACCAGGATATTTTTGTGGATATTTTTGGCTGACATCAGACCAAAATGACAGCCTATTTATCTAGAATATATCTGTGAATAATTGTGAAAAACCAATCTGTCGACCTAGTAGAGGGTAACTCAATAATTTATATTCCACCACATTTCTTTTACGAAAGCATTTAACCATCGTGACAATATTTTTTCAGCATCATACCAGTATACCGAAGGATTTCGTATCCATGCACAGTATCTCTCCACGGGAGGAAGCGAGTGTAAAATTTTTAATATAGAGAAAGCTGGTTGGAGACAGGAGGATCAAATCAAGAAGGTAATCAATACATGGATTGGTAACTTTAAGGGAAAAGGGTTGGATGGTGAAGAATCGACTCAACGAGATGGACGTCAAGTCGTTTTATTATTTGTACCGGTACTTCCTTTCTGAAACTTTTATCTGTCAGATGACACGTAAAAAGGCTAAGCTTATTTTTAAATATGGTTTGGGTGATAACGTGGTCGCCCAGTTTTTATTTCATTATTATTCTATTCGTCATCGGCAAAATAAGTGCAATCTTCTATCCAAGATCACTCATGAAACGCCTCAGGCTCCGGAGCATGAAATTATCCCTAATTCAAAATCTACAGGGGATTTAATTTATTAAGTATGTAAAAAGTTACTCCTTAGCTTTACGGGGTTTGCAAAGAAAGCCGAATCTAGCAACCAGATAGTAAAAGGTAGAGAATGGTGGTTGTGGGGTTGTACGTTTTTATTAAATTTTCATTTCATGAAAACTATCCTTGATGAGAAGAGGAATTCATTTAACACAAAATATTACATTTTTTTAAAATTTCTTAGTGAACTATGTATATGTAAAAATAATTGAAAAACTAATATATTGTTATTTTGAAAAAATCCCAGCTAGTATTTATTTTAATGTGTATTTTGTTGACCATAGTACCAACTGCCAGTGTTTATAATTGCCGCCCCGGCTGCAGGAGGCAGCTATATGCTGGTCTTTTTTACTATTTCAGCCCACCTTCTTCTACCAAATATGGCCTCTTCCTCGAGGTGTCAATACAGTATTTGTGGAGGTCTGCAGCTTACCTCTGCCCATAAGGGCCGGTCATACCAGACCATGTGTCGCTACTTTTATTAGCGTACCAAGCTATCAATACGGTGCAGGTACAGTTGTAATCTCCTTTTTTGTATTTGTACTGTTCGTTAATTTTGGGCGTATTTGTTTCAAGCATAGAACTCTACTTCTATTGTTTCAAGAAAGCGTTATATCATATTACCACGTTCACTTTTAAAGAAGCTCGACGTACAGTATCTCCATATATAACATGTATTTATGTGAGAGAGATAGAGAGAGAGAGAGAATTACAGAGCTCTTATTTTCATATCTCTTGGATTGCAGACCCCAACGTCCCGGTGGCACCAGCAGATTGGCAAACTTCTATTAAGTTCCGTAACGATTCCTGTGGTAGTTTGGATGTCAACTTCGTCCTGGCCCCAAGTAACTATGGCTTTAAACTGTATGAAGTCAGCCTTGTAAACAAAGAGAAAACAAAGTTCGCTGACTCAGAGCTCGTGTACGCATCAGCTGGGAGAAAGGTACGTTTAAATAATTTTACTAAACAGACAATTGAGCTGGGGTGTTTATCAGTTCGGTATGCAGGCGTCTTATTTAATGTCACACACGAACTTTTATTACACGAGCATTAAGCCTGTAAGCAAGTAATCAGGCAAGAAATGGTAGTACAACGAACTAGAAAAACCGCTCAGCAAATTCGATTATCCATCCTGGGCTTTTATCCTACTGGGGAAATACCAGGGCAGATAAGTTGATGCTGATAGATTATTGTAAATATATGTCCAACAAAACTATGGATAATAGTCAGGGAGACGATTGCTAAAATTATATAGCATTAACAGTGACTGCAGGCACCTCCATATTTGCCAAAAGTGAACACTTACTTTGTATGTCAGCCGACTATATAAGAACGGGACATTTTTATTTGGACCATACACTCAGTCGTTATTTATTTTATTGTCAGTCTGGAGAAAGCCATTTACCGTACAACATCAAACTAACGCATATTATGTTTCACTTTTTTGTATGTCTAAGAGAACTTCTTATTTAATGAAACTACCGTACTGTGACTTTGCTCCACAAAACAAAATCAGTGTCATAAATATGTTGTCATATTTTAGTTGTTTCCCAACCAATCGAGTTAAGATGTGATATGCTTCGTATTTTTAGCCGACACACGATGTGTCATTCAAGGACGTTGCGAAAGGGCAGTATTATATCACGGTAATTACTAATTTACGGTATCAAAGCTGATTTGAGCAATGGTTTAGAGAATCATATAAAAAATCTATACAGAAACCCATGCATTCGCAATAAAAAATTTTTCTAACCTATACAGAGATGGATCTTAAAATGTACTTTCATACTTAAACCATTTTCCTGATAATGTTTGCGTTCATCCTGAGATACTCTTTTTAATGATTTATGACCTGTAGCATGTCATTCACAGGTCGAGCCCCGAGACTTGGACAGAGACCGCCAGCTGCGTGGACGGTGCAAGTGTAAGATTGCAGTTGGATTCTGTAAAAACCACTGTGCCGTCACACAGGCAGCAGTGCCTGTCACCATACAAGGTACGGTACGGTTGACATGTACAATGTTATATGTAGGTGCGGTATTTTGGTGCGGTGACGTCGGGTTGACGGCGGGGTGAATGGACCTGGTAGTTTCAGGGTGGTGGGGTACAGATGGACTGTCGGTGTGACAGGAATGGTAGTCCTAGATATGGAAGTCCGGGGCCCAATATGATTAGTACAGGTAAAGGTTAGTCGGAGGATTGGTGTTAGTACTCATATATGGGACGAATGTCACCTGCACAAAGTATTGGGGAGCGGACTACGGTTCCTTGCGGACTACCATTCCTGTCACACCGGTATGGGGTGTGATTGTAGTTAATTTTACGTGTACTTGAATGATAACATACATGTATGAATACAGACAAAGCTGCATTCATCACACACAGAATAAGAATGGTAAAATGCGTGATGTAAACACAGTATGTGCTTGGTGAAACGTAATTAATAGAATTCGTATAGAAGAAACAACTACCGGTACCTTTACTACGGTCTTGAATATTTCCCCAGTATGACAACTTTCCAATCAATCATTTAATTAACTACATATTGTTTTTGTACTTAAAAACAGTTAAAACTTTACCTTAAATATGTTACAGAATGTCCCGCTACGAGACCTTTGGGGAATAGGTCTATAGAGACCGTTGCGATTGCTTCCACACCTGCAGTGACCGCTCTGACTGCTTCCACATTTGGCGGACTATCGGGAATTCTGCTGATAGTTTTGGTTGTCGTCTGCTCAAGAATGAACTGTGAGAAAAATTCAAAACCCTTTTATAACAGACAAGCGCTTTAAATAATATGTTACGCTTCCACATGCAAATCGTTATGTTACAATATTTTTAGGACGCTTAATAAAATTTTGTCTGCCGTAAAGCACTAACAATGCACTTTTTCTCAATGATTTTTTAATCATTGGAAGTACATAAATGCCACGGCCCTACAATATGGTTGACAAAAGCCTGAAATTTGAAATGATCTTACACTCTTCCAGTGAGCTGGATGTAACTGGTCACTTCTCATCGCAAATTATTTGCGCATAAACTCGACTTAAACTAATAAAATATTTTTTCTTCTAGCACGACTTATCTTAAGATTTTTAAGCTGCAACCGAAGCAGTGATGGAGAAGACGGTACTAATAATTCAAATAGCATCCAGACTGAAGAACGTAAGTAAATTTACCTCACACGTTCTATGAAAATGATTATATCAACGAGCCAACTGAAATAAAACTTATTTCAGGAGGTGCGGACATGTGGCAAACAATGCTTTGTTTTCAGATACACGACAAAACCCACGTACCAAATAGTTTTACTATGTTTAAGTAGATATTACTTATTCATGAGCACGCCTACAGTAGTTTCTTGGTTGACAAAGCCAAAAAAAAACCAGAACGATGATCATTATATGTAAGATAACATGTGTATCGTTTTCATAATGTTAACGTTACTGGTCATCACTGACATTTGATATTTTCAGAGACCCTTATCAATGTTTCTCAAGTCGACGAGGACAGTGCGTTGACGAGAAAAAAGAGAGTATTGATCCTTTTCTCCGACGAGCATCCAAAACATACCAAGGTAGTGCTGAGTTTCGCTAACTTTTTGCAAGCTGCCTGCTACTGTGACGTCATTCTGGATAGGTGGCGCACCCGAGAAATATTTAGCGAGGGAAAGACGACCTGGTTATCCAAAAACATCGAAAATGCGGAATGTGTCCTTGTTGTCAGCTCTGAGGGAGCTTACAGGTATTATTTTCTTTACGTCAAAACGCTTCACAAAAAAAGCAAAAATAGTAACAAAATACAACATGCAGTTGCTTCGAAATGACATAAANTTTAATCATTGGAAGTACATAAATGCCACGGCCCTACAATATGGTTGACAAAAGCCTGACATTTGAAATGATCTTACACTCTTCCAGTGAGCTGGATGTAACTGGTCACTTCTCATCGCAAATTATTTGCACATAAACTCGACTTAAACTAATAAAATATTTTTTCTTCTAGCACGACTTATCTTAAGATTTTTAAGCTGCAACCGAGGCAGTGATGGAGAAGACGGTACTAATAATTCAAATAGCATCCAGACTGAAGAACGTAAGTAAATTATCCTCACACGTTCTATGAAAATGATTATATCAACGAGCCAACTGAAATAAAACTTATTTCAGGAGACGCGGACATGTAGCAAACAATGCTTTGTTTTCAGATACACGACAAAACCCACGTACCAAATATTTTTACTATGTTTAAGTAGATATTACTTATTCATGAGCACGCCTACAGTAGTTTCTTGGTTGACAAAGCCAAAAAAACCAGAACGATGATCATTATATGTAAGATAACATGTGTATCGTTTTCATAATGTTAACGTTACTGGTCATCACTGACATTTGATATTTTCAGAGACCCTTATCAATGTTTCTCAAGTCGACGAGGACAGTGCGTTGACGAGAAAAAAGAGAGTATTGATCCTTTTCTCCGACGAGCATCCAAAACATACCAAGGTAGTGCTGAGTTTCGCTAACTTTTTGCAAGCTGCCTGCTACTGTGACGTCATTCTGGATAGGTGGCGCACCCGAGAAATATTTAGCGAGGGAAAGACGACCTGGTTATCCAAAAACATCGAAAATGCGGAATGTGTCCTTGTTGTCAGCTCTGAGGGAGCTTACAGGTATTATTTTCTTTACGTCAAAACGCTTCACAAAAAAAGCAAAAATAGTAACAAAATACAACGTGCAGTTGCTTCGAAATGACATAAATCTTTTTCTAAAGATGTACTATTTGGATTTTTTAAAGTGGTTTTTCAATTTTTTAATTAATTGATAATGTGGCACGTCGTTTGTCATTTTTTTAAACTGTAATTACATGTAAATCAGAGGAAAATGGGAACGACATTAAACCGTAAAACCTGGACTTCAAACTAGCTGTATCCTGTTCAAAGTTTATAGTTAAGTTGCATTAACAAATATACATATTAACCGTCTTTAAAATGAAGGTTAGATTTGTGATAGAATTTCCCTTGGGAAGTTCCATACAGGTAAAGCACAGGTTTTATTATCATAAAGTGTCATAATGTGATTTTTTGTCCTTCAGACGATTCCATGCACGCCTCCAGGGACAGTGTTTTGACTCATTGGAAAATAATAGTCCCTTGTCAGACATGTTTTTACACGGCCTTTCTATGCTCCGCCAGCGGTATTTTACAGAGCACGACTACAGCAAGTATATCAACGTAAGATTTACCTACACCCCTGCTGCCTTCTCTATTCCCGACATGCACAACAATGTCGTACTCATGGACCATATTGATGATTTGTTCTTCCACATTCATGGCATTGAGAAATTCGATTACGGTGTAAAACGCACTGTAGAAAGAATAAACCGAGACGAATATTTTGCCGACCCTACAGAAAATCCTGAAGGAGTAAACCTCCACAACGCTTTACGAGAGGCAACGGATTTTTTCAATGACCACGAAGACTGGTTTGGTGATCAACAGTTTGAATTAAAACCACTGAGACGCGGTGCTCCTTATGGCCGTCTAGACTCGGGGATTGAATCATTTTCTATTGGAGAGGGCGAGGAATCAGCTGGTTTGTCTGTTAGCTTGAGTGGCAGCAGTGAATGTGACGACGCTTTTGTCTCAGCCCAAGACGATATATCTTCATCCAGAAGAGACCCGAAGGCAACTTCCAACGAGCAGTCATCGTGCGATAGGAACCAACTGCCACTGGTATGTTCTGCAGCAAAAACTTACAATACACCAAATTACACCGCTGTTGGCAACGTTTCATTCCCAGTATCTATACCTCTCCAGTCCCCACAAGATAGCTACAACCCGTGCGTTGATAATCATAAACCAGAACCACGTGTTTCCATTCCTTGCCAACACCCTCAGAAACTCATCCCGCCAGATTTATCTTTCACAGCTGACATTACACCCGATCCACCAATAATGTTCATTCCACCTGTATTTGACGACAATCAGAGTAAGACATTCAGTCAGATTGCCAATGACATCAATGCCGAGTGTGAAGGGGATTTTCTCACCTATGCTGGTCCGTATGAAAATGAAATGACGGATGAAGAAACGAATCATGAAGATTGCATCTCACTACAAAGCGTTGGTGGTGCAAGTGTTTAATGTTGTTTAAAGAAATTTGAATTCAATTGAAAGTGTGTCCATTATAAACTCCTTGGACTAAGACAATTTCGTTCAGTTATAGATAATCCTTCTTCTGTAAAACATTTTTTTAATATAACTCCCTGATGGGGATGAAGTATTTTGTTGTTCCGTTTTCATACGTAGAATCTCATGTCTTGTACATTTTTATTTGTTTTTCCTAGTTCGGAGAGTGTGATGTTTATTATTATTATTATTATTANCCTGGTTATCCAAAAACATCGAAAATGCGGAATGTGTCCTTGTTGTCAGCTCTGAGGGAGCTTACAGGTATTATTTTCTTTACGTCAAAACGCTTCACAAAAAAAGCAAAAATAGTAACAAAATACAACATGCAGTTGCTTCGAAATGACATAAATCTTTTTCTAAAGATGTACTATTTGGATTTTTTAAAGTGGTTTTTCAATTTTTTAATTAATTGATAATGTGGCACGTCGTTTGTCATTTTTTTAAACTGTAATTACATGTAAATCAGAGGAAAATGGGAACGACATTAAACCGTAAAACCTGGACTTCAAACTAGCTGTATCCTGTTCAAAGTTTATAGTTAAGTTGCATTAACAAATATACATATTAACCGTCTTTAAAATGAAGGTTAGATTTGTGATAGAATTTCCCTTGGGAAGTTCCATACAGGTAAAGCACAGGTTTTATTATCATAAAGTGTCATAATGTGATTTTTTGTCCTTCAGACGATTCCATGCACGCCTCCAGGGACAGTGTTTTGACTCATTGGAAAATAATAGTCCCTTGTCAGACATGTTTTTACACGGCCTTTCTATGCTCCGCCAGCGGTATTTTACAGAGCACGACTACAGCAAGTATATCAACGTAAGATTTACCTACACCCCTGCTGCCTTCTCTATTCCCGACATGCACAACAATGTCGTACTCATGGACCATATTGATGATTTGTTCTTCCACATTCATGGCATTGAGAAATTCGATTACGGTGTAAAACGCACTGTAGAAAGAATAAACCGAGACGAATATTTTGCCGACCCTACAGAAAATCCTGAAGGAGTAAACCTCCACAACGCTTTACGAGAGGCAACGGATTTTTTCAATGACCACGAAGACTGGTTTGGTGATCAACAGTTTGAATTAAAACCACTGAGACGCGGTGCTCCTTATGGCCGTCTAGACTCGGGGATTGAATCATTTTCTATTGGAGAGGGCGAGGAATCAGCTGGTTTGTCTGTTAGCTTGAGTGGCAGCAGTGAATGTGACGACGCTTTTGTCTCAGCCCAAGACGATATATCTTCATCCAGAAGAGACCCGAAGGCAACTTCCAACGAGCAGTCATCGTGCGATAGGAACCAACTGCCACTGGTATGTTCTGCAGCAAAAACTTACAATACACCAAATTACACCGCTGTTGGCAACGTTTCATTCCCAGTATTTATACCTCTCCAGTCCCCACAAGATAGCTACAACCCGTGCGTTGATAATCATAAACCAGAACCACGTGTTTCCATTCCTTGCCAACACCCCCAGAAACTCATCCCGCCAGATTTATCTTTCACAGCTGACATTACACCCGATCCACCAATAATGTTCATTCCACCTGTATTTGACGACAATCAGAGTAAGACATTCAGTCAGATTGCCAATGACATCAATGCCGAGTGTGAAGGGGATTTTCTCACCTATGCTGGTCCGTATGAAAATGAAATGACGGATGAAGAAACGAATCATGAAGATTGCATCTCACTACAAAGCGTTGGTGGTGCAAGTGTTTAATGTTGTTTAAAGAAATTTGAATTCAATTGAAAGTGTGTCCATTATAAAGAAATTTGAATTCAATTGAAAGTGTGTCCATTATAAACGTACCCCTTGGACTAAGACAATTTCGTTCAGTTATAGATAATCCTTCTTCTGTAAAACATTTTTTAATATAACTCCCTGATGGGGATGAAGTATTTTGTTGTTCCGTTTTCATACGTGGAATCTCATGTCTTGTACATCTTTATTTGTTTTTCCTAGTTCGGAGAGTGTGATGTTTATTATTATTATTATTATTAATAGTAGAAAAATATACGTCAAACTGTCAAAATGAGTAGTGTCTTTTTTTTTTCACCTACAAGCAGCTCAGGAAAGATCTCGCCTACTTTTCACAAACTTTCTAAACAATACAGTGCCGGTTCTGCCTCTCGGTGAGAAGAAAGTTGCTGCCTAACTGTTGTGTACCTAAAGCTCTCAAATCAACAAAGGTTGTGTAGCAACCCAAGCCATTAGTGCTTGGACGTTCATTCAGTAAGGTCGCGGTGACGATTTCATTAAAATATAATGTATTTAATCAACTTAAGTGGTCTGAGCTGAGTACTCTTATTTTTCAAATGGAATCGAAACAATTGACCCTTTGTTTATACACAAATAATTGCACCCATAAATTGACTAAAACCTTTTTTCCTGTAAAATCGATCATTTCTGAAAGTACAAATACATTTATTGTTCCACAAATTATGATTTTATTAGTAACCAAAGTTACCATACTTTGTTTGATGATAAATCTTGGAACCTAAAACGAGGATATCATTTATTATGTATATATATATGCACTAGGTACCTTTTATGAAGACGCGCCCATTTAAATTTGATCTAAAGGGCGGGTGGATTAAAAACCCTTGGTTTCCGTTAAAGATAGTATGCAATGAACTGAGGACGGGACACCACTATGTTGCCAGGTGATATTTTATTCTTCAGTCAAAATGAGATGTACGCGCGTGACATGTAGATTCTTCCTTAAGAGGCCATTTGCTTTGATCGCCCCTTTTTGCATTATCTTTTGGTAATATACCGAATGATGAATTTTCAAAATGCCTATTTAAGTAATCAGATTTATTTGTTATGCACCTCCTGATTTCCAGCCACGTGAGCTTCACATATCTAATTATTACGTCTGATTTTCATGGTGGCGGCTTGTAGCAAACACCCGATGTCACAGTTATTTCCTGTGATGGCTTTGGATTTCATTTTACTTTTTGTGTCCAATCTGTCATCAGTGTCAGTGTGATTGCAATCAGGATAATATCCAGTTAGATGGAAATAGGTGCACGATTTAAACCACCAGCCACCACCTGAAATATACACGAATATCAATAATAATGTAAATAACCACGGTGCACTGACGTAGCGTAAGGTCTGTAATGCGCATGTCGTTAATATATAAAGCAACTTGCGTTCTGAGTCGCACCATCTCTAAATTGTGTAATAGCTTTTATGTCAATACCCCCGCCAACATTTTTTTCAAATATACATCTTTGAAAATCAAATTTAAATTTGATATACATGAATGTTCACCACGTTTTTTCAATATATTAAGGAGAAGGCACAATTCCACGGTCAAAGAATTAACGGGCATGTTTATCACTGTGCCAGTCTGATTTCAATCAAAGTCTTCTTAGACCACTTATCCACAGTACTAATAATTTTGTGAAATAAATACTGCCTACCGTTTTGCTCAGCACAAGTTTTATTAGACACTGGAGAATAAGCATCCGTGTTGTCAAATGTTCCAAAATTACCTCCACGTATTTGCAGAAGGCCATCAGTATTTGTTGTGTTGTAGGACTCGATCGTTAGAGCGTTATCAACGGCGTACTTCATGAGTTCGCTTTTAACTTTAAACAGATTCCATTTGGCGTAATAATAATTGCCGTTGCAGGACAGCATATTAATCAGCAAAGAATAATCTCCCTGTTTCGTAATGGCATGAAGAGCTTCATTGCCCATCCAGAACTGTTGGCGGGGATCCCCAAAACCAAACTTATATTGACTCCAGTTTCTATTAAAGTCCGCTGTGCTGTCATATCTTCTCATCTCAACAAGCCATCCGTTGTCACAATACACCTCCTTTATTCCAAATCCTGTTATTTTGATAGTCGACACTCCTGCACCATCTAAAATAAAAGTGAGCAGCAAATTTTTTTGTCGTGCGTGCACGCAAAACGTCACCCAGGAGCATGTTTGCAAATTTGAATCGTTCAAATGTTGTCACATTATAAAACTATGTGACTGTATATTTAAAAATTAAGAATAAAAATGCATATGGATAAAGGTAAACATAATAACCCCAAGCGAAACTTCGAATAAAATTTCTACATAATGTTGCCCACACTTAACTTAGAGAAATGAGCAGCGTAAACAAAAAGTTACGATCGAACTTACATAGATCATTGCAATCCATCTCTTCCTAGATAAGTATAAAATGTTAAAATTTAATGTGAACATCATAAGGTAGTATCTATTCGATCAAAATGACAGATTGTAGACACTTTATTTTGAATCTTTCTATTTCTTTTCATAAACTTTTCGCCTTCTTATTTATTGATTTTTTTTTTTTTTTTTTTTTTTTGGTAAAACCTATGCTTCATTTAAGGAGACATTAAATGATATGGCTTATACTTCATTGTTGACGATGCTACATCAATAGTTAAAAAATAAACGCGATGCAAGTGTGTACTATTTACCTTGATATCCTGATAATATACACCACCGTGACTTACTAATAAGTCATTGCTGAGAGCTTTGTGGGAATTTAGTTCACAGTTTTCTGTAAAATCAACAGAACATACTATGTACTAACAACCATCACAAGTTTAAAGGGGAATTCTCCACCATGGTCTTATTAAAGTGGGGATGACACCTGAAGTTTTGGTCATAAGCGTTACTGACATTCTACAAAACATTAAAAATGACAAACCGTCTTATATGATTCTTACCAATGGTCCTGGTTTGATAGAAGTTCCAGGAACGGCATCCTTTCGTTTGAGAACATTGCAGTGTACAGCTAACAGGGCTCTGTGCTGTCACCTTTTTCAAAGCAGACGACGGGAAAATGGCGTCTTTGGTACCAACAAAGCGGGCGTACTTCACCTTCTGTTGCGTTGTGAGCTGTATTAGCAGTGTCATAAACAAGAACACTGGAAGAGGCATATGCAACCCCATGATGAGATCTACGTCACTTTAATGACAGTACGTGACAAACACAACAACACCTATGTTGTGTGTTAGGAGCTTAAAAAAGTGTTACTGATGTCAGCAGACTTTCCGTCGACTTTGAAAACAGTCGACGGAAAGACCCTTACAATATTTAACGCCAATATATAATAATAAAATAGTAGATTTGTCCAATACAAACCCTTTATCAATCATGCGAGATTTAATTAAATGATCCGCTGGATTTAGACATAAATATCTACCAATGTGTTTTGATTCATCGCTATGATCTGAAAACGTTAATATTGGATGAGCTACAAGTGTAAATGTCAATTCATTTAGTCATGACCACCGAAGATTTATCTATTACCCAAAAGAATACACGTAAGGCAGTAAATAAGGAGGTTGTGAGAGAATTTAAATTTATCTTGAATGCATATTGTATTCTAGGTAAAATACGCCGATCTATTTCTACAGCGCACCGTTCGACCACTGGTTGACTAACTGTGGTTTTATTAAATTAAAATTAACAATTCGGTCAATTACAGACTAGCGTTGTCTCACACACACACACACACACACACACACACACACACACACACACACACAAAAGACGATTCTTACACTTAGTTGCTGGGATTGTTACGTTGTGCGTGTTTTATGGGGAGGGGGAGAGGCCTGGGGTCTCAATTTTTGTATGGAGTATAAATTTTCATTTTATTGAATTTTCCCAAATAAAATTTTTAAAAAGTGACGTTTAAAAAACGATTTTGGCAACCAGAACCTAGTGTCTTTTTTCGAATTTTTTCTCGAAAAACGAACCAGGCAAATAGACACTAGTTTCCTTTTTAGATATCCTGTACTGTTGGTGTTATTCTCATAAATGACTTAATTTGTATTTATGCCAAATGAATTTGCATTATTATCGCCATTTTGTGGTGCTGAAGATTAAGCACGCACATGCACGTGCACACACAACCACACATACCAAAACAATCTGCTAAGCTACAGAATGCAGCAGAGAAGATCATTTTTGTTCCCCTCCAGATGGCGCTACAGAACAGTTTGGTTTGTCAAACCTGGCAAAAACTGCTCAGATTGCAGCACGCAGTAGACCATATAAAATAGCCAGTGACCTACGTAATGCCATTTTACTTTGGGGTGTGTAAGGGTCTGAAGCTTAATTTTATTAATTTATTCTAGTGCATTTTAAAATATGCAGGATAAAAGATCCCAGTGCATTACTATTTTAGTACATTGTTAATCAAATTATTTATTTCAAATTATGGTAATTGATAAATAGAAAAGGCGGTTTTTCCTGCCTCCTACCCCGATGGATCAGTTGAAACCTGGTAACCTCGGAAGAGATGTTACTTCTTCTTCAGTTCTGAGTGACCAGGATGTGTATGGGAGGCGGTCAAGATACCAAGTATATGGATATTTCAGTTTTAACCGATTCAACGAAACGTTCTAAGACAGTGGTATTAGGTATTTATCGATAACGTATCTTTGATGCATTTTAAAAAATGGGCTTGACGCCTGCATGTTTAAAACTGGATTTTGCCATCCACCGATATTTTCCCCACGTGATATTTTGTCCCCTCCATGCCATCGTTTATTTCATCACGTACTTCATGCTAAAAGTGAAAATTGCAAACTACATGGGTAAAATTAGTAGTGGCACAAAAGTTTTACATGTGAAACAGTCAAGATGGGGACAATTCTGTGGAATGGCTCTTTTAAAGTTTTGGCTGTTGAAATATAGTGAGTGTTTCTTATAAAATTATGTGTTATTATTATAGTACAGCGAAATAGTCACAATTAAAAATTAAAGAACAGGATAAAGGTTTAGTGATACACTTTGATCTCTAATTTTGGCATGTTTTCCCAAATAATACCATAAAATGTGATATTTTGAACCATTAAAGTATGTGACCTAGTGAATAGTTGCACTGCTTTCTACGTGACTGATTATGAAAGCAACCATTTTCAAGGCATAGGGGACGAATTGCTAGCGCAAATTTGCAAGTTATGTTTGAACGCAATTTTGATATTGCTCATTTATAGCTAATATCGATATCACGTTGTCTAATCAAAACGTTCTGTCCAAAGCAATTTGCCGTGATTTTTTTTCTTAAAATTTTAAAGCATTTTGTAAAAAAATCAAAACGCAGCATATTTAACACTGCGTAGTCATTAGTTACAACTGCGTAGTCATTAGTTACAAAACTTCTTTATTTCGCAAAGAATAAAAACCGCCCCTTATGCCTTTGAACATGTTTTACTATAATTCTAAGTCTGAGTTTGTCTCCGTGGCGTTTGTAAGACTATTTTCGTTATTATTAAGCAAGGCAGCAAGCTGTGATTTGACGTTTATTTCAATACTAATATAATTTCAATACTAATATAAAGAACGGAAACTTGTTTTTCTAGTCTACAAAGTCTCACAAAATGAAGCTCAATTTGACCTTTTCATGAGACGGCGAAAAGAAGTACCTTGAAAACTCAAATTTTGCACATTTGGTGATTTATATTATTTACTCACGTCCTTGAAAATGCTATGAAGAGAAATAAATCTTACTGAAGCAGTCTTGTTATTGATCTTACAAATAATACATGCGCTTTAACCCATTTCTAAAATTGCATAAGGCTTAGTTGACAAAATTCTATAAAAAAAATGTATATTTTTTATTTTTGAAACTTAGCATTTACAATATTTTCAGTCGTTTCGAACTCGTGGAATTAAATTCTTAATTTTGAAGGCGTGCAATGCGGCTTAACCTTGAATAAAGCAAAAAAAAAAAAACTGGAAATTTAAGCAAATTTCCCTTTGGATTTACTTTATTCAAATATCCTTTTGAAAACTACAATCTGAAAAAAAAAACGTTTGGGGTTACAGATTTCTATAATTCTACTGCCACGTGTGAAATTTACAAGTTTTTATCTCCATAGCGAGGTTGACTCAAAATCAGTTACTAGTTACTTGAAACTCGTATGTGTAGAATCTTTTGAAGCTTGAAAACTTGCTGTCTTGTTAGGTGAAAAGTGTCATTCTTACGGTCCACAAATGACATTTTGTTTGAGTTATGGAGTATATTAAGTTCACACGTTTAATACTCAATTTGCGAAAATTACAAACTGGTTTGGCTAATCAGTGTCTTCCTGTTAAACTGTGTATGAAAAGAACATGGATATATTAATGGTTTTTGTTATTTATCTAAATTTGCTCATCTAGATTGTAATCTTAATATCAGCGATTTTTCTAAAGTTAAGATGAATAGTACGTGCAATATTTTTTTGTAATCATTTGTTAATTATTACTTGCTTTTGTGGCATTAATTTGTTGAACAGTTCTCATTTTTGTATAAAGATGAAGGGTACAGCCATGCGATCCAAAGTTTCTCATTTTCAAAGCTACTACTTTTTAACATTTCTATCTCGGCAGCATCTTCAGTATATCGAACAGCAGGTACAGAATAAATGCTTATGTTCTCGAATGAGAACATTATTTATGTTCAAAAAGTTACAAACCATTTGTTACACATTTTGGACTTTAAAACATAAATGCAAGGTGGCATAAAGCCTAGATTACATTTGAAATGCGATGCCCGGACGGTGCACGTATACTGCCCGTAATACCCTTTTCGTGCGGCGTCTGAGTGGAGGTAGACGGTGGCCGTGCGAAATCGCACGACACCGTACTGGTTTAAGGCCATGTAATGTGGACATACTCGGCGTAGCCCATAGCTCCTTAAGATTTCAAAAAAAAAATGTACGGACAATTTCATCGTACGGCGCCCGTATAAATGTAATCTAGGCTTAAGTAATACTATGGTTTGCCCCTCCATTTTGCCTAGGCTTGATTATTACGCGTTGCAATCTCTAAATTTTTTTTTTAAATCTATGTCTCTAGGGGATTGTTTTTTTAAATTCCCCATTGAAGTGTATTTCTTGTAGTGTATTTGAACGTATCGGTTGCTGTTAAATCTAAAAAAATATTTCACAAATGACTTGTGACAATTTTTTGCAAAACATAGTAACTTTCCTTACAAGGAATAACTATTGAACTTTAATGTCGTATTTTATGTGTGAGACAGCTACTAGATCTGTCGCTGTTTTTTTTGTTTTTTTTTTTGATGAAACTGAAAAAATCTCTTCTCGTTTTTACCTGAGACCAAAAATTAGCCAAGCAGTTTATAAGATACTTTATTTTTATAGAAAAAGTCATATCCTGAAAAAATTTCACAGCACAATATGGTTAAAATGAAACAAAAACAATGGCAGATACATGGCTTTTTGAAAGGGTGTCACATTTTGAAATTATTGGCATTTTGGAGTATTATTGTGACTTTTAACATCATAATTTATCATAACAGAGTGAGTCTCTTTCGATTTTTACTTGTGGTGGTGTGGGTGAGACAGCTACTAGATCTGCCGCTGTTTTTGTTAAATATGAAATTGAAAAATTTCTTGTCATTTTTATCTGAGAACAAACATTAGCCAAGTAGTTCATTAATTATTTATCAAATCAAAGTTGAGCGAGTCTTAATCCAGATATCAATATTTTTGTTTTACATATCTGAATATTTAAAACTAATTGTGATTAAAATATTTTTTAAAATCTTTAATAAGTGGATGTTTGAAAATATGAGAATATATCAATGGCAGTTTATTTTACTCTAAATAAAATACTTTACATTTATATGCAAAATGGCTTATCGTTTTCATTGGCGGCTCAACGTAACTCTAAGGGTGGGGGTTCGATTCGGATACTTGGAACATGTAAAATTCTTTTCCAGAAGGGCTTTTGAAAATTCTCTCTAGTTACTATAAAAGAAAAGTCTATCTGGGGAGGGTGGGTGGGAACACTTAGGGGAGTGGATAGCACGCGCGACTCGGACCCAGCAAGACTTGGGTTCGAAACCTGGCACTTCTGGGTCCAAGCAAATTACCTTTTGCAAAAGAAAAACCAAAATGAGTAATTTACACTCCAACAAGAGGGTTTTACGCCATAGAAAAAGCACGATGAGCCATGGCTCAATAGATAAGACGGCAGAACAGTAAGCAGGAAATAAAGAGTTCGAGGCGAGCTATAAAAGACAATTAGTTTTGCAAGTTTTGAACCAAGTAAAAGCACTTGTACGTTTATTATTGTCAAAATGAATTATTTACAGCATTAATTTTTCTACAAAAATAATGAAAACATAACATTTTGTGCTCTAAATTAATATAAATTAAAATTTAACAAACAGAAAAAAGTTTGTATCTGTAAATAAAACAAATCGAAGATTTTATGCATTTTGAAAATTGTTACTTAAATACAGAATCCTTTGATTTATGACAAAATAAGTTCAAGATTGTAGCATTTGAAAGACTTTGGCAAGAACTGATAATAGACAAAATGGACTTTTTCTATTGCATTTGGCAACTTTTTGTCAAAGTTGACATAAGTGCCTTGTCTTCATCGTATTCCATCTAAAGCATTTCCGTCCACATCCAGAGGTTGTAACAATTTTAATAATGCAAATAATCTGTTGTAAGCGTTATTCGTGCACTCACGCACACGCGCATGTACTATGTCATCTTGTTGATGATTACACAAATCGAACAGTAGCCAAAATTTCATCATGTTTTGAAGATTACTGGTTGCTTTGCCAATCGTTATCTTTTTAACATTTTTGTATTCTTTGCACTAAATCCGAAAATAAATATCATACATGGCGTAACTCTGGATGAAAATGTACCTGCGAATCAGGAGCGACATAAATACATGGACTGTTTACAAGAACATCCTAGTTTTAGCCAAATTCAGAATATATAAACAAAACTGAAAGGGTCACAAAAATCAGTGTACTTGAGTTGACTTTTCGCATTCACTTAAAACTAACTCTGGTTCTCGGTGTTCAGCGATGGCACTAAACACAAATAACACAACATGGACATGCAGGACTAATATCTATCCAAGGCTGTTGTTCTCAATCACCCCTTCCTCCCAAAAATTTTTAATGTATTATAATACAGAAAAACTTTATTTGGAACGCTCCTCTGCAGATTTTAAGCATGTTTTTCACTTTAAAATTGAAACCAAACGAAGTATTAAGGTACAAAGATAAACAATGGTAGAATTTATCGAATTTTACATTTAGAGGAACAAAATTTTAATACTTTGAAACTACAATTCTGTAAAATTCTTAAATAACTGACTAAACTGTTAGAATGGACTTAAATGTAACAGATAAAATAATAAATCCAATAATCTTATTTAAATAATACATAAATTTTGTTTAAGAATTATTAATTGTACACTATCTTTTCGAGCAAAAGAGACAAAAGTTGAATCCTTTTAGAATACTCATTGCCTCACGAAATTGGGCTTTGCGGAAACCAAAGTTATTTTGAAAATACGGAATGCAAAAGGCTATGATTAATGTCAGCCCTACTGAAGCCTTTTTAATGGGCAAACGATATCTAAATGAAGTCCATTTCCCATTTTTGCTTTTTGGCACCTCTACTTTGCAATATAAGTCCTTAACGGCATAGCCTATAAATGATCCTAATCCTTGGAAAGTTTTGTAGCCAACTACAGAAACAGTTTTCTTATCATATACTCAACAAAGCTCTCCGTTGCACTAATGCAATATTAAATTAATTTCTACTTCGGATGGTAATCTGCCCCACCCCATGGTTAAACATTGTTTCAGAAAACATATTTGATCCCCGCCCAGCACTGAAAACACCGAAAACCAGAGACGTTTATTCACAGTCACAGTGCCATTTTCGAAATTGTTAAAAGATCGTTATAATAGGCCTACATGTGGACAAATCTGAAGTAACATGGGCACATATTGCCCGTTACATAATGTTTGGATTTCTAGGTTTAATTAACAGTGTCTTTAGTAGTTTTACAGCTCTTGCTCTTTTTCGACTGAACACACGATAAACGTAATTAAAAGTTTCCTATATGTATTTTACATAATGGGACTCCAATGGCTTTCCTTCCCAGAAATCTACATCATTTTAAAATTAATAAGAGTACATCTTCAAGCGAGGTGTGCAGTTGCAGATTTGTCCACACATATTGTCAGTGACAAATAGAAAACATTTCTCTTCTTGGAACTAAATACGTGATAATTTTAAAACAATCACTTCATCGTTTTTATACATACATTATTTCTGTTAAATGAGAACTTCAAATCTCACGTTTCAGGTTCTGAAAGGGACGGGTATCAACACCGACCCAAAAATCAGTAAGAGCACTGTACTTCGATATAGTAACATACAATTACCAAAAAAAAAAAAAAAAAAAAAAAAAAGCAAACCAGCATCATGCAGGGTGGACACTTAGTATGAATTTAATTTCTATCTCTATGAGAATTTTCATAAATAAAAAGCTCATTTTATTCGACTTTTAATTTGATATATGTTTTGGAGCAGAATGTTACAACCAAAAGCAAACATACTAAATGCCGTCCCTGCAAATTAACGAGCAAACAAACACCAGCATAGGAGGCAATCTTGGCATGGATGTGGAGCTGTCTCTCGAACACGACACGTGTCTCTGAGTAGAACGCTTCTGGTATATTCCTAAACGATACTTAGAGTCACTGGAATTAAAAGAAGAAATTCACAATCATGAAACAATGTCCAAAGATCTGATAAATCAGTGTGTGTTCATTACAGCAATTCGTGTCAGTATCGTGTCCTTTGCGTTATAATTAACAACTCGCTATTATGTTTTAAAATTATAGAAATAGCTATTTTCATATTAAACCTTCATTGAAAGCTTCTGATTTCAGAAACAATAGGGTACCCAAAAGGCACTGAGGGAGAGCTAAGAGAAATTATCCTTCACGTCAGTTAGATGTCCCCGTGGTCACTATGCCTAGAGTGCATCATTTCGGAAAAATATCGTCAATGCAAAACTAAGAAATGCTACAATACATTTTCCATAATCTCTACGGAACTTACGAGATACTGCTGCCGGGTTCAATGCCATCTTTTCGGCCTACATGTGGCAGTAGCAGTAATGTGACATGGGACATCCTTCTTCTCCATCTTCTACTGACCTTGGTTTTATTTGAGCACCTCTCACTAAAAGGCTCACCTGATTTACATAATGATAAAGAGGTCACCCACTTTCCGTACGGACGCTTCGGTTTGAATTAATACACTTCAGGAAATGGGTCTGAATATTCTCTTTACAAACCTTTTTAGTCGTGTAAAGCTCAATCGCAAAGGTCAGGGCCTACGGGTTCACGACCCTTTATGCCTAAGCCGAAAAGTACAGCTTTTTAACGTATTTACAACCTTTTTCAGATCAAGTAAAGGCGGCTGTAGTTACGTCTTTATTACCCGTTTCTGATCATGTCAAGGCGATAATAGGCACAACGTCTTTATAAGGGAAAAAGAAACAGAAAATCAGGCATAGAATCTAAGCATACAAATTGAAACCTTTCCGGAATATGTTAAGGTTAAAATATAGCACTTCGAAAAAATAATCAATAATGAAATAACTGATCAGTCTTTCGCATAAATATTTAAAATCACAAGCATTTTTTTTCTAAACTGTTGTGCAGAAGTAATCAGGTAAAAGGAATCCTCAATTTAGGCTGATTTATGATTCCTCTACCTAGCTCTTTTCTCTCCCTCGTTTTTTAAATATAATTATGTCACCTAGCCACTGTGCTTCAGAAAGTCAAAAAGAAAATGAACTAAAATGTTTTTTAAACTACAAGTTTACACTAAGTTTCTAGTGTAGAAACCTACATGTAAGTCCACACTAGCTCTCCGGGCACAAATGCTGGAAAGCGTATAAAAAATACAAATGTATTTTTGTGTTCCATTTAGGCTAAGTACAATAGTGGTATTTTTAAAAATAAAAGTAGGCCTATCTGGTCCCCAAAATATATACAAGGAAGTCCTAGGGATGGAAGTCCGGGCTCCCATGATTAGTAGGGCCTACAGGTTAGGGCTAGTTGGAGTATTGGGGTTAGTATAGGGCCTATGCCTAATGGGACAAATGTCACTTGTAGGCCCTACAAAGTAATGAGAAGCGGACTACGGTTCTTAACGGACTTCCATTCCTGTTACACCTGGGCTAGTTTGCCCAGTTATCGGGCCTACACTTAGGGCATTGTAGAGCCAACTGGAAATGAATTAGAGCAACAAACTCGGTTTTAAAACAAGCGCCATGAACTAAGCTACGTCAGTATAGGGCCTACGTCATTATTTTGAAAATATGGCTTGCAATTTGACAAAAAAGGAACCCAAAAATCTTTTTTTTTAATTTTAAGTAAACTTATAATGGTATAAAGCAAGTTTTTAATGAATGATAAAGAATAATAAACTTTCATTTTTCTTATAACAATTTCAATCTTAAACTAGTATTTATGCAACAAACCACTGACTATGTCTTAACAATGGTCACTTTACAAAATGGTGTGATCATTTTTTATTTGCCTTGTGGTTTCTTTTCAGAAATTGACGAGAATCCAACTAGTCCTGGTCTCCCCTAACACATAAATTGGAAAAAATGTTCGACCGAATTATTGAACATGTGCATCCGACCTTCTTATTCTTCACCCCTTTTTCATTCTTATTTGACTGTAAATGTAAGCCAACTATGTAGGCCTAATGCGAGGCAGAATACGTTTTGCGACATGTTTTACGACATAAACTAAAAGCGATATTTAGATATTTACCGTAAAGCGTCCTAACAACGATATTATTACTCGCCCTAAAGTTAAAGGAATTTGCTACACATTTATTTTTTCTAAAGCACAAGATGAGCACATTGGGCGACATAAAAAGCATTTCTACGGTGAAAAGCAAATTTTCTTACAGTATTTTGTATCTAAATACAGTTTTAGTGGAGCTATATTTCATGTGGATGTCAACTATAAACATAGTCGTGATGCGGTCATTGTTGACAGTATCCAGCTAATGCACGTGTTTAGGTTTACGCTGCTTTCATATCAAACATTTCCGATTACAAACAGCATATGAGTACACAGTCAACGTAGTAACCATTCAGACTGTATGCAAAAGGAAAGGAAAATGTTAGCTTCGGCCCCTTTAGCAAACTACCACGAGAAACGACAGTTTCGGCAGGGCCAAAAGACAGCTACGATACTTTCCAATACCGCTGGGCATGTGACGGTTATTCCAGACACAACTTTCAATGACAGGAGAACAGAAATGCGACGTGGGATAGATTTACCACGCAAGAGAGGTTCAAGAGAAATGCATAGAACCACTATGACATTTGAAACAAATCCTGTGAAACCCGACTTTGGATCTACAGCAAGAAAGGTGAATGAATACATGTAAAAACCTTACTTTTTAAACTTAAAAAATTAATGTCGACTCAGTACGTGCGCAAAATGTATACCAACTACTTGCCTTATTATTTGGGCTTACGCGGGCGCAGGCAGGATGCATATAGACAGTCACACTAACTCTGAGACAAATGCCCCCTTTACTGTTATTTATCATTTATCAGTTTTACAGCCCAATTTATATGATTAAATGTTCAAATATATTTTCCAAATTTTAGATTTTTATCTTGATAAACATATATATATATAAATAAATTATTATTTACAGTAATCATCATATGTTTCACATGTAGAATAAAAGTAACAGACCCCTCCCCCCCCCAAAAAAAAAAAAAGAGAGAGAGAGAGAGGAAGAGAGAGGAAGAAGAATCACACCATACTTTGAAAACCAGTTTATATAACATTTTAAACAATTGAGTCAAATGCTCTTATGATCATACACAAAAAAATGACTTAAACTATCTTTCAAAACTTGCTTAGTTTGCAGGAAGATGCAGGAAAGACACTTAGTTTTCATACACTACATGTATTTTCTCTTTCAGAGTTACAGTGGCACTAGGCATTTACCTTCCCCAGAAAAGGCTAGAGGTCCTAGATACCCATATTTACACATGTCACAGTTTGATCTTGGAACATCCAGCAGAACAGATTGGACATCCACAAATTCGAGGAATTATTTTCAAAAAGATATTAACCCAGTAGGTGTTAAAAGAAAGATGTTCTCAGTAGATAAAAATACTATCCATAATGCTTTGTGAGAGATTATTTAAGGTTTATTTCTAAGGTGATAAAGTAGCAGGACAAGTTATGCTCTAATTTACATTTCACAGAATGTCATTTTCACAAAAAAATAAAATGATATACAAAATAACTAAAGCTTTCAAAATGCAAGTGTTGGATTTAGACATATGATATACATGTCATTCTCTTTAAGGCATCTGTTATCCATTGGCCTACACTAGAAAACAAACTAAATATGAATCAAGGGAGTCAGATGCGTCAAGTACTAGTTCAACCAGATAATCAGTACACTTACTGGACGCAGTATTCTCGTATCCACAACAAACTTGGTGCTGTCCTTAATCCTGATGTTCCCCGCGAGCTAAGGAACCCACCTATAAGAAAACAGTACAATATTTTGACAGGTAAGCTTATGTACACAGCCATATCTTATAGCAGTAGGAATGACTTGTGTGTTTGAGATAAGGATGACACATAAAATCATTAGTCTTGTCTCCTGGCTGCACAGACCATGAAAGACCCCAGGAATTGTTAAATATCTAAATATATGATTTATGATTTTTTTTTTAGTTGAAGCATGCATGAACAAAACAGTATTACTGCTGGGATAATGAATTCAATTTAAAAAAAAAAAGGTCCTCTTTTTTGCCTACCTGAGCCCAACACAAACCTCCCACAGCCCATATCTCCTAGGGCCTCAGAATACTTCTCTTCACTCCTCTTTAGGGTTAAGCAGGGGGGCAGATTCCACTATTTTGTTGGGGTTGGGAGATCTGTATTTGCCCTTGCAACTGCAAAATTGTCTAATGCAATGATTCAGGCCGATTGCTCAATATCATATTCTATATTTACTATGTACCTTCAAGATGCTGTTTCACAAAAAATTTGTCCCCCTGACATGTGCTGATTTAAATACTTTAATTTTAAAAGAGATGTTGTGAATATTAAAAAAAAAAACTTGCAATAGGGCATTTAAAGGTGTAAGAAAATCTCTTTAAAACAATTTATAACAAAACGTTACAATTCTAGGAGAAATTGTAGGGCCAGCATGGTCAGAAGAAAATCGAAGAACCTCAGGAAATCGAGTTTTGTATGGATCAAGAAGAAATGATGAGTTTACACCAAACTGATGGAAGCAAGTACCTGTCCTGACACAGATTAAGAGAATTTTCGTACAGAAAGTGGTGCTTCCATGTTATCTCCCATTCATAAATTTTCCCTTTTCCCTGAAAAGTCTTTAGAAAAATAACCAGGAAATTCAATGTCATTAAAATGATCAATCCAATAATTATTCCTGGTTTGCCATTTGTTTCCGTTTGCCAGTGTGGAGATAAAAATTGTGTTAACATCATACTGCAACAAGTATTGCATAATATGAACTCGTCTTCTGTGCAATATAAATTCCCACCGACAATCATTGCTCATACATTGTACAATCATTGTCTATTATATTAATGCAACCCTTCAATCTATATTTAAGGTTGTTAACATTTTGGCCAATATTCTGCTCCTGTGGTCAACAAGTCTGACATGATTTATTTTGATACTGTTTTACATTTGAATTTTTTTGTGAAAAAATCAAGCATAATATATTAAAAAGTCCATGTGCATAATATATTTAGAAGTGGTGGTGTTTGTTAGTTACTTCATGTTCAGATAGTTGCAATTTAGACTATTTTGTATATTTGCTTAAAGTCCTACTTGTATTTTTCATAAAATTTTAAGAAATGGAAAAGGATGTACTAATTAATTTGTATTAATAAAATTGAATATGAAAAAAAAAATCTGCAAAATGGTACATTTTCTAAACCCTTCTTTTAAACAAGACATGAACATAAAAATTCATTCAGCCAGTTATGTGAAAATGAACATTTTTCTTTTAAAGATGCACTTGGGGCAACATATTAATATGTGAGCATAGTAAAAGTTATAATATCATTTACAAATAGCTTAAAAAGCAAAGATGGATTAAAGCAACTTAAAGCACTTGAATAAATAACAGTTGCCTTTGGTATGCCAGCATCTCAGGGAGGTGGCTGTTATGTCTAGGAAAACATACCATTTAGGTCAGACATCGTCACAACTGCTGTATATAAGCCTCAGTTGCAAAAGGAATGTAGTCACATAACACACAATCCCAAGCTGGAAGTACAATTTATTCTACAACTCTGAGAAAAAATAATACAATACTAAGACTCTATTGATCAAGCCACTAGCAGATCAACCTGATCTTTGAAGCTTGAATACAACTATAAGGCTGCAAAGAAGCATAATAATGTTCATATTTATTTCACTAACCCTAAACATAAATTGGAAGAGCAACATTCAGATTACCCTGCATGTTATATTTTTAAACTATAGTATAACATAAAGAGAACCATGTACCAGCTCATGAATGTAAGATGTTCATCAATACCTTTCATCATTCACCCAAGAGTTGGAAACCGAGGAGGAAAAGGGGGAGGGGGGGGGGACTACCAGGTAACAAGATTTGCAGTGCTATGTAACCAAGTGGTACTAGTCAATTCAACAGCGGTGAAAAAGGTCATCAAAACTGCTGTGGCCCCCAAGCTGAGAGAACCTCTGGCATAGATTTTCATTTTAAAGACTTCCTTCGTGTATTTCTCTTCAACAAAAAAAAAAGTAATTGCCTATACTTCAGTAACAGTGATGAGATGCCCACTGGGTCACTGCAACAACTAAGTAACAAATCGGTCACCAAAAAAAACAAAAAAAAACAAAAAAACTGGAAGTATTTTCAATTAAATGCCCCCAAAAAACAAACTGATTTTCATCTTTTTATACCAATAGTACTCTATTATTATTATTTTCAAACTAAATATTTTCCCTTTACCTCATAATGTTAACAGCAATTTATTTAATGTCCACTCTAACTTTTTATCTGCAACTATTTTTGGTCTTTACTGACATTTGATATTTTGTCTATCAAGTAGACAATTTCCACTAATGTTGTACGCCAGTGACATACATGTAATCGTGATCTCAAACAATTCTCTAAAGCTATGCTAAACATAAAGTAAGAAGCACATCTACAACTCTACAATCCTTTTTTTTTTTCCATATGTTAGGATAGCATTAATTCCACAAGATAACATGTGATTTTATGACAATACAATTCACAAAACAGTTTTATCATTAAGTATATACTTGTTTGAATTTAAAGAAAAGAAAATGATCAAAACCTTTAAATGACTTTAACTCCAGTTTTTCAATTTTTTTTTCTTTTTTTTTTTTTTGGTCTTTTAAACGATGTGGCAAACAAAGCGCTTATATACTGCAGTTAACAAACTATGTAATGTATACAAGACAGGATTACATTTTTATGTTGAAATTGTTAATATCTTAATATGCGACTAATAATTCCATAAAGACACCAAAACATACACATAAATATACCAAGCATTATGCTTAAATCAAAAACTCCTGTCACCTTGATTTTTCCAAATAATCATTCCTGCAAAATTATATGCCACCTGCACGAGTTAAAGTTCATTTAAAGTTGAAACAGATGAATACATCTCTCTCACTCCTCAATTTTCATTTCAACAGTGCGATCTTTCACTTGGTAACGTTTGTCCATTAACATCTTCATTTTTCTCCTTAAAGCGATAATTGCTCTTGTGGCTATCTTTTTAAACATAGATAGTCTCTTTTGTTACATTTTCATTTTAATCTTCTTCTCAAATTAATATCTGATCTCACAGATGATATTTCTTTCTGCACAGGCAATGTTTCATAGACATGCCTTTTCTCAGTTCATTTCTCAGTTAAACCTTCCACACCAATGAAAGGAATCTCTCTGTTGTTAAAATGGCCCTCCGGCCGGGCCGATGAGAGTGTTTTGGTGTGCCTTCTCTTTTTTTTTTGTATGGTGGTTGTACTCTTCTTTCTGTACTGTAGTACACTACAGTCCCCATGTATCTCAGCAACGAGAGTTCGTCTGTCGAGATTCTCTGTGGGTTTCTGTAGGATGGATGGGATAAGAGCCATGTTATCTCTCTTCTGATTGGTCGATTCAAACCCAGGATGTCCAACCTTCGTACATTACTGCTAGGTTGTCCAGGTTCGTAGCCTCTTTGATGACAAAGTCAACCTGGAGAAGAAAGATAATACAGTGTCTGCATTAACCATGTGACTTGGGGATTTTATATATATATATATATATATATATATTTTTTTTTTTTCATTTCATATATTTAGGATCATTAAAATATTCATATAACACCATAATTATCTTTTCCTATACAGAAATTTACATGCATTTGCATATATGGACAATAAGAGAAACTTAAAATAGTTCACTAAAAAGTGTTGAACTTCAAAAATGTGTGTGGGGAGGGGCAATATGCACAGCCTAATACTGGGGCAATGCACAGCTTAATATTGTGACACTCATCTCTCTGTAGTCAGGGGCGGATTTAGGCTGTCTTCTGGGTCTTCCAGAAGACGGTCAGATTTTCAAGTTCACATTGACGGTATCAATTTTTTTCTGTTGGAAGACGGTCAAAATTGGAGGATGGATCAACAAAGATAATTTGGAAGACTGTCAGAAAATATCTTTGGATCCGCCCCTGTGTAGTGTGCTTTTTCTTGTACCCTAATATTCAATTACCTGTTCAGCTACTGACAACCTCTTGTTTTGGTCAGGGTCTCTCCCATCCAATTTCATTTTTACTCTTCGCCATACACTTACAGCAAAGGAGTTGCGTTCTTGCACAGCTAGAGGAGGCAAAAAATAATAGAGCAGTATAAGAAGAGTTCCAAACTAATACATCTGATTCTTACTATTGCAACGGTTCAGCTACATGAAGTTGGATATGCCATATGCCTTCAACCAAGTCATATGTTTTCATCCTGGAATTTGTGGCACTGTAATTTTTTCTTCAAAGGGTTTATATGGAAACTTAGGTGAGAGTTGACAAAAAGTTAGGAGTATCAATTATGAAAGAGGTCTTACCTTTTCCAGTTCTTGGGTCCCTTGAAACCCTTTCCTGTTTACGAGGTACTGGGTCTTTTAAAAAAATGAATGACCAAGGTCAATTACAGGTCTAAAATTTCCTCACCAAAAGATACTAACATCATGACACTAAAGTTGATATACACTTCAGATATATATTCAATAAATAGGCCTCACTAACATAAGCAATTTTTGATAAATAAATATTCAGATAAATTTTAACAAAATTGCCCTGCTGCTATCACTCTAAATGAAAGTCATGTTTAATTTCTGTTTTGTACAAGTTTAGAACAAATAATGGCAATAGGTTTTTAAACTTATAAACCACATGGGAGAGATGACCAAATGAGTTCAATATTACTAAACAGTCTTCTATATCAGATTCTGTTTTTAATCTTCTTACTTTTGCCACTTCCTGACTGGCTAGTGGGTGGAGTGCCAGTCAGCTCAGACTTATGGCTCAGTAAAGATGGCTTTCTCACCAGCATAGGAGGCTCTTCTACCTGCTTCTTCAGAGCTGTAAAAATAATATATGTACTTAAATAAAAACACTTTTCTCACAAAAGTCTAAAACTTTCTCCACAAAAGAAGTCAAGTACATTATAATAACAGAATGCATGGACATTTTAGGGATAGCATCGCACATGAAACATACTTTTTAATATTTTTCAATAATTAAGTTTAGCAATTATTTGACATGTGTATACAATTGTATATATTGCCAACTTCCCATATAGGCAAGAAAACAAAAAGTTACTACACCATATTACATTTATGTTAACATAAAAACAACACCAGCCAGTACTGAGGACACACTGTGAGGATATTCAGAATATCTAACCTGTAGCAAAGCTCAAAGTTGGTGAATTTTCTTCATTTACACCTCGTTGGATATTCAGTGGGGTGGCAAACTTAATCAATTCATCAAATATCCTGTAATGAATAACAGTAAATTCCAATGTTTAGGAATTTCTAGTCAATCATTTACATGCCAAATAAATACAAGTGGCATGTTTTTAATTGGAAAATCTTTTGGGTCATGTTTAAAATCTCAAGAAAAAAGAATACAATTCTAATTAAACAAGTAAAATTATATGACAAAAACTAGGATAAAATATAACAATATAATTTTTTTAACTTTATGAATGGATTTCCCAAATTTAACAGAATTTTTCTCTTGTCAACAAAATAATATATCCAGTGGTAGTACCTGCCAACACATATACACATATTTACCATGCAAATTGTATAACATTATATACTGAGCTGCAAAAATATAAAATATGATCATTTTTGAATAAATAAATAAATAAATAAATAAATAAATAAATAAATAAATAAATAAATAAATAAAATACTAAGAGAGATAACAAAACTAGACAACCTACCCTGGGATAATCTCCTCCAGAGTATCATGAGTGGCCTCTATCTCCTCTACAACCTCTTCAGTTATATCTTCCAAAGAGGCACATTTCAGCAGCGAGTTAAAATTTTCAATGAAACTCTTGTACTTGTTCATGTAGTCTCTAATCCCATCTGGATTAATATCAGGGCCAAAATCCTGTTCTTCATACTGATAATAAAACCATCATGTTATTTATATCATTTCACCTGAACTTAATAAGTAAGATTTTATGTAGGATTGGTGTAATAGAAATCACAAACAAGGTATTACTTAAATAATTCATTACTTCATGTAACATGGCGTTAAAAACCTAAGTAGTATGATAAGAGCTAAAGTGATTTGGTGTAAAACATATTCAAAAGACNTATATATATATATATATATATGTTTTTTTTCATTTCATATATTTAGGATCATTAAAATATTCATATAACACCATAATTATCTTTTCCTATACAGAAATTTACATGCATTTGCATATATGGACAATAAGAGAAACTTAAAATAGTTCAGTAAAAAGTGTTAAACTTCAAAAATGTGTGTGGGGAGGGGCAACATGCACAGCCTAATACTGGGGCAATGCACAGCTTAATACTGTGACATTCATCTCCCTGTAGTGTGCTTTTTCTTGTACCCTAATATTCAATTACCTGTTCAGCTACTGACAACCTCTTGTTTTGGTCAGGGTCTCTCCCATCCAATTTCATTTTTACTCTTCGCCATACACTTACGGCAAAGGAGTTGCGTTCTTGCACAGCTAGAGGAGGCAAAAAAATAATAGAGCAGTACAAGAAGAGTTCCAAACTAATACATCTGATTCTTACTATTGCAACGGTTCAGCTACATGAAGTTGGATATGCCATATGACTTCAACCAAGTCATATGTTTTCATCCTGGAATTTGTGGCGCTGAAAAAGTTTACTGTAATTTTTTCTTCAAAGGGTTTGTATGGAAACTTAGGTGAGAGTTGACAAAAAGTTAGGAGTATCAATTATGAAAGAGGTCTTACCTTTTCCAGTTCTTGGGTCCCTTGAAACCCTTTCCTGTTTACGAGGTACTGGGTCTTTTAAAAAAATGAATGACCAAGGTCAATTACAGGTCTAAAATTTCCTCACCAAAAGATACTAACATCATGACACTAAAGTTGATATACACTTCAGATATATATTCAATTAACAGGCCTCACTAACATAAACAATTTTTGATAAATAAATATTCAGATAAATTTTAACAAAATTGCCCTGCTGCTATCACCCTAAATGAAAGTCGTATTTAATTTCTGTTTTGTACAAGTTTAGAACAAATAATGGCAATAGGTTTTTAAACACATAAACCACATGAGAGCAATGACCAAATGAGTTTAATATTACTAAACAGTCTTCTATATCAGATTCTGTTTAATCTTACTTTTGCTACTTCCTGACTGGCTAGTGGGTGGAGTGCCAGTCAGCTCAGACTTATGGCTCAGTAAAGATGGCTTTCTCACCAGCATAGGAGGCTCTTCTACCTGCTTCTTCAGAGCTGAAAAAATAATATATGTACTAAAATAAAAAACCACTTTTCTCACAAAAATCAAAAACTTTCTCCACAAAAGAATTCAAGTACATTATAATAACAGAATGCATGGGCATGTTAGGGATAGCATCACACATGAAACATACTTTTTTATATTTTTCAATAATTAAGTTTAGCAATTATTTGACATGTGTATACAATAGTATATATTGCCAACTTCTCATATAGGCAAGAAAACAAAAAGTTACTACACCATATTACATTTATGTTAACATAAAAACAACACCAGTCAGTACTGAGGACACACTGTGAGGATATTCAGAATATCTAACCTGTAGCAAAGCTCAAAGTTGGTGAATTTTCTTCATTTACACCTCGTTGGATATTCAGTGGTGTGGCAAACTTAATCAATTCATCAAATATCCTGTAATGAATTGCAGTAAATTCCAATGTTTGGGTATTTCTAGTCAATCATTTACATGCCAAATAAATACAAGTGGCATGTTTTAAATTGGAAAATCTTTGGGGTCATGATTAAAGTCTCAAGAAAAAAGAATACAATTTTAATTAATCATATGACAAAAACTAGGATAAAATATAACAATATCATTTTTTTTTCTTTATGAATGGATTTCCCAAATTTAACAGAATTTTTCTGTTGTCAACAAAATAATATATCCAGTGGTAGTACCTGCCAACACATATACACATACTCACCATGCAAATAAAAAATGTATAACATTATAAACTGAGCTGCAAAAATATAAAATATGATCATTTTTGAATAAATAAATAAATAAATAAATAAATAAATAAATAAATAAATAAATAAAATACTAAGAGAGGTAACAAAACTAGACAACCTACCCTGGGATAATCTCCTCCAGAGTATCATGAGTGGCCTCTATCTCCTCTACAACCTCTTCAGTTATATCTTCCAAAGAGGCACATTTCAGCAGCGAGTTAAAATTTTCAATGAAACTCTTGTACTTGTTCATGTAGTCTCTAATCCCATCTGGATTGATATCAGGGCCAAAATCCTGTTCTTCATACTGATAATAAAACCATCATGATATTTATATCATTTCACCTGAACTTAATAAGTAAGATTTTATGTAGGATTGGTGTAATAAAAATCACAAACAAGGTATTACTTAAATAATTCATTACTTCATGTAACATGGCGTTAAAAACCCAAGTAGTATGATAAGAGTTAAAGTGATTTGGTGTAAAATATATTCAAAAGAAAATAAATTTTAAAAAATAAATAAATAAAATGAGGAAGTGTGCATGCCTGTTCGTGCTACATGCATGTGAGCCTGTGTGAGAGTGAGCCTACATATATCATTTTACCTTTGCCAGTGATTTCAATATTGAGCGCACATCTGACATAAGCTTGTGGTGTGTTCCTAGGCAAGCTTTCACAGCAGACAACTCCCCTCTTACCAATTCCTAGAAAAAAAAAACAATTAGACATAAACTTTTTAAAGTTCAAACCTTTAGATAAAGCAAATTAAAAACACCCAATTGTGTTGCCTAGATGGCACACTTGCTTTTATTTCCACCCATTCACTGTATGCTGTGCTAACATAAGGTTATAAGCAAAATTTCAAACTATTTGTACAAGCAATTATTGAAATCAATTCAGTTAATTATATTCGACAGCTGCAAACACATGCCTTGGTAGCTTCTGTGGCAGATTTCAACTTGTTCAACTTCCCGCCAAGATTGGAGATTTCTTTGTTGACAAACTCCAAGGCAGATCTAATCCAGTCCAAGTCAATACCCTGGCTGGACTTTATTGGCTGCAATGTACAGTACAGTGGGGCATGATTATCAGATAGTTAACACAATGATACCGTAAAAATGTGTGAAATTTAGCACATTCTACTTCTTTTAAATAATAATTCCATTAAGACACCAAAATATATTGTATTTATTATAATGACAAAGTGTTGATGAAAGCATACTGCTCGCTTATTTTCAATAAATTTACATTAAGTTAACTACATTAACAAAAGACATTAAGTAGTATGTACCTTATCTTCCATGAGTTTTTCTTCAATTTCAGTCACAGTGCTCTCGCAAGATTCTGTCATCACACAGCATTCCTCACATCTGTAGTAAAGTTGTTGTTAGAAGCATATCATTTACATAATAATGAAGACAGATATTTACTACTATTATGGTAGATAACATTTTGAGAAATCCCAATTCACTTCTAAGATTTCAAATGTTAACTTTTTCGTTTCCTTGGACCAGGTTTGACAATTTATGTTTCAGAAGAGAGCAACATTTTATACTTATAATTTAATATTTCTACAATCACAAATGTTAAGATTACATAATAGTTATATGTATTGCTTACCTCGTTAAAAGAGTGACAAAGTTATTGTCAGATGACAGAGCCTCAGGAGTGCGAGTTCTCATGGCCTCACAGTGAAGAATGGCGTTACAGAGCTTGCTCACTTCATTGGCCAGGCAACTCTCACTCTGTAAGAAAAGCCAACAAAACATGACAAGTGCATGACTGTAAAAAATATTTTAAGTTTAAAAAATAGGTACAATTTAAATCCTATCTTTAACTTCAAATGGGAGGTCTTTTAACTGTAAGAACCACTATAACAGGATGAGACAATATGTTTTTCTCTGTTGTTAAAAAAAGGCATATTACTCAAAAATTAAATGCAAGTCATCTACTCACCAAAAATTTCTCCCACTTAGAAAATTAAATTGAAACCAAACTTATTTCGGTGATTACGGATTTCTACCTGAATAAGAGTGCTCCTCCTGTTCTGAGCCTCATCAAAGTCCTGCAGCACCTGGTTAAGAGATGGGTTAGCTCCTGCTGCCCACCTGAGTCTCTGACTAATACTGGCCTCCACCTGGACATACTTCTCCTGTATGCTGGTCACACCACTCTCACTGCCAACCAGGGCTTGCATGCTCTGGAATATTTGGATTTTGACATTACAACATGTTGTGTGGTTCAATAGGTATAATTGTTAGGATGGGGTTGGGTTTGGTATTTCAAAAGGAAGTCAGAGAAACTGGAAAATGGATGAGCACATTTTTAAAATAAACAGAAGAACTGATTCCATTTACTGAAGGTAAAATGTGCAGATCAAAGAGTAAGGAGAAAATATTACAAATATATACAGAAATTTGAAGAATTTGAAGATTTTCCACAAGTGACATTAATTTCAACATAAAAAGTTTTTCTCAATTTAGACAGTATGTTTAATGCATCCATACCATACATGTCCAAAACATAATCAGGGATGCAACTGTCATTTAGTGAAAAAGGTAAGAAAATATGGCATGGGGTCCTAGGGGCCGCCAGAGCCAATGATGTTTTTGGCCCCCCTTCTGCCAAAGGTCAGAAAAAAATCTTATAAAGCTCATCTCTGCATAATAAGGAGCTACTCACCTTTCTCATATCGGACATGATGCTAGCCCTGAGTGGCATGGCCATCTGGTTGAGGGGTCGCCCAGCCTGGGTGAACAGGTCCTCATGCAGCCACTGGTACCGGGCTAACTGAAGCTGGGTCCGCTGAAGGTTGCCCCGCAGGAGCAAGATGTTGGAGTCCAGCCTCTTTGCAAGATCCTAACAAGGCAAAGAAAATTTGAAGTTGAATTTGGTTAATTTTTTATCACAGACAAAATCATATCTATGTTAGAAGACAGGTATATATATATGAACATAATGACATTGCTGTTAGGTGTATTTCTTTTGTGGAAATTAATTTCTTCTTTTACAAGGCAGCAAAGCTGTCAAATGTACAGACAAAAAACAGGAAATAACTATGCACAAAATGGGCTACTGTCAATTCTGATGCAAAAGTACATTATGTTAAACTGCAAATTCAACATCATATTTTGATTATGCTTAACAGGTAATACCAATGTAAGTAAAATGTGTAACAAGCATTAGGCTTCAGGCCTATGGGAGTTCAAGTTCACAATTTGAAAATGTATAACTTCCAGAAAAAGAAGCCAATTAGACTCCTTAGGCTGCATTTTAGTCCTGTATTTCTTTTTTGAAAGTTTGGCAATCATAAGTAACATGGTTTTCCCATAATATTACATCATGTCAGCAGCACCCAAAATTGTGTTTTCTTCTATTCTGATGCAATATTACATAATGCTTTACAGCATAATGACAATCAATTTTTAATAATAAAATATATGTATCATGGATTTTCAGAAAATGTGACTAGCATGGGTCTTCAAGTCTGTGGAACTTCAAAGTCACACCTTGAAAATGCCAATATGTGAAAAATTAAATTTTCACAAAAATACTGTTTAACTGGCAGAAAGAATTACCAAACAGATTGCATTGCCTACTGAAGCTGTATTTTAGTCCCATGTTCCTTTCTTGTAAGTTTGAGAAAAGTAAGTGACATGGTTTTTCTTAAATGGTAATCATGGGAGCAGTGCCCAAAATAGTTTTTTTCATATTTTGATGCAATATTACACAATGTTTAACAGCATAATGACCATCAATTTTTTATAATAAAATATTAGTATCATGGATATGCAGAAAATGTGACTAGCAAAGGTCTTCAGGCCCATGGAATCAAAGTCACAACTTGAAAATGCGTCTGTACATAAAAAGTTACCGAACATTACAACTATATTTCACTTAACTCAAATCTTTTTTTTCCATGTAGTTGAATGAGGGTTTTTTATGCTGACATCAGTTTTCGTAAAGTCTAAGAATAGGACATAAACTAATCACCTGTTTTCTCCAAGCTGAATCATGGCTACTGGTCAGAGCACTGGCCTCGGTGAGTAACATGGGTAAGAAGTAGCCATTCTTCAGCCCCATATCCACTGTCTTCTTACACAGGTCTTCAATAGAAACCTTAGATGATGCTCCTATGTCCTTTAGTTCTATTTCTGCTGTCACGTCCACTCCCAGGGCATTTATATAGGTGCACAGACTGTAGCCAAGGGTCTGGGAAGGCAGACCAATCAGCTAGAACAAAGTGAGTGAAGGCTGTGTAATATATGTATCAGCAGAGTGCACAACACAACACAATCCAGCAAATGATGAAAACATTGTAAATTAAACACTCTTTGTTTTAAATCATTTTTTTAACAAAATCAATAAGTAAATGCAATAATTTAACTGAAAATGCAGAGAATTCAAGTCTATAAAAAGACCACAGAACTGTCATGTCCTACCTGTTTCCTGACAAAGTCTGCTATGAACCTTTTAACAGGCTTTGCCAACTGTTCATCATCAAAGACTTCTCCACCATGGGGATCTAGAATTTGAAAAAACCAAGGTTTAAAATATGTTCAAGGGGTTTGTTCTCTCTTTATGCAAATAATAGAACAATTAAATTGAATAATGAATAATGACAAGATAAATTCTCACCTTGTAGTGTTGTTGCCAGCTGCTGGCATAGGTCAAAGAACTCTAGCATGGCTTGGACACGTTTGACAAAGAAAATGTCAGACATCAGAGCCAAAGTGTCCTCCTTGAACACGTTCAACTGCAATCAAGTATGAATAATATGAAAAAAAAATTTACTGGCCAGCTTTGCAGCATCTGCTACACTGGAGAAGAATTTGCTGTGCTCACATAGCATATATACTTTATAACTTGTAAACCCAATCTTCTCTGAAATAAATACTATTACTACTACTGGCAGATTATCAAGCCCAAGAGTGAATTTATCCACAAAAGTACTGAAATGGGACAGAGGGAAAATGAAATGTTAATCAAATCACATCTTCTCTATTACAATGTATTTGCCACCTTTTTTAGTAGAAGGACAGGTAGATCCTAACTTTTTACAACAACATCCTGTATAATTTTTCAAATTCCTCTTTCAACAAGTTACTGGTTACAGCAACATTTTTTTACCCTAATTCTGATTTATGACACATTTATTTCATATGATAACTACTTAAACTCCAACCTAGAGTAATTTTCAGCTTTTACCTGTAAAGACTTAGCCTCTCTTATCACATCCACTTTCCTCCAGACATCAGGCAGCTGGATGGAGTTAAAGGCTTCCAGGAGGTCAGAAAAGTCACTGTCCAGTCTGGTGAAAAGGCCATTAAATCCCATTAACAACATCTGCCCAGGGGTCAGGTCACTTGTGTCTGAGCCTCGGATTAATTCATCAAATTTCAACCTCAACTGTCTGACCACTGTAATGCACTCACTGTCATCTTGGTCCTTAAATGAAAGAGGTTTCATTATAACATAAAATACTGAAGTAAATATTGTCCATTTCCAATGCTACTCAAATGCATTTGACTTTTCATTATTTGCAGAGTAAATAATTAAATATTAATATATAATATACAAAGTTATGTAAAAAAACTGATCGAAATTGTTCTATAACAGGAGAATAGGCCGTTATTGCATTGATTCTCAAATAATAACATACAAGCTTTTTAATGGGCATTATCATTACTTTTATTCTTATTTCTGTAAGAGAGGTATTTAATTAGGAAGGATTATTAAATGCCAGTCTATATTCAATCAATGGAAGTCTGTTTAGCAGACTAAACTGTTCCCACCACGGTTTAACTTAACTAGGCTTGAACTTAATGACATCACAGAGATAAATAGCACCATTTCAATTAATCAGTTAACCCCAATGTGAGCATGCTGTATAAGTCACCTGCATGCCCATGATCCTGTTCCTGAGCTGGCCCTCCAGTTGTTTCAGTAGTCCAGAGAGAGGGGTGCCACACTCCTCTACCAGGGAGTCCAGCTGGTCCAACACACTGATCACAGACTTATCTGTGGCCTGGATAGTCTTCAGACTCTCTGGTAGAATGATGCTTTTGAAGTTCACATTCAGGTCCTGTGAGGAAAAGAGAGGGACTTTCAAATATTTCTTTGTAATATTTACAATTGATATGTTAGTTAATGCAGAATTCAATGTATGCAATTTTTTATGGGCATAGTAATGATGAACCCGTACTATGATGAGATTGTAATAAACAAGCTTAATACTCTTATTTCAAATGACTTTAATTTCCTATTAAATAATTTTGACACGCTTAAAAACCTTTTCAACTGTTTTTAAAATTACTCTGGAATGAGAATTTTTCATTTAATATTTTCCCTCTGACTCTCACCTGCAAAGCTATGTATACATTGTGTGTAGCTCTCACTGTCTGCATGGTGTGACTCAGCATAGTCATTTCTCTTAACAAATCCTAAAAGGCAAACAGCGCAGATCAATTAAGCAATTAACAGCACCAACTTTTAAGAATTCATCTGTTTACCAATCCATAATAGCACTCACTTCTGAAAATTTCTCCAAAACTACAACACCTAGGTGACATCCTCAGTCTGTCCCCGATTTAGTTCAACTCCTCAAAATTATATCAAAATTTATGCACATTAAGAATAAGACAATATCTTACAATTTGAAAATTTCTTTAAAAGTAATGAGCACCACTAATAAGACCTGCCTTGTGTTTTTTTTTTTCTCTATCTAATCAAATGACTGACCTGGGCCATGTCTTGCAGTAGGTAAAGCAGCTGGTTTACATTCCCACTCATACTACACAGTTCATCCAGGAACCAGTCCCCATCTCGAGATGTCAGGTCCATCAGGCGATCTCCAGCAGCTACATACAAACATTGAAAGAATAACGACTGTTTGAATAAAAAAACATATTTAACTTTTGATACCAATGTATCCCTTATGATTCAGATGATATTTAATGCAACAACAGTATCTTCTCTATATATAATTATATAAATAAAACTGGACCATTATCATTAATACCCTATTACCACTGATCAAATAGTCTATTTCAGTACGCAAGTGATACAAAAATTATATTATATTATATTATATTATATTATATTATATTACATTATATTACATTATATTACATTATATTATATTATGCAGACCTGCTGCAGCTCCTTCCATCACCAGATAACGCTTGTTCAGTGAGCACAATGCTGTCACAATCACACTGGACATGCTGGTGATGCCCTCTGTACCATTCTCTACAAAATATATCATTGGACAGGCATATGAAAAATTGTAATATTAGAAACTCTGTATTTGTTTAAAATATCAGCAGTAAAAATAGAAAAAAAAACTTGTCAATCCATGTGCCTCTTTTCAAAATAGAAAAAAATTAATTTATTTATACATATTTAAAATCAAATAGCATATCAAGAATCATTAAAAAATGACGTGAAAATGACAAAATTTGACTGCTGTCAAAAAAGCTGGCACCATTTTTCAAATCTCACTTTAATATACTATGTCAGCTGAACATTTAAACCTTGATATGCACAAAGTCAGTCTCTCACCCTGTAGAAACTGTTGGATGTTGGTGGACGTCTCTTGCACATGGATGCCTAGGACAGAGGTATCTATGGTCTCCATATTACGGCGTTCTATCAACTAAAAATGTATCAACCATAATCAGTTATAGTGGTAAAACTATTACTGCTACTCGTTATGAAATATCACTGACCTTTTTACTTGAACATAAATACAAAATCTATCAACTGCAAGCTCAAATTTCTGAGAACATACAAACACAACTCTGACACTACAAAGCCATAAGTTAAGTACACAATACCTTTAAAATATTAGCCATAGAAAATAAATTTGGAAACTGTATACCCAATTTTAAAATTTATCAATGGTTGCTTTCATGATTCCACAATTTAAAAAAGATAATGATGTGATTTGAGAGGGAAAAACTGAAAATTGACAATTGTGCAATTGTCCCAGAAAAGTTCCAAAACTGAGTGAAACAATGAAATTAAAAAACCTGAAATGACGAAAAAAAAAAAAAAAAAACTGAAAAATCACAACCCTGTAATCCTACCTTGATGAGCCTGTTGTTGGCTTCCTGCACCATCATCTGCAGTTTGTTTTCAGTAATGGTGACAGCTTGGATGCAGGCTTGGATCACTGTAGGGTCAGGACGATAGTCTGCCTCAAACATCTCTCGGATCTCTTTACATCTACAAAAAAATGTTTATTATCCAAGATTAGTCATTAATAATTTCAGAAATATTAAATATAATTTTGACAAAGTGATACATCTTTGTTGCCACACATATCATAAAATACAAGCTGTAAGAGAAAAAGAGAGGTTCTCCATTCAATCATTACTAAGAAATGCTTTTCTTTACATTATTTTTCCAATCTTAATTGACTTTATGTTCCCTTAGTGTTCATTGTAATAAGGTACATTGAGAATTTCACGGAATAGTCCACAAAAGAAATTGATTATTATTATCATGATGTAGTTGTAATACAGACAAATTCAAAAACCATGCCATACATACTTTTCTGATGTGAAGTCACAGATAAGTTCCTGTAACCAAGCCTGGTAACTGTAACTTCTGTTCTGCTTGATGTACGCCCTTGGGTACTAAAAATGAATTTAAACAGAAATTACAGTTTAACATTTATTCTTTCAAGCTCAATCACATAAACTGAACTATGAAAGTGACTGTCAACTTACTTCTGAAGTTTTTATAAGGTCATTACTTATCAATACAATATACAAAATATTTCTGCCAGAATTCCCCCTGAAAATCCTGGAGTCAATTCTGTGAGCACTTGCCATAAGGGGGGATTCAATCACCATATTGTTCTGTGCAGATACCCCTGTTATGTATAAAGCACTCTTTCTGGTGTATTTTGGTACAGTATGGGGAATAAAATCTGATGTACTATGGTGGCATGTGCATAGAGAAACCTACCTGGTTTACTTTGGGGGCAAGGGTGTAGGAAAAGCTGCCTGGTTTACTATGGTGGCATGTGCATAGAGAAACCTACCTGGTTTTTTATGGTGGCATGTGCATAGAGAAACCTACCTGGTTTACTTTGGGGGCAAGGGTATAGGAAAAGCTGCCTGGTTTACTATGGTGGCATGTGCATAGAGAAACCTACCTGGTTTTTTATGATGGCATGTGTATAGAGAACCCTACCTGGTTTATTATGGTGACATGTATACAGAAAACCCTACTTGGTTTATTAGGGTAGTACGTGTACAGAGAACCCCTGGTTTATTATGGCATGTGCATAGAGAAACCTACCTGGTTTACTATGGTGACATGTATACAGAAAACCCTACCTGGTTTATTAGGGCATGTGTATAGAGAACCTTACCTGGTTTACTATGGTTACATGTATACAGAAAACCCTACCTGGTTTATTATGGCATGTGTATAGAGAACCTTACCTGGTTTACTATGGTGACATGTATACAGAAAACCCTACCTAGTTTATTATGGCATGTGTGTAGAGAACCTTACCTGGTTTACTATGGTAGCATATGTATGGAGCACATCCAGACAGCTGCCAATAACTGCTCTTCTCTGAAGTAACATGTTGGAAAGCTCTCCTTCCAGTTGTTCACACTGAAATCATAGAACATTTTGTCATACAAATATAGATGGAAAACGGTATGATTGTATGTGGTAGATATATTTTGTATGCAGTAATAGTATGGCCTTTCAAAAAAATAAATAAAATAATAACCTCTCTTTTACATCTAATTTATATCTCAATTAATGCTCATTGCTCATAATTCAAAGTCTGGTTATTCATTCAAAATTATATTAAAAATATATGACAAAAGGATTCTTTGACTGTTTAAATTTCATTCATTTGCTATCAGTTAGCAAATAACTTTACTCCAAAATTAATTTAATATTGTTAAAAAAGAAGCAACACACACACACACACACACACACACACAGTACAGATGTACAATTACCAATCAGGGCCATTAGCATTATTCATGACATTCTGTAACTGCTGCAGTTTATTGTTATTAAGATAATTGCTATAATGATCATCACACATTAACCTTCCACGATAGATCAATATGAACACCCAACTGTGAAGGAAAAGCTGTTTTTTTACAACACTTAAGCTATAACACAGTGCCTTCAGAGGACTGTACCCTAGTAGTGCATAATATACCCTACAATTTACCAATCAAAGTACATACAACATTTCGATTATCTCATTATCACAGCTTTTCAATTACTTTACTCTGTAAAATTCAGCCGAGATGAAAGGTCCCGGAGTCTGTATGCAGCAGATTGTTCTACCACAGCATGTTAGCACAGTATCAGCACCACCCACTGACAAGCTGTCAGACATTCGACTTACATTCATGCTGTCATGATTAAATGAAAGTTTAAGTAGTGCCTACGTCTCTATAATACTCACACAATATTCTTCATGCAATCTCTTAAGTTTCAAGTAGTTCTTTAAGAAGGGTTAAGGGCAGCATATGAATAAGCTTGAAATAACTCACTTTTGAATAAGCATTCAGAAAATGTATTGATATATAAAATTAATACAGAACACAAAGTCTTGAGAAAAATGTTGTTCCAGCGTCAAGGTGTCAGTTGTACCAGCCAGACCAATTTACATAATGCACAGCTGATCTATCACCTTTGTCCAATAAACTTCCTGGAAACCTTCAAAATCACTTTCCATGTGTCTTTTCATTCTTCAAAACACAAGAGATGTCTCAATATTTTTTATAAATTGACAAAAATTTTATATCAATCAAATTATCAAATAAATGTTCGAAAAACATCAATAAAGATCTCACCTGGTCCACAGCCTGTGACTGCCCTGCCCCCTGGAGGAATTCAATAGCAGTGACATAGCTGGGTACTGGTAAACTGAGGGGCTGGCCTATGTCTCCACACATCTGCTGAAGTTTCTGGCCCTGGACAATGTACAAGGCATACTGGAAAGAGAAAAGCAAACATTAAAGGAACAGCAACTCTTCCTATAAGATCCATATTTCACAATAAAAACAATAAATACATTGTAAAAAATTCATATAATAAATTCTATTTTACAACCAAAACAGTCATAATCGCAATTATTTTGGAATCAGTGTTTGCCATTGGACCACATGACCTCCATAGATGGCTACACTAAAACCAAACTTTTTAGAAAAAAAAAACAAAAAAACAGGGACTAACTTTGAATGTTGGAATGGATTCATAAACCATTGATAAGCATGGGAAAATTGTCATTTACCCCAGGAAAATCCATTTTTTGGCCAAAATGAACAGGTGTTACCCCTTGAATTAATGGCCTAAATCTTGTTCCAGGTTCTGAGCCATGTATAATGCATAATGCACTTACATGCACATAAAGGGGGAAAAAATGCAGCATCCACATTTTACCAATCCTTGCCTTTAAAACAGAAGATTTTCTGAGTCACATCTATGCTTCAAAGTATTGTTTTGGGCATTAATGTAGCATACAAACACATCCCATGTATCTATATACCGCATATCCAACTGATTGGCAGAATTTAATTTTTCTCTGGTTCCCCTTTTTTCAATTTCATTTCTTCTAAAAACCAGCTGGTTGTTACATGTTGTTTTACATAGACTGCTCATACCTCATGTAATTTCTGCCAGCTCTCACAGTCATTCATCTTCTCCTGTACAGCCTCCTCTACAGCTGTCCTAGTGGCCTTCAGGACCATGTGCTCTTCATATCTGTCATGAAAATTCAACCAATATCAATGTAGCCAACTTAACTCTTACTAGCTAGCAGTTTAAACCATTCCCATCATCAGACAGCCATTCTTGTCTTCCATTTTACTTTAGAATATTCTACTAATTTCTGGGAGTTTCAATTTTCTCCTACAGTTAAAAAAATATCACCAATGATGTATCATTATGCACCAAAAATAAACAAACAGACAAACAAGCAAACTTATTCGAATCTTGTGACATATCTATTCTCCTTGTACATTATGTTCACATAAATCTACGTTTTTTTCTTTTTTTTCAGACCAAACTGTTGAGCATGTTAAACTTGGTTGGGCACAATACAATGTTATCTCAACAGTGCTTAAATTACATGTTTCCACTTCCAAATTTCAAAACAATATTTTGAATTCTAAAATTTTCAGGTATGTAATTCAAGTAAGACTGTAGTGCTTTATTGATAAATTAAAGAATGAAAAACTGAAACCCTCACCTTGCCGGCAGCGAGTATATATCATGTTTGGTGTTGTTCTTGGCCTCCTGCAGCATTCCTTTCTGTGCTTTCAGTTTTGCCAGTGAACTCATGGCTGCCATCAGGTCCTGATCAGACTTCAGGTGAGACTGGACAACTTCAAGAACTTTGGGCAGGCAGCTCTCTAACTCCTCTCTGAAATTGCATACAAAAAGAGTTTACAGCATTATGCAATATTTAAACTGCTATATCTGAAGATGCGATATTTATCAAAATCATGTCACCTACAACATGACATTCCAACTCATTTCCTGTGTCTTTTTACACAAAAGAACATCTGTTTTGAAGTATGCATGCCAATAGAATAATTAAAAGAAGTATTAAAAGCACACCATATGAAAAGTATTTCAAGGGACATATTATCAGATCTGACGTGAATATGGATCGGATTTTCTACCCCTGCCCCCTCTGGTTTGGCCTTATCCCTCAGAAAGTGTCCGTCTACATAAACTGCCCTGCTCAACAACGTACCTGTTCTTGTTCCAAGCTGCTTTCATCTCCACCACTCTCACGGAGAACATACTCTGTGCTATCTCTCTCTCCATGTCCTTCTTGCTCTGCTGGGCGTCCATCCCCAGTTCACTCTGTCCTCCACCGTAGAAGGCGCCAGTGTAGCCGCCCTCATTCCCAGTGGTCCAGTCCACCAGCGGGTCATACACGAAGGCTTCCAAAAGAGTCAGGAGGGTTTCTCTCCCCTTCCTCATCACCTTGACCACATGCTCACATGAAATTCTAAAGGTGCCCTAGAAAAAAAAGTAAATATAAAAGGATGAAGTTAAATGGCAGAGATTAAAAAATATTCAGAAAATGAACCTTTTTTAAGAATAATATCCTGTATGAATTTGATGACACCTTTTATTCTCTGACAAACCAAAAATGTGTGTACTTTTTTCAAGCTATGTATTAGTTTTTCTTCAAGCTTTCATCACTTTCTAATAATTGCAAATAAAACTCATTTTTATGAAATCAATTTATGAATTGCAGTTGAACATCTATGCCTCTTTTCTAGTTGGCAGCCTTGTATAATGCATCTATATGCAGACACATCAATCTTTCGGCAAGCTTTCTGTGGGTATCAAAATCTTTTCCCAGACTACTGCTATTCATAATTCAGCACATACACTTCAAATGCTAGGATATAATGTCAGCTGAAAATACAATTCTAGATGCCAATATCTTGCTGGCTGTTAGCAGCTTATGTCTGATATGATTGCATTAATGTAAAACATGGACAATTTAGTCATCAATATTTTACTCATCTTAAAAGCAGACAATGTCTATGCCACTAGTAGATCACACCTTTTATGCCAAGTATTTCAGCTTATTCAATACACCCAGGCCTCTAACATTAACAAGGGCACTAATGGAGTATTCTGTTGCTTTCTATGGGATTTTTTTTTTCCAAAAAATCACCCAGTCCAGCAGTAGTCCACCTGAGTGAATGGCATGGTTGTGCCAAGGTGTCCAACTGCTGGGCAGGTAACTGTTTTATCCACCAGCAGTCTATCTCTCTCCAATCAAATGAGGCTGAATCAAGTAATTTTTATCTCCAAGTGCATGCATCTCACCCCTGGTGATTTGTTTCTCTCAGCTTCATACTTGTCTTGTCTGGCTGAAGGTTTCTTTCAACGTGATAACATTGTGTTTTTAAAAGTTAGATGTGGCAGAGCTGGAGAGATCCCCCAAGACAGATAGAGCTCAAGATAAACTATACTGACTGACAGGTAATCAATGAGGAATTTTCCTGTCAGAAAGATAAATACAGAAAAAAGCATCTGAGATTAGATCTTTAAAAAAAAATCACAGATGGGTTTGACAAATGGATTCATTCAAATTTACAGCATGTACAAATGAGGATGTCAAAAACGCAATTTACAAAAAAAAAAAAAAAAAAATCAAATTTGGTGCAAAATATAAAAGAACCCATCTGCAACATTAAGAGAATATGTAATTATATACGTATGCAACTACAAATGCTTCATTTCTTGTATAGACTTTTAAATCTTAGCATTTTTCCTTATTGCCTACAAATGAGCTCTAACAAGTTTGGAGTCTTATGATTTAGTTTTTTTTATTTAGCACATTCACAGTGTGACTACATCTATATGGATTTATTAATTTATTCTTTGTATAAATGCACCACTTTACAATGAATTTCATCCACAACTTTTCCAAACGTATAAGCTTAACATTAAGGAATAGTGGGTAGCCCTATGCAGAGTATATTGTTAAACAATGTGATATAGTGATATTTACATATGTATATGCCCAGTTGCATGCACACACATACATATGAATCTTATCATGAAGTTTATACTGACCAACAAATCCTTCCATTCTGGTCAATACACAAAGGCGGTTTAGACTTTCTGGACTTACATGGCATTGTATGAATCTCTTAACAGCATTAAGAAATATTTACAGTGTTAATTTCATTACACAACACGAAACGATCTGCTACATCTATGTACAAATTTGAGAAAGACATAAAATAGCATATACCCAATATTAATGTCACTGCAGGCTGCATAATTATATAGTTCAATCACGTTTGCCAAAGTAAATGTTTTAAATACATTGATTCAGTTTACTTTTCTCCCAAGTGTCCACAACTTTGAAAAAAAAAAAAAAAAAGGTACGCTGCAGCCTTATCCGTACCAACAGGTTTTGTGCACAGTTGTCTAGAAAACTAACAAATTTCTCTCTCAATACATGATGAACAAAGCCACAGAAGGGTGTGTAGGCAGTCCTGACATACATACTACACCTGAACAGACAATCTATCAAAAGAAGTTGTACTCAATATTGAAAATATGTTGAACAGAGATGCAACATCTGCATGTTCAATTAGGCTGCTGCCAGCTCTGAACGAATAATTCGGAGGAGAAATGGTAATTTCCATACCTGTAGCATGATTATGCCATTATGACGCAATTCTAATGCATGAAGAAATATGATGCATTTCTCTTAAGTATCACGCTATCAAGATATTAGCCATCAATTAATTTTCCTCTCAAATTTTAACACATAATAATATAATGAATTTTATCAATTATATATTGATTTAATTAATGGGTCAAGCGGATGTAACATCTGTTTAATTGCTTAATTGCTTAATCCAATTTACAATCAAATTACAAACTCTGTCAGTACATTTCTGTTTTTCCCTTTGCAAGGGTTGCTAGCCAAGCTGTTGCATTGGTCAAAAATAAACTCCAACCAAAAATACTTTAAAATACCTCTCATAATTTTGCATGGCATACTTTCATTCTATACATTTTCTTAGCACATGTGCTGCAACATTTTGTTAACTCTATTATTCACACATTTGCCTAGCAAATTAAGTTCACACACAACCCTTAAATGAAATTTGCTGTTCTTCTATTCATCTCACCACACCCAGTTAAAGCATGTAATTAAAAACTACAGTTTATCATTTTCCAAATAGTTTTCAAGAGATAAACAATCTCACTATAAACCAGAGACCTAATATCTATTAAGACAACAAAATTAAAAATAATTTTCTTTAACTCATTTTAACAGTTATTAAGCACTGCATACACTACTTATAATTGCTTTCAGAGTTTTATGGAGTATTTAGTACCAGAAATCAGACTAACTTGTATATAAGACCAATGCAATTATAAAGATAGCCACTGTCCCTCTGAGACTTATCTCCTTCTAATAAACTTGTTGTCTCATGATGTAAGCCTGATTTTTTTTTAAAGTAACATTCCACTGAAGGAAATATTTAACAAAGGACCTGCCTAGATCATTGTTCCATACTATACATGCTTACTGAAATAGCCCCTAAATCACATGACCCATCTTGGCGTTCTGTACAACCAGCTGGGTCTTTATTACCACCCAGGTTATTAAATTAATGTCCTTAATGAAATTAAGACCCCTGCAATTGCTTCATTAATGATATATGAGGAAGTTATAAAATACTACGCTAAGCAAGATATCAAAAGTCACATTCACACAGATAATCTACAGTCTTACTGATCCACGGACTAAATATGGCTGACCCCACTAAAATGCAATTCTGAATAATCGTTTAATGGTCTATCCACCTCCACGAGCACCTTCCCTGCTGAGGCCTAGCAATTAAACCTCGAAGCCTAAATTTATCCCTATGGAGGCGGGGAGACCATTAAAGGATTAGGCAGTCTTGCTTTCACATAGAGTCCACCATATTTGATCCATGGATCAGTAGATCTGAGGATCATCTGTTCTGAACGCCCTCAAAGTAATGTGAACCAGCCCTAGGCAAATATCATGCACTTTCAGTTGATTAAATCTCTAATTGTCACAAAGGATCATTAGACAACAAAAATAATGCACTAAGATAATTAAATATCAACAGAAATGGAATAAGATAAAGTAGTTTTGAAGGCCCATTACTTTAACATGATACATTTCAACCTGTTCAGGTATACTACAAAATCTAGAGGTGGTGAATTCAGGTATATGAACTATCACTAGTACACCTGAAATTGTCAGAATCTGCAATTTCAAATCACAAATCATCTAACAAGGTCTTAATCATGAGTAACATTTTTATTGGACTGACTTCCAGTTAAGCGATTAGGCAATTGTCTCTACCCAAACATCCCCCTATTGTGAGGAGAGGTACTTGCTGGAAGTCAGTCCAAGAATAACCTTAAGTCTTCCAGGATAAGAATTTTGATCTCAAAAGCCGGTCAATCCATGGTAAGATCATTTCTATAATAAATCAGATTAAGACAATTTGTGATCTGAAATTACAGATTCAAACCATATTAGGCACAGTAGTGAATAGATTAACAAAATTGGGAGTGATTCTTCTGGGCTACAACTGCTATTTCATTTTCTACCAAATACTGTTATAATTCAAAAGTCTTAACTTAAGTTTCTTTTCATCTTTTTTATATGAAAATTTCCATCCAGGTGGAGTATTTGCAAAAAAGTTCAATTTAGCAAAGACATCAGCCAAATTTGAACAACATGAGAAAATTTGTTTCTTGGTGGAAAAAATATCATTCAAAATCTTCATCATCATCAGATAAATAAAAATCCACTTCAGGCACTTTGAGGCATTCCATTGTCTTTTTGCTGTAGGGTCCAAAAGTATCCGAATTGACCGAAATTGTGTCCAAGTCTCCATTTGAATCTCCGATAGGACCACCTGTAGAGTCTCCATTTTGCTGATCAGGAATCTCATCTCGGCACTTGGTAACTACAATTGATGGGACAGGCACAACTTGCCCCGAAGTATTTCGATGAGAACGAAAAGACTTTGTGAGATTTACACCAATAGTCGAAATGCCAGCTACCTCGTTTGCCCTCTTATCATTGGCACAGTGGAAAAGTTTCAGGAATCCTCTTTTAAAGCGTTTCTCTTTCCAAATGATAGCACAAGGGTTCAGGAAGGCATTACAGAACCCAATATACACAGTAGCATCACGTATCAAGGTAATCTCTTTCCCCTGGATTCCCAAAACTTGCAGGATAATCATTAACATCACTGGGAACCAGCATACAATGTAGGTTCTTAAAACTACGGAAATAGTCTTCATGAGTCGCATTTCTTTACGAAAGTACTTAGAGGCGCATTTAGCCCTCCTGGAGAAAATGTTGAATTTCAGCTTGGTAAGGCGGTACCTGAGGGTAGAATGCACATGGAAGAACAACGCTATCTGCAGCAAGGAGACCAGAATGAAGTGCCCGACCAGAGTCCAGACATATTCTTGTACCACAACTTTTTCAAAAATGCATTTCACTCCTTCCTTCCAATTGTTTAATGAAAACACAGTAATAACAGCAAATCCTCCTGACAGCAACCATCCTAGTACTATCCCAGCATTAATTCTATAGTTATGTCCTTCCCACTTGGTATGATAGAAAATATAGTCCTCTACTGCTATATACCTGTCTATCATGATACACACTAAAGCTACACTAATTCCAGTATATACAAATATTACGCAGGAGAACAGGGGCAAGCAAACATCCATGCGATCTAACAGGCTTTTATCTATGGTAACACTTGAATGGAAGGGTAAGAACAATCCAACCATCATGTCAGCAATGGCTAAATTGATGAAAAATTTGTTGGTGGTGTCTGTGAAGCGACTGTACCTATGTATTACAGTCAAGAAAATGATATTACTGAATACCACCAGTAGGAACATGATGAGATCAAGGAACACCACGGCCACAGCATCCCAGTAGTGGCTTCCTTGGGTCCATGCTGTTTCACGGTAGCCACTTTCATTGACTGCCATTCTAAATGGAGGTGCTGCAGAGTTGAGCCGAGTTCATGCAACAATTTTTTCTGCCGCAGCCGAGCAGTCATAAACACATAAAAAGACTGCCCTCCCCAGCACTACATTGCCTCAGACACTTGTAGCTGCTTCTTTATGAAAACATTAGGATCACACAACTGGCCAAACAGTAACTGCTGCAGTGAATCTCTCAAGGTGTGTCATAAAACAAGGATCCATTTCACTGACTTCCATGCTATATCACCTTCTTCCCCCTTAGTGATCAATACACTCCCTATGCAAAACATTTAAATTTGATGGCACTGGTGAAAGGTTGAAATCCCAGAGGAGTGCATGGAAAGAACCATGTGCTCATAATCCAGTCAGAAAAATTAAGCAACCTTGTCAGCTATTACACTGGGTACAATCCAGCTCCTCTCCATAAGTCAAGGTTATTTTGTGTGATAGCTTGATTTATGTTGAGCTTTCCACTGGCTTGGTTATAATTCCACGGACTGTAACAGCTTGCTTTCCAAGCTCATTGCTATTCAACCCAAACCTAGACTGGCCAGGGACCAGATGGTGAAGAAAAAAGTGCAAAGAAGAAGTCGAAAAAAAAAGATCTTGGGGCAGGTTTCAAAGTAGCAGAAAACCCCTTCCACTGAATGCCAGAGCAAAACCAGAATCTCTGAGGCAGATATCAAAATAGAATGCAGAACACATGACTACCTGTGTTGAACACTGGTGACCCCGCAAACCCTCTTCATTAGAGCCTCTACCCTTGTTATACATAGGTTTGGCTGGGTTTATTTTCTTATTGAGGTAGTCTCTGGACTGCTGGAACTGGAGAAAGCCACTTTCTTACAATCCACCAGGTGAGACCTCCTATATACATCAAAGGAATCATCACAGCATGTTACCAAGTCTGATCAATGGTATTAAATGAATCACCTCGAGTGTTTTTTTCTTCGCCTTCTTTTTTTCTACTTTAGTATCCAAAACAAACTAATATCCAAGAATTACTGATAAATTATTTTTTCTGCCATTATTCTTTTCTCTTTTTTATCTTTGCTCTTGCAATAAACCTAATAGCCACAGTTCCTGGCAATGTTACAAAATCACATAAATTGGAACCAAGACCCCGTAAACAAGAACATTATAGGCTTAATTAGAATGTGTAATGGCAGAAGCAAAAGGTTATAAAACATATGATACGTAGCAGAGAAAAAAATTCCGCCAAAATGAAATGCCATCCACCTCCTTGCACCTTTGCTAGCATTTAACATTCAGACTAAACCCCCCAAGGTCTGAAAAGCTGATCAATACTATTTTGATTTTCTTACATGTAAAGCTTTACATCAAAGTTTCATCACAGTAATAGTGTTGTTATGAGGACAATTACCCCAAGGTATTAAAATACAGGGAATTCTTCAGCATTTGGTAATTTTCAGATCAGAGTTTTGATGGACTTGATCCACTTTACATCATGCAAAAATAAAATAAATCCCTGCTTTGTTCCATGGTAAAATAAAAGGCAGATCAACAGGTAATAGAACAATTTTAATGCTAGCCTCTCTGAAAGCACGTTACACTGTAATTTCAGGTCAGGTATTTATTTACTTGATAAGGTAAATTATTTACATGCAAAGAGGTGATTTCCTAATGAAGTTGTCAGACCTTTGTCCTCGAAATTCAAAACACTTCACAAAGATTTAGTAACAGCACTGAGTTGATTTTAGGGGATGCCGTTCACTGTTTAGAGAATCTGATTACGGAAATGAAATTCAAGCTTTAAAAAAACACAAAATACACTAAAAATTAAAATGGACTACTGTTTTTGTTCTCCTGGCAAGTCAAACCTGAAATGGTCCATACAGCTTACAAGGCTCTTGACCCTGTAAAAGAGGCTTCCTGCAGCAAGGATGACTCTACATAGACACCGTGTTCATAAAGGCTCTCTATAGCCAGCATACCTCTTGACATTTCTGAGGTAAAAGGATGCCTGGCAGCATAAGAAAATAACTGACTTATGACATCATATCAAAAGTGCCTCACAGGTGACAACACACATTACCATGTGAGGGAGGCTCCATATAGATTTCTCCCCCCCCCCCTCCCCTCTCCCACAATTTCTAGATAAATATGATGAAGCCCCAGTAATGCATTCTTGGTCTGTTTCACTGGAATAACCTAAGCCTGTGGCAGAGGCTCCCTACAGGTTTCATTAAGAGTTAATAGCTTCCTCCAAAGCGGGCTACCTGTGCCAGCAAGCCTGTTCTACTGGGCATCTTTCCTTGGCATTTGCCAATTACTTACAGCTATCAAAATACCAGCCAGTTCATCAGGATCTCCAGGGCGAATAAAATGCATCATTCCCCAAGGGTTTCATTATTGCAACTGGGCATCAATATTAAAAGGAGTGAGCAATCAATTACACCAGACCATCAATTACAACAATTTGGACATAATCCATGACACTCTAAAATTGGTTTTCATGACCTTGCCAAATCTTCTTTCCTCAATAAATACATATTGGTGGATGCCTCAACAAGCATCAGCTCTGAAGCATCCTTGATGGCTGTGCTAATATATGTGCAAGAGCAAATAAATTAAAAACAGATATAGAGACAGGTGCAACAGGCCTAAAAATTTATCTGAAGGGAAGAAAAACATTTACACAAACTGTTCCCTAATAAACCATGCAGCATTATCTCTCTCCTGCTTTCACCAGCGATTGTGTAAAACTGTTCAGAGGCTTAAAAATTACTTTTACAATTGATGCATTTATTTATTTATTTATTTATTTATTTATTTATTTATTTATTTATTTATTTATTTATTTATTTATTCATTCATTTATTTATTCATTGTGTCAGTTAAATGATTTCGATCAAAAGTTGGCTTAAAAGGCAGTCTAAGTCACTCTATGCATTATAGCCTGAGATTTACTCAAACCCTAGGTAATCCTCAGTATAATGCTCTAACAAGGATATCCAATTCCATTTTAGAAGCACCTGTTTCTCATATTTGTTATTTATACCTGTGAGAAAAACAATATTATTCACTGGTAAAATGGGCCTTCTCAATGTTTTATACTCTTGCTATTCTATAAGTATCTATGTAAAGGAACTCTCTTGTTACAAAATGATTAAAAATATATTTGGCAAAAAAAAAAATGTAGTCCCAAGGATTATAACCCATAAACATATTTTTCCTTTCACAGAACAACTGTTTAAACACTTTTGTAAAAACATACAACAACACAGCTGTAATGTAATTATTGGTACACATCTCTTATCTGTCCACAACATCTTGATTTATCACATCCCACAGTATGTTCATTTATGTAACATGATACAGATTGATACAAACTGTGTAGCAAAATCATAGCACAGAAAATGACTGATACTTTTATTAACTGAATGCAAATAAAATAAATTGAATTTCAATAAATTTACTGAAACAACAACTAGCTTTTACTAATGGATTCAGCAAGCAGTAAAATTAAGAAAATGATGGTATCATGAATGGTAGTGAATACTCCATTAAAATTGGATCCAATTTCAGTACTTAATGCCAAGTGCCTGTGTCACCTCTTTTATACGTTCAAATCTCTGTATCCAAACACCTTCTCTTAATCAATTTTCCCCAACCTTTGTATTGAACTCATCACCATTTTAAGGTTTTTATTTCTAACTCTACATTTGATTGTTTTTTCCCCCTCAAATTACGCTTTCAAACATGGCAAGTCATTGGTGATGCTTTTTGCTCACTCTGTCAATTTATTTGACAATATTTTGGCAATAAGATGTCTACATAAAATTGAAGTAACTATAAACCAAGAATGGGTTAATGATTTTACCATCTACAAAAAAGTCAAGGGTAAATCTAGAACATAAGTGAGGAGTAAAGCACTCGTATACTTAAACTAATCAATCACTAACTATAAAAAGCTCAGCTGGTTCAATTAATAAGGTACTCTCAACTGCACAACACTGACGATCAATAATGCCATACCAAAGAGAAAGCCCTCTCAAGGAAAAGGCATCATTTTTTTTCAATAAATAATAGTGAAGTATAAATTAAAAAACGTCACCTGACTCTTGTTAATATAAAATAAGAAACAGAAGCAACACTTGCTGCCAGAACCTCACAACATACTATATTTGCCATTTTTTCCTCTGCCAATAAATACCACTTTAAACAAGTTCAAATATATATGCAAATTATACAGTTATTTGGAAATGAGAGACCATTCTTTACATAAAGCTGTGTTCACACAAGGTCTAGCTTAGAAAGGACAGACAACCAGTTAAAAAAGAATCCCCCTTTGGATTTTAGTCTGAATCCTATGTTAAGCATGTGGTTGTTAGACAACTAAGTCAATCTTAGTCTTAATAACTCATGTGAACACAGCCATTAAGACTGTCAATTTATGCCAAGTCAGTATAAAGGCAATGAAAATTTTTAATCAGTACTTTACCTCTACCCCAGTCACTCCAAAAGCAGTCTCAATGTTTTGGGTCAGTCTAAATGGAACTTTCTCTGGTACTCTGAGGCTCTTTCCTTTTTCAAAACACACATTATAGTCAATATGAACAACCTGTAATAAGAAACAACATAAGTTTAAATAGATAATCTTTTAAAAGGCAAACCATAATTATCATCCTGTATGTCTCAGGTAAAACATTCCAATGTCTGTCACTTAAAAGGGAAAACTTGACACACTGAATGACTACTGAAACATGTCTGAAATACATGTTATACCAATCAGCATCAAATCTTAGGAAAAAATACTACACAATAAGTTAAAATCTAAACAATAAAAAAATAATACACGTAAAACTTTTTTCTCAATTATCTCACATAAAATCAAACGAATATCTTCCATGAATCCAAAAAATTAAAAAATATATATATTCCCCTACCTCCCCAGAGGTCAAGTCAACCAGCACATTGTCCAGATGTCTGTCTCCGAGGCCAATAATGTACCCTATCATGGACATGACAGCTGTGGACCTAGCATAGGTCTGGGTCACCTGCCACCACTCCTGACAACTAGTACTACTACACCATAACTCCCTGGAATATATGCAAAAATACATACACACAACCACTGCTATGCTGTTATTCCCTATAATGCTAGCAAAAGAAGTGACAGCTGTGAAAAAAAACATCATAATAAAGTAAAACACTACATAACCTGTAATGACTTCTGGCACTATAAAACAAACAAAAAAATACCCACCTTTTGATATCTGCAACTTTATAAAACTTGTACAAACTACTCAAGTTCCTGACATCAAGAATATTTAGTGATTAAGCCATTCATCTCGCAACACATCGTAATTCCTCATTTCTTGGCTTTAAAACAACTGCCAAGAGCAAAAACCCCCAACTAACCTAGCTAGCAGATCTGCTGGAGTCTCCTTCATCAGTTCTTCCAACACTTGTCTCTGTACAGACAGTGGCCACTCCTTCCTGACCTCTAGGTTACTTACACCCTACAAATGCCAGGAAAAAATCACAACCACAAACAGTTTACAATATAATATAGACAAATTATAATTTTACTGAAAAGGACATGTTGAAATTTTTCAATGTCAGCTACTGTAATGTTCAATTAAATTGAGAAGAAGTAAAAATTCATTTGTCATTAAGAATTCTTTAATCTGATACTTCCAATAAGATCAATGCACATTATGGTAAAAGAGACATTACCTTTTCTCTCAACATTGGTGTAAGCTTTCTGTAGTAAACCTCACTTGGTCTTGGAATACTAGGGTTTTGCTGTGCTTGCTGTCCATGAATCTAAAATGCAAAAAAAAAATTGCAATGAACCATAAAACTGATTATACATGTTAAAATGTTGCAATAAGAACATTACTTCAAACTGCATATAATGAAGTTTTCAACAGCTTAAAAATTAATCATATATTTGTTTACTTTCAAAGTCTGTGCCACTGCCTCTCTCTGTTGCCATCTTTTATAGAGACCAAACAAGGGGGTGGCTCCATCTACCCACTGGATTAGACCAGAACGGGGACCCAGGGGGGTCACAGAGTAGTAACGCGCACAGTGCTTCTTCTTTTTGCCCCTAAAATTAATAAGATAGATATCATGTAAACTATTCATTATATTTCAATTTCAATTGAACAACATACTCAATGGTCAATTACTACCACCAATTGTAGGATGCTGAGCTTTCCCCAATGTTGAAGTTCACATAAGCATTCTAATAAATGTATATTAATTTTGATAAATCACCAAGTAAAAACATAAATATCTAGGAGGACTTACTTGTCTGACTTGGCAAACATGTTATTTACAATGGTCAAGAACTGCATAATTCTCTCATCTAAGTGTAGATCCTCAAGACCTTTGAACAGATATGGGTACCTAAAAAGAAATTCCATTAAAAGAGAACATATTTCAAAGTGGTACAATTTTGGTCTTCCTCTCATCAAAATTGGATTATTAGAAATTTACAGAAAATCTCAAAATGTTGTTTTATTCCTACAACACAAATTCATGAATTAATTACAGTGAGACATGGTTTCAAAAATCAAGCAAAAATCACAGCAACTCAAATTTAACATAATTTCAACAACAGTGACCTTCAGTTTTAATTATTTTCATAATGTGACAAACTTACTTCCTGCCATCCGAGCCAATAAAGATCATCTTCTTAGGCTTGGTCTTGGTAGGCAGTATCTGGGCAGTGTTGTATATTGAATCAATAGTGACAACCTAAAAAAGCCTCAATCATTAGAGCAACACCATGCAAATGCAGACTGCATTTCATAACATATAAAGTAATTACCAGCTACCTTTAAGTTTATAAGTGATAAAATATATTTTATTGCTCTGTTTGAATATCACTTTGCTTAAAGGGATAACAACTGTTCGTTTTGGCCCAAAAAGCATATTTTCCTGTGGTTAAACAATTTTCCTATACTTACCAATGGTTAATGAATCCATTCCAACATTCAAAGTTAGTCCATGTTTTTTTTTTTCTAAAACATTGGTTGTTTGTAAAAATCTCTCAGATTACTATGGAGATATAACAGTTTTGAAGGCCTATGTGGTCTGATGGCAAGCACAGATTCCAGAATAATTGCGATAACAGTTGTTTTGATGGTAAAATGGAATTTATTATATTTCTATGAGTTGTTAATGTGTGTGTGTGTATGTATGTGTGAGTGTGTGTGAAAGATGAATCTCAGATATCTCCTTAAAGACTAAATAATGGAGCCCCACCTGACCAGTCCCACTGAGTCCAGGCATGGCAATCACAGTGCTCTTTAACTCTGACAACTTTGTACTGATCTCGTCTATCTTCAGGAGCAAACTGCTTCTCTTCTGTGCACGCTGCTGTAAGCTGTGATGCAGCTACAAAGACAAAGATTTATCTGTGAAAAGTAATCATAGTTGGTTGCCTATCGCAGTATGTCTACTCCTTGACTAAATAAGCCTTATTTTCTAGTAGCTAAAATGACAGATCTTGAATGCTTATGGCATTTGCCAAACATCACAATCTGAAATCAGCTAAAATAAAAAGTTCAAATACTAATTCCTCTGCTTTGTGGCCAAAAAGAGCATACTCATTTCTTCCATATCATTTCAACAATATTAAAGTCCTTTTAAGTTCTCAAATTATTTTTTAAAAATTCTTCAAGTTTATGTCTAATATAATATCTGCTCTCTAAATATAGCTTAAAAAAATTACTAAAATTATCCTCTACAAATTGACTGTGCACCTGTTTGAAGAGCTGCCAGCTGCTGCTGGGGCTGCTTGGATTTGGAGGGTTCTTCAACCGTTCCAGTGCATCATCAATGGTCTTCCCATATGTCTGCTGGAACCACTGTTCATTGGGGGTCTCCGCAGGCTGGGAGGTTAGCTCACGCAGACGCTCAAATGTGTAGACAGCCTATTAAGTAATTATACACACACACATATATATAAACAAATCATCAAAGGAATACTGAAGTATAAATTTAAAGGAATCCTCATCTTAAACATTGGGGCAGATACCATTCTGAATCATGTGTTAGAGTGTAAAACAATCAAAATGAAAGGAAAGGCACTGTCTTTCAAAAAGTAACAAAGAACAAATGAAACCCCTTTTTCCAAAAATAATCTGTGAATAATTCCTTGAATATTTTGAATCAAATACAATATAAACAAAGACAGCCAACAAACTTACAGGCTTGAACACAATGTTATGTTTCTCCTTCACAATGACTTCTTTCTCCTCTTTGGACAGGGAAGAGTTATTCATCACTTTCCTGATCTCGTTATCCAGCTGTGTGATTCTCTTGCTGACATCGGGGTGATGCTGGTTCAGGCTGCCCAGCCACAGCTCATCCCAAAGAACAGTGATTCTACGCAGCTCCTGGACAAACAGCTGCACTTCTGATATCATTCTGAAAATAAGAATTTAAGAAATCAGAATAAAAAATATGAAAAATGGACTGTTTAGACAATATCTGCTCACAGAACCAAATTGCAGAAAAGTAATGAAAACACTAAGTACCCTCATATCATAAAATAGATTTGTCTTTGTGTAACTTGATCACAAGAGAAAATCATAATGTAGAAACTTGCACTTAGTTGACTTTGTGAGTGAGTGATGGTATTCAATCCACGGCAAATTTCATTTACCAACCACTGACATGCTTAAGAAAATTGGGAAGAGAATAGACTGTATAGACTGTGTAGAATGCGTCTACTTAATTTTGCTTAAAAGTTATATCTTCCACAACTTGACAGATGTAGAAATGCTTCCTTATTAATATGACCACATCTAAGACTAGAAACAACCACCCCAAACTCACACCAAACTCTCACCTTGGATTGTAATGTGACAGTGTATCTACCAGAGCAGACAGGTAATCCTGTAGCAACATTTTATTATGTTCATCTTCAGTCTCCTCCAGCTCCTCATTCTCCTGGTCTCCTTCTGCCTCCTCCTCCTGGGCTGACAGGTAACGCTGTAGCATACCTACAGTACAAGTTATGTTGGAATTTTCAGCTTTAAAGTGATGCATTCGAAGTGAGTTTGCATTTAAATCATTGCCACTAAACTTGGCCAAATAGCATAACTTAAAGAAATTAAAGAAACTTAGGGTATAATCAAATACCTTACAGAAATGAAATATTAACTATGCTAGCTTCATATATAACCTTCAATAGCAGTTAGAGCAGTAAACAAGCTTAGTAAGCACATAAATAATACGTAAATGTCATCCAAGTAACTGATTAAAATCCAATCCAATTGCAGAAAATTATGAGCAGTCAATAAAAATATTTGTAAGGAGTCTGGGAGGAGATAAGTTAACAACTGCATTTAAAATAAACTTCATCATGTTATCATTTCAGAACACACAAAATAAAACATACAAGTAATAACAGGTCTTGAACAAAGCCAAAGTAAATCTTACTGTCTCTGGTAGTGCTGTTCTTGTCTCTCTGAATAGAAGTGCACCCTACAACTGCAGGGTAGACAATGAGATGTGGAGCATCCTGTGCAAGGCGACACAGCAGGTCTGACACACTCTGACGCACATAACTCTCAGGGTGATTCAGTCTTGAGAACAACTGAGGAATGATGCCTGGAATGAAAAGTGGAAGAGGATACAAACTAAAGGATTTTACTCAGTGACACATAATGTGAAAATATATCTAAAAAATGACTATTTATGCAATATTGTGCCAAAAGGTAACCACAAAGACTACTGATCATAAGCTAGATATTTTATTCAAGAAGTCCTTCATTATCAATAAATACGGTTACAATAGAAATTCTTACCTAAAACAATTTGATTATATCTATTTTAGCAATCCATCACACCCGTCTCTCTCAGCAAGTATACCAACATACAGCTATGAATGTATCAAATATCACTCACAACATTAAGCAAGCCTTAATCTCTGCATAATATGTCTCTCTTTATTCTACTGGAATCTCACCTTTCCAAGGAGCACTAGGTGTCTGTGCCAGTCCATCCTCCAGGATGTCTCTCAATTCCCAGGCATGTTTCACCAGCAGTCTCAGTAGTCTCAAGGTGGCTGTGATGTTACCATCTTCATTGCTGTCTGTGTCATACTGCAAAGAGAAAAATCAAAATATGCTGACTTGTAGTTAAAATTTTTTTTTAAATTATTCATGCAGCATTAGTTGTTGGCAAACAAAACGGTTACCAGGTCTTCCATCCTAAGATAACAAGTGGATTTTTTTTTTTACATGAACTATAACAATATCTTTTTTTTTTCATATGGTATTCTATCTTCATATTAATCATCTTTGTAATTTTATTTTTTTAAAACTATCCTTGATTCTAGTTTCAAAATTGGCATGACATTTTTTAACTCAAAAGATTAATAAAATAACATCATTACATGTAGATATTGCAATGTGTTACAAAAGTTACAAGGCATGCAAAATGTGCATCAGAAAAATTGTATTAAAAATTCTTAAAAAATAATAATGTATTTCTAAAACAAAAAAGAGCCAGTAACCCTAGAGGCCAGATCTTACCCCAGAATTCAGCTTGATGTATGTGAAGTAAGCCTTAGCAGACAGCTGATAGTAGTGGTAGATTCTGTGTACTATCCCTCTCCACACATTGAGCAGCTGTTCTATGCAGTCATCACTGGCTATCTGGAGAGCCATGCAGCCACTCAGTAACTGTCTTCTAGTTGTCTCAGTGCCATCATCATACAAAGACTGAAAAGAAAATGTGATTTCATAAATAACTGAAATAAAACAGGCTCTGAGTGATCACAGATAATGACTTACAGGGACACATGTATAATTACAGATTCCTAAATTTCTTGCTGTGCAAAAAGTTAAACAAGTACCATTAAATTTCAGTACCAGAATATGTTTTACTAATTTTTTATTTCACATGTATTTTACATAATTGACTTAATTTTCTCTTATTTCAATAAAAACAACTTCATAAAACCACAATGCTTGTTCTACTTATAAAAGCTAATCATGAGTATACTGCTTACAATAAAGCATACTATTAACAAACATCTAATTTTTTTAAAAATATATATTTGTTACCTGGTCCTGATCACTGATGTCTTCTTCACTACTAATACCAGTGTGGACTTTACTCATTGTACTCAGAATGTTGTCTGTGTCTTCCTTGTTAATTCCCTAGAAAATAGAAAAAAACATTATTTTTTTTCAGAATTATGAATTCTAAATTTTCTAAAACAAGGACATGTTGAAAGAATATGGTCAGGAGCAGCCATCTCTTTTTTATTGGACATTATTGTCAAGAGAAGTCTGGTGCAAAATAAGTATGCTACTTACTTTTGGAAGAATGGACAAAATCTGTTCTTTTTCTCTAGGCAATAATTCAACAGTGCCATGGCTGAAATAATGTGAGAATTTGTTAATTCTAACAACAAACTGAAATGTAAACAGCCTGACCAATAAATCAAATTATCACTTGGCATATGTAAATATCAGATAATGCTAACTGCAAGGCATAAACCAAAGCACCACAAATTACTACATAATTATAGACAATAGCGTAATGATGTGACAATGATAAAAAAATCACTTACCTAGCAGTGTCTACAACTTTTCTGCCCCACCTGTAGCACCAGCCAGCAAAGGCAAACCAGCTCTTGGCCAGGGAGGGGCACTGCCCTGTACTCAGGTGCAACAGGCGCCCCAGGGCCATGTCAGTCTCTGGAATTACTGGGTGCTCCCACAGTCTTTCATCTGGTACATGAAAAAAAATGCGACATGATATTTGCAGCAAAACAACTGAAGTTGATTCATTCTAAAGTTTAACGTTACAGATATCCACAATTTCTTTTCACACCAGTAATATGCACAAATAACTGATTCACAATAAAGATATTGAACTAAAATACATGTCAGTATCAAGAATACTCTGAAACTTTATACCAGCTCTTATGTGCAAAAGCAAGAAACTATTTTTACACCAATTTAAATAAAGAAATGCAATCCGTAAAATATGTTTAAGTATCAACCACTCTGCTCAAATCAAATACAAGTATTATTAAGCTCGCTTTATCAATTAAATATAAAACATTAAGACCAAATGGAAGTACAAACCAATATCTGTATCATCATTTATACTGCTCTCTATGTCGATCAGGGTCTTGAGATTGGAGGCCAGCCTTGACACAGCAATGTCATCCCCCTGCCCACTCATCTTCAGCTGGGAGATCAGTGAGGCAAATGTCTTTTGATCCGACTGAAGCCAGTTGCCAAAACTCAACAATGACCTGACAGAGAAAAGAATTATATTTGTGTCAAGTGTTTAATTTAACATGAGACAAACCACACACCATGGGTTTTGATCTATTGGAAATCAACGCAGAGAAATTAACACTGCACAAATTCCTTATAATATATAATCATAAGTTGAATACAGTTAGGAGTTAGGAAGCACTTCTCTGTACTTTATCGATTTCTTTGTTTGTTTCACTAGCGATCAATTTAAATTTTTTCTTCACCATTATCTTCATAATAACATAACCACCTTGAAACAAGCTCCACAGTATTCTCTCCAGCCTCAGTTTCCCAGTGTGCTAGTATACTGTTACTGGTCACATCCAGGGCCTCCTGAACCTGGGAGTTAGCATGGAGCCACTTGGACGTCTCTCTCTCCAGTAACAACAAATGATGTTCATCTATGTCCCCATTGCGCTGCTGGACTTTGGCCAGTGTCTCTAAGACTGAATGTTCCTTGGCCGTATCGTCCTCTGGCAACACAGAGTGCATGTCTTTAATGAGGAATTTTTCTGCCAGGTTGAAGTTCATCTGTTTCCTGGCCAGCCTGGCAGTGGCAAGTTGAAGTTGTGACAGTTGAAGTTGTTGAAGTTGTGACAGCTGGGATGAAAATTCTGAAATTGAAATAAATGATAAATTGCAATAAACAGGAATTAATGTAGATTTCCTGGTAAAGTTGAAATCCATTAGCTTCAGACTTATTTCATATAGCAGCTAAGTGAAGCAAAACTGCTCTAAAGAGCATTTTTACTGCACAGCATACTTCTATTGTAAGGAAATGTGCTGTCTATTCATTAGTTCATAAGTGTAAAAAAATCTTTAAAATGCAGCTAAATATTCTGTCTCAAGAAAACGAAAATGATTTAAACTGTTTTTTTTAACTGTAATGGCACTTTTAGCTATTGCTATACTTATCTACCACACACAAAACACCATACCTGGATCACTGTATACATTGAACTGAAGCTGCAGGGCAGTAATTCTACACAGCTGATTGTACACTGAAACATTGTCTTCATCTGCATTCACCTTTACATCCTTGGTCATGGGCAATGTAGAAAACTACAACACAGATGCAATAGAAAATATCCTGATCTTGATTGATAGGAGTATGCATAATAATTTACATTAAGAAAAGTTTCAAAAATATCTTTAAAAATTTAGGAAAATCACTGAATCATTTTTATTCAAAAATAAGCATAATACACAAACCAAGTCACATTACAACCGCATCAAAAAATGAAAAGTTCCGATCCATTCCACTGACAGAACTTGGGATGTCTATTAATTTCTAATTCATTATTCAAAGCAAAATTTTCAGTGTTATAATAATAATAATAAGTTTACTAATACAAAGCCACTAAAAGGTTGAAGTCGTACATAAAATGGATTGGGATTAAACTAAAAATTAAAACATTTATATAAAATAGAGGATATACAATGAGACCAAAATGAATCAAAAACAAATAAAGCACAAACCTCTAAAAGTATGATAAAAGCAATGGGGATGAAATAAAAGATATACAATAAAGACCAACCTTCTTGTTCTCTCCATTCACCCACTGCTTGAACCTTTCAGAACTATGTGACATCAATAAAGCCTCTGGGGACAACCTGGCAGGCCATTCCATACAGTTGATCCTCAACACATCTTCACTCAAAGTTCCACACTGCTCCAACAGCTTCATCAAGTCAGTTCTGGAATGTCCAGTTCAGTCACATTTTTATAAAGATCTTTTCATTCATGAGACATATCATTATGGTAAATGTTGTATCTCTTTTGGGGGAAGATTTTGTCATTTTCTGCATATGCTTAATATCTCTTTATTAGGGATAAAAAACTACTTTGTAATCTCATGCCAGGGAAGATCTTGAAAAATCTCTTTGTGACTTTTTTTCAAAACCAAGTACAAAACAGCCCTATTAAATAATAAAAAAATATAATAATGGTCCTCACAGCTGTTCACTACTGCCTGTTTTGACCAGGGTCGTGGCCTTCAGAAACTGAAGCTGTATGGCCTCCAAAATTGCTGTCTGGTCCCATCTCAGATCTAGATCCAAGAATTCGGCATCATCATCCTCAACTGATGCTCCAGGAACTAGGTCCAGATGTTGCTTAACACTAGTAAAGTCAAACTCGTCAAAGCTGGCCAGGGCTCTGAAATATATGTATTTATATCAACAATAAATATTTTAAGCTTAACCAATGATCTTGTACTGTACTGTGCTGCAATTCAGAAAGATTTCTAAAATTCTTTTCTTTTCACTTAAAGTCTAAACAATGTAACATTAAAATATAAATATTATTGTCTAACATCCAATAAATACAAATGTTAAGTATCCATTAAAAAACTTAAGTTCAACACTCAAAGTACTAAAACACATTTCCCTCACTTACTTGACATAATTCAGGTCCAAGGCATCTGAAAGCAGTTTCTGTCCAGATGTTCCTCCGTTTTCTGTCCTCAATTCCTGCACAGACTGCTGCCACTTTAGAACTTCTTCCCAGTCGTTCAGGTTCATGTAACACTCTGTCACCTGTTAAAAATTACAAATGATGCCAATGCTATAAACCTCCATTTGTCCAATGAAATTCAGCAATGATTCCCATTTGATTCTATCTAACCAAAGGTCAACAGCCACAAAAATGCCCATTTTCATCCAAATACATCAGTATTGTAATCTCATCATATTTTAAATCACAGCATTACAGAAATTGCTAATATTTCTGTGATAATAAATTTCCTAGTCTGACCTGTTCAGCAATGAAGCCCGCCAGGTCTGGGGAGGTCTCTGTGGGTTTGGGCAGGATGGACTTCCGCACCAGGACCTCCACATTCACTGATGATTTAGGGCTGTTGGGAGGGGAATCCCCAGAGGAACTGTTCCCAGATCTCTCTTCACTCTGGCTCTCCTGGGCCAAGTAGTTCTTTAATACAGTTGTCAAGTTGCTGGCGGCCATTTCATATCTAGAGCAAGAGAAAGGATAATAGCCAGTCCTAAATGCCATCTTAATTGTACAACTATTAATATACAGAATCATGATTGTGAATCACTTTTAAAATAAGTTTGTGATTATTAAACATATTGATTCTGAATAATATTTCAATACAAAGCACTTTTTTCATTAGACAAAATTAACATAGTCTGATAAGGATAAATATTCATGTTATGCAGACAGATGTAAATAACATTTAAGGTATACAAATGTATTTTGGAATTGATTAGCTAATAAACATTGACAAAAGTTAAACATAGTTATAAATGTATTTGTATTATGAAAAAAGAAAAACAATGTAAAAATAACAATTAGAACAACTTAAAAATAGAATTTTTTTAAGAAAAAAAAAATGCACCAAAAAGATCTCACCTTCCAGCAACCTTCTCCACAATGGCTTTCAGCCAAGACATTTTCTTGTTGATCTGTTCTTTGCACCATGTATACAGTCCCTGCACAGCCTCGGGACTCTGAAGGTCACCTAGAGCCCTCACCAAATACATCAGAATCTCTTCCAAGTCGGCAGTCTGAAATATCAGACAGAAAACCTTTTCAATACAGATAGAAAGCATATTTGCACACATAAGAAATATCTTACTAAAAAGTTAATAAAAGTATCATAAAAATAGTGTACAGGAACACTATCACTTCATTTAAAACCAAAGATAAAATACTACACAGCAAACAATAAATGCCAATAAGTATGCAGAAATATCCATGTTAATTAATTGAAAAATACAGGAAGTTAAAAAGACAAAAAAATTGAAAATTAATTTTGATATCAAATACACATAAAACATAAGTAAGTTTAATAATTGTAAAGCTTACCCTTATTCTATTTGCTGCTCTCATCTCGTACAACAACTCAAAGCCTTGCCTAACTGCCATGGCAGGTTTCCCAGCGTGTAGTGCCAACTGCATCACATTCAGTCTGTTCCTGTGGAGCCATTCTATACAGGTATTCTTATTTGTTCTGAAGAATGTTCTGGCAGCCTGGAAATATCATTGTGCAAAATTTTGCATTACTTCAATAATTCACTAATATGTACTAGTTGTTTCTTTAAACTACAATCTTAAACTAAAGTTCACCATCACATTTTCTCTCATAAACAATAATCTGAAACTAATTCATCCATTACTTTTAATACAGCATACAGGAAATACAGAAAAGGGATACATATAAAAAATATTTAAAGTGCACCTTAGGAGGTGTTGCTATGGCAACAGCACATCCCTCATAAGCACTATAAAGCAGTTTCTCCAGGTTTTCCATGAATTGAAGCAGTAGACTGGCTCTCAAGTGGTCAATATAGCAAGTATCATTCTCACCTACAACAGAAGTGTTGGACATTGTCCATAATAAATATAATAATAATATTATAATAATAAAAAATGCAGAGACAATAAAAAATATCATATGAGTTTGCCATACCTCAAGAAGTGTTATCCTATCAATTTGGTGTAATTTTGACAGAGATTTGATGTTATTATAAATGATTGTCTATTCAACAGATCCTTCACACAGACATATGTTTATGACCCATACATTGGTTCCCGTTGGCAAGGTGATGTTCATTATCATCCTTCTGTTTCAGCTCATTTATATACATCTTGAGGGCCTCCTCCACTGCCATGAAGGTCTCATTAGGTTTCCCTAGAGGTGTTCTGAGCCTGGAGACTATAAAGTACTGGGCAGCCTCCCACATGGACCAGAACCACAACACGGCATCATTGTTGTCAGCCTATCAGAAATACACAGGACAATAAAACTAAAAACTAAATAAAAATAAATCATTTATTCAGCTAATACACACAAACACAGTATGTAAAGTATATATCAAAAATTGAATCCTTTCTCTGCTCTTAAAATTGATATATAAATGTGATTCAGAAATGATAATAGTAATTTTACTTCACACAACATAGGGCAAAAATAATAATAAATTGACACCTGCAAGTTTACTTGTGTCAAATTTATGAAATGTTGTCTGTTATTTCACATCATAATAAATAACAATAAGAAAATTTACTTCATAGCAATTTAATGAAACATGCTTTACAATTTTTCCAGCAGTTTGCATTCATTATTATCCCAGTCAGTTCATACAAACAATCCTGGTCAGTTCATACATAGCCACACTATGTAACATGATGATAATTTGCACTTACCATAGAAGACATCTCCACCCATTCCTGACTACTGGATCCCTGTCTAGGTCTTCTTTGTGAGCTGTAGAAAACCCTCTCCAACCAACTCCTTGTCATGTAATCACTGAAATGTTAACAGTTTTCATTTGCAATTCATGGCAAATATTAGTACATATGTTTTAGTATTTTTGTATGCACAATCTTCTGCTTAATTTATAATAAAACAAGGTAAAACTAGAGATCTGCCTTTTTAAATATACTGTACAAATCTTGCAACAAGCTAAACTGAACAAATAAAACAATTATATAACAAGCTAACTTTTAAAAAACCAAGCAATTGTGGAGAGCCTAATTAATCCAATGGCCTTTAAAATCCTGCTCTTCACCTACCAAATATCATCTTACATGATATTGTAAGTGTAGTTCTACAATACTGTACATTACAAAACATGCATTTAGTATATCTTACTTTGGCATGTGTTTATACAGCAAGAAGCCCATGACATTTTTGAAGTTGTGGGCTTGAAATGTTCCCTGTGGAGGTCTCATGAGATGGGCCCTCCTTCCCAGCCAGTTATTTTGCAGGTCCTGACTACAAGATGGCTTCCTGGGTTCTCCTTCATAGCTGAATTAAATCAAAATTTCTAATGAACTGCACAACATGAGATATACTAAAGACATCTTCATCAAAGCTAAATTAAAACTAATGAAAATGAAACAATAATGATAATAATTATTATCATTTATTTGATTCTTATAATAATTTAAATTATCATTATCATTTATTACAGTGCACTGAATTTCTTCAAAGTGGTCAAATATGTCAATTATTCAAATCAAACTTGCTGCTAAAATAAGTGCTGCTTCTTCAAAGAATACAAGTATCTTTACAGCCTTTACAAAAAAGTTATCTGCACAAAATGCACAATATCTATGTTCCATTCCTTACCTTATTGTTGTATTAACTGGCAACAACCTAAACAGCCCAAAGTATTCCTTTCTTATTGCTGCATCACCATCACTCATGTGGACTAGGCAGAGGTCAATGCACCTAGAAAGAAAAGATTGTAATCCGATTTACAATATTTTCCAGTAAATTATATGCATGCGTGCGTGCATGTGTGTGTGTTTGTGTGTGTGTGTGTGTGTGATAGATGAGTGAGGCCACAGAGATATCTGGCTGCTAAAAAAAGATGACCCTCACTTTAAATGGACACAAGACGAAAATCTTTATTCAAGAACTGCTTTGGCACCACTCCCCTCCACACAGACCCTGTGACAAAAAATTACAAATAGCAGATATGGGACAGCGACATATTCAATACAAGTACCAGCTCAGGATTATCGTAAGCTACCCACTCTCATAATGACAAGATTTTTGGATTTCATGCTAGAGACAAACATGAAGGTTTGATGGCAGAGCAGTATTCATTTGGTGAGAAGATGGTCGCAGATGTATCGCTCTGCAATACAATGGGTGTTTGGCAAAAATATTACAGGTTCTCTGAGGAGCAAGTCGGTCCCTAGGCAGGTGCAGCACTATGCAGACATTCCTGAGAACAAACGCTGTATGGTTTCATCATTTGAGGCCTACGTACCCTTCTCAAGTACCACCAATCCAGAGATTTTAAAGATGTCCTATTTCAAGAAAAGATTGGATCATAGCCCTTAGTTCACAGCCAGTGGGCCTGAATACTTTATCAGGATATATACCCAAGATGTTTAAGGAGGCTGGCATTGATGCACGAGGGAGAATTATTACAGGACAGAGCAGCAAAGTTACTTGCCGTACTGAGTTATATAAAGCAGGGTTTGATGAACAAATGATCAAGAAAGGAGCAGTCACACTTCCAGTGCAGTCCAGCTATACAAGAGACCCTCCCTTGAACTGGAACAGGAAGTAGGTGAAGTTTTACAACCCCCTCTACTAAAGTCAGCCCCAGTCGCTTTGTGCAGCAGCAGGAGTGCTAGCACCAGCAGCAGCAACAACACCACCAGCAGCAGTTTAGATATTGAGAAGTTCCCCCCCCCCCCCCCCCCCCAAAAAAAAACGCTACTTCCTCTCCTCTATCATGTATTGATAATAATTATAATGATACCCTGACACTTCATGCGGAGGAGTAGGGCATGTGAGGTAATGGTCACAAAGGCTTAGGGAGGCTCAAACTTTTGGGCATTTTTCTTTAGTTTTGGTGCTGTTTGGTTTGAATTTGAGGACTCAACCTAGTTTACAAAGTCTTCTAGCAGGGTTTGTGCATGGTTGGACACTAGTAAATGATGGCACAGTCTGCCATTACCAGCTTTCTAATGGGCACCATGGAGAGGACTGAGATCCAAGATGTAGGACAATCTGATGATGATGATGATGACTAATCTAGCCCCGTTCAGCCTCCTGGATGTAAACAAGGTAGGCCAAATACGGCTGAAAATAGGAAAGTTTTGTGCGACATTTTTACCAATGATCCTGATCCAAAGAAAAGATTGGATCATAGCCCTTAGTTCACAGTGGGCCTGAATACTTTATCAGGATATATACCCAAGACGTTTAAGAAGGCTGGCGCTGATACACGAGGGAGAATTATTACAGGACAGAGCAGCAAAGTTACTTGCCGTACTGAGTTATATAAAGCAGGGTTTGATGAACAAATGATCAAGAAAGGAGCAGTCACACTTCCAGTGCAGTCCAGCAATACAAGAGACCCTCCCTTGAACTGGAACAGGAAGCAGGTGAAGTTTTACAACCCCCTCTACCAAAGTCAGCCCCAGTGCTTTGTGCAGCAGCAGCAGCAGCAGCAACACCACCACCACAGGCAGTTTAGATATTGAGAAGTTCCCAAAAAAAACAGGGATGAGACCAGTCCTCACTGAAAAAGTAGGAAAATTTGCTGGGGGTCCAAGGTACATGACTCACAAGAATGACCCAAATGACCCTGAAAAAGTCGGAATTCAGACAAATTTGGAAAAGTCTCATCAGTGAAAAACACTACTTCCTTTCCCCCATCATGTATTGATAATATTGATACCCTGACACTTCATGTGCTTCCTCAGGTTAAAAGAATTGTCAAAGAAGGAAGGAAATTTACTCTGGAAGTATTGATTTTTAAACTTTCAATATCACATTCTGTTTTGTAATTTACTTGTCATACAAACATGAGAACACAAAGTTCTATTTTCTGAGTAAATACTGTTTCATAGTATTGAAAGTTTGAAAATGAACTTGTTTTCATTGTTGTCTTATCTGTGTGTGCCCATCCATATATGCCCTAGGACCTGATAAACAGGGCCCTTATTGGCGAGTAACAGCAGTACAAAAGACCATGGAATGCACTGGTACATGAAGTGCTTGAATGTCAAATAAAGGACGGCTAAGTCTTTTGTTCTACATGCTAACCTTGGTATTAATACATGTATAATAAGATACATAAAATTCCCATTGCAAATTCTTATCATAATACTGCCATGGAAAAGAAGAGTAAGTAGAGGCTTACTACTTACCTGTCAATAAAGTTATCTGGGAAAGAAGTGGTCAGTTTCAGCACACTCTGAAGACAATGGCATGCTGCTGTGGTAATCTGTTTTTCTTTGTGGTAGCCTGGAAAACATTTAATATAACTGAAACCTTTCACTAAATTCAAATAATTTTTCAACAAAGGTTATCAAACAATATCAAAATACAATGTAGCTACAATTAATTTACATTTTTTAAAGTAGTATTTATAACACAAGGCAAAAATAATAACAAACTGACATAAGTTACAGCTTTTAGGAGTAAATTACCAAGAATGATCAGTGCTTGCAAAAGTTTGAGGAATTCTTCACTTTCATAGATGAGCTGAGTGGACTGGGTTCCTTCTATGATTTCTGCACTCCATTTCAAGCAGATGTGCCTAAACAGATATGAATGAAAATAATTAACAAATTGAGTAAAAAAATTGCTACTAACTTAGATCACTTACATATTTTAACAATGCAATCCAGTCTACTGTGACAAATTTAAGAAATTTAGTGATATGAAATACTAATAAATTTGAGAGAAAAACTTGGAAACCTATTCGGCATACATAAGTGTATTCACACAACATGTAAAAAAAAAATAAATAACACTTACAGTGTATCGGTTTGAGTTTTGTCACTTTCCAACAACTCAGCCAGATAACTCAGTATGCTGGCCAAGTGACCAATGCTGGTCTGACTAAGACTGGCCATGATAGAACTTGCATTCTGGGTAATCAACTGACTGGTAGAGATGAAGTGACCATGTCTAAAATTGGTATATAATATAAATCAATTCCATTTAAATCTCACATTTCAGATACATATTTACAATTCTTGCACAAAACAAATTCAGACTTTTGAAACATTTGGTCATAATTTTTTACAAATTACCCAATGGAATTAATTTTTAAGTGTGAATATCTAAAATTACGGCTCAAAGTGATTCTTTTCATTTGTCAAGACTTTTTTAAACCATTACTCAATATTGTATCGAAGGAAAAGAAAGGGGGGTTATCGGACCATGCCAAACCTCCCAATAGCTCACCTTGAACAGTGTGAATACAGCGTATAGACCATAGCATACTGCACTGCAGAGTAGCGAATTCCTAAAACTGAGGAAGCAACTCTCAGGTTCTTGGTAAATAAATCAAACAGACTGGGAATCAAGGCCCACATCTGGAAATAAAATTAAAAGACATTCAATTCTGTCAACATGCACTGTACAAAGTAGAACAATGACCCATTAAACAAAATTACATTTAGCTAAAAATATGTTGAAGGTTTTTTTTCCAGTTTTGTATTTGAAAATGCCGTAGCTAGGAGTGCAGTATGGATGTCATTCAATTGTGGAAGTAAATAAACAATACAATTATTGGTGAAATTCATTATTTTTTAAATATTCATTATTTTTTAATATAAACATACTCAAACTTACAGCTACTAAATTACTCTTATTGTTCCCAACTTCTGACAAAGCACAAAGATTGAAGATGACAACTGCTTCCGCCTGTTTGTTATTGTACACAGTTTCACTGTTCGGGTTTGCCATTACAAGAGGTTCCAATTCAAAACCAGATTTTTCCATCAAACAATTCAGGGCAACTTCCAGGTCCCCAAGCAAGTATCTAGAAGAGAATGAAAGAATGATAGATATATCTTCACTTTTAAAATTTCATATGTTTCCATACTGTCATCTCATTTTTGATGCAAACTGGGGATATTCACTGAATATGTATACATTGTATAAAAAGCTAAATGTTTATTCTGAAGCAATAAAACTAGTATTGTGTTCAATAATAACTGAATGCCAGTCAGGATTATCATTTGTGGTTTCGCTACCCTTTTTTGAACCATACAATTTGGTATTCATATAAGTATTTGATTGTTTTGTAAGGGTGCACATGCTAGTTTTCCAAATAACAGCTACACAAGTAAATATTTCAAAAAGCTTTCATAGGCATTTCTTTTTCCCCACAGCTTATTCTCTTGTGCCTCAATTACCTGTATGCCTCCTCCAATAATGGTACACTCTTCAATGACAGCACTGTGTGATATAATGACATAAACTGCATCAACACCTTGGACAAAATAGAAAGAGACAATTGAAATATATGAGCTGATTTATACAATTAACTATCATTGATGGAAAGCAAAAAAATTAAAATTAAAAAATTATTTTAAACTTGACTTATATAGCAGTTTGAATTTCTGATTCCAGCTTCTGAAAGTAGACAAAAAAACTCTATACTTACAACACCGGGTCAGACAATCTAACTCTAAAGACAATAAATTGTCAATTTCAAGTGCTCAAACAGTTCACAGATAAAAAAACAATTGATGAAAATTCTGTTTTATACCTGATCACAGGTGGAGAACTTGAGCCTTCCAAGAGTTGAATCGGACTTGAGGAACTTGCCAATGAAAGACAGGGGCACTTTTCCAGAAATCTGCTCTACAACCTTAAAAAAGAAAACCAATGATCAACATATACAAAGGCATACTGACACTAACAATGTGATCATTTCTAAACTTATGCACTTTATGTGCTTTTCTGTTGGCAACCAAGCGCACACTTACTTTCTGTATCAAGGCAAGCAAAGATATCCAATATCGATCACTGCAGACTTCTTGTTTCTGAAGCTGAACTTCAATGAAGGGCAGCAGGGTGTCACTACACTGGGCTGCACTGCCATTGAGATGTCCCACCAAAAGCTCTAAACACCAATTAGCTGCAACAGAAACAAAATAGCGAACACTGGTGATAATTAATGAACTAGACTTATCAGTTAAAAATGTGGACTTATGAAGAACGATGAAAAATGAAAACCTCAGGATCTCAAAATGTCTTCATGTCTACAGTTTAATAAGGTATTGATGAAATATTCAAACCATAATCAGTTTGTGAATAAAATTAAATTGATGGCTAGACACTGGAAATCAATACAGTATTTTCTTTTAAAATCTTCTTGAATTCTTACCAGCTTGTACAATGGGTTCATTGAATCCACCTTCCAAAGTTGTTTCAATGCTCTTTGTTATCCTTGTGACAATCTGTAATTATAATCATTAAGAATAAATTTCACTTCTAAATGCCAAACTCCTATACAGTTTCATCTTAAGAAATAAACAGTAAGCACATGTAAACATTAACTGTAAAAGTACATTCAATCTGCTCCTCACTTTTTAATCAAGCATTTGCCTTTGTAAAAAATGACTAATTATGTGTGCATATAATACCTTAAATAGGCTGGATGTGAATCAAATTATGTATTTACCTCTGTCAGATACTCAAACGTCAAAACAGCAGCAACTGCAGGAGTTAGGGAAGTTCCAAGACACTTTAAGACTGTTGTAAACACCCTGAAAAACAAATATTATCAATATAAATCTTTCCTATTAATTGAAATACACATTTTCATTATATCATAAATTAACCAAAAAACAGACTTATTCAAGTAACTGACACAAACCACAAAGAATTAGAATCTGATGAAGGAAATAACATGATATTAAAAAAACAAAAACAGACTTGGTAAACTGCCTGTCCTACTGATAATGACTGCTTGAAATGACAGAGGACCTGCAAGATTTTTCATATTGCAGGTCCTCTGGACTGCCAAGGTTTGTATGAGAACACAACAGCGATGATAAATCACATGTAAACATAGACTAACAAACATTAAATACTTAGTTTGGACCATGTATGTCTGGAAGCCAGTGCCAAATAAACACAGTACACCAATGACATTACATTATCACACTGGAGAGTTAAAACTGGCTGACCTCAAAAGTGCAGCAATTTTGGCCAGACACTCCTCCTCAGTGGGCAGGTCATCATCCTTACTCACTTGCTTGGTGACAATAAGATGGAGATCCTGGAGAGATAGATGTTTACACTACATTATCAGGTTCACAATAAACAGTGCATATACAGGGTTACTATATACGTTAAGTTTCTTTGCATAATCAGTTACTCAAAATAATGACATATCACCTACAGTTACTGATGTTTCATTTTAAAATTACATGCTTTGAGAACAGTAGAAGAAAATTAAACTCGGAATCAAACAGTAAGCTGAAGGAAAGTAGATAGCAATGTTTCCAGGGATATATGCCATTTAACCTAAGTAACACCATAGACCAGGCTACCAGCAGATCATTATCACCATTTCCTACTTAGCTCCTAATTTATCCCTAAATGCACTTCCTTACATCAGAATATGCCTCTATGTCCTCTATGAACTGTCCAAGTAAAGTGAAAGAGAAGTCCTTGTCATTTATCCAAAATGGCTGGAAACTGATAAGTGCTTCAGATGTATACTGTGTGACATTTTCTTTTTGTGTAGAGTCAATATGCCAGCCAACTAAGATGTCCACGGTATCCTAAAAAGAGAAGAGAAAGACAATTTGAGTAAAAATGACAAAATGCTAATGAACCACACTAAGCTACGAAACTACTCTCTAATTTTAACATCACATATAAAGTATAAATTTAAAACATTTATAAATAATAGTTATGCATTCCTTCAAAACTTACCAAAGTGACCATTCACTATCTTAATTAACATACACAAATGCTGTAATAAAAGTTTTAAAAACTTACAGTGTTGAATTCTAATCATTACATTCCAAGTAAGTACAAAGAGTGTAATGTTAAACTGCATTAGCTTACCCTAAAGTGTGATGAAAAAACATGTAGATAGTGTTTTGTCACGTGAATAATCACATCAACTACTGCTACCAACATTTCTGGTGTGTCAGCATTCTCAAGGACTGTTTGAATGTTGGTCATCAAATTCTAAAATATATTCGCAGAAAAAAATCCTGAAAATTACTTTTTTTGTTCTTAGCACCATAAAGATCATGCAATATTTTGCCATATTTACTTACATGAATGACTTGAGGAAACAATGTTATATTCATTTGCAATATAGACATGGTTCCAATCATAAACTAACTGAATGTCTAACATAGTCGTAATCTGACAGGAAACATCTAAGACTCAAACTTGAATTTTTTACTTCCTACATACCGGCATATGGTCGTGTAACCGATTTCTGTCATCATGCTTCAGTGTCTGAAACAAAGAGAAAGCTTAAAGCTTGAACTTCATTTAATCTCAATGCTTAGCTTCCACTGTTATATATTCCTTAGCATCATAACTAATATAAGACTTATTGTTTTTATTTTTCTAACTTATATGCAGACACATACCTCTAACAGAGCTGTCAGCAACAGCACCTTGACATCCTCATTCTCTGTATACGTTAACTTGGTGAAGATCCAGTTAAAGTATCTGAATTTTAAAACAGATAAAATAGAATCAACCACGCGGCTTTTTGGTTCCTATCTATGTTGTCCACTAAGTTTGATATTCAAGTCTAGTATACAATTGTTACACAATGCCTGAATTATTGTTCAAAGTGACTGTTGTACAGTTATGAAGAATATCTTATTACTCTAAACATGCGTGTATCTTCTAATCAACAAGTAATAACAAGATATGTTTACCTTGGGACATCTAGACCCATCACACTGCCTAAAACACCCATGCATTTTGCTGCTTCCTCTTTCACTTCTTTGTATGTCCTGCAATATTTACATTCATTCAAAATCATGCCAAAAAAAAAATTATCACCAAATACCAATAAGTGAATATTTACGATTGGACTTCAACACAAAACCATTTCAATAATCAAACAATTAACAAAGTACATTCACTGTTTACACTTTAATAAACTCCAAAACAAAAATCACCTAAACTTACTTTTCAGAGCATATTTCATAAAGGACCACAAGCAAGTTGTCCGACTGCCTTGTCACAATCTATATTTAGTAACGAATAGAAAAATGTTAAATTATATTTATAAATAGAATTATTAATAAAATAATGTTTTCTGTAGACATGTGTACACTGAATTTCAAGCACAATCACTGGATTGAATTTGAATCAAAATAAAACAACTGAATAATTTCAGTCCAAAATTTACATGCAAATACAATCTGAACAGATGAAAAAAAAAATTAATATTTGTCATTTTTTTGTAAAAATGAGAATATCCTTTAATCATTTTACCTTTCCACTTTCTGGCAAAAGTAAATAGTCCCATAACTGTTCAATGGCCTTTACCCTAGGATCTCTATCCACCTCTCTGTAAATTCTTCTTACTAACTTTGACAGTCGAGATTCATCTGAAAATCCTTTCAAATCTGAAAATAAAGATGGTAAGACGGTAGAAATATCAAATGCACAACAAGAATGCTGAGCAATTTAGCAGTCTCAATAAACATCTAAATATTAAATGTTGCTTTAAACAGCAAAATAACTTGCTATTTGGATTCTGCACCACAAATAAGATTTGTTATGAAATCAATTAAATGTTTATCATTCCACTTGAAATCTGTAAAGGAGAAATGGTTGTTCACTTATCTTGTAAGTCAGGAGTTGCAAAAATATTTCTCTTCTAATCTCGATCAGAAGATAAACATTTTATTGAGTTCATGACAATTGTAATTTGGGGTGCAGAATCCAAATGGCAATTTATTTTTATTTTTAAAGCAACATTATAGGCTTTGTGTCATTTTGTTTAGTGAGGCCAGCAATCTACTGATGAAAATTTTAGAAAACATTTTATCTGTCTATCAATAAATGAATCGAAACCTTGCATGTACAATCAAATTCAATGATATCTATAAACTGACAAATAAATCTTAACTATACAAACATATAGTGTGCATATGTATATGTAAAACTTGCAGAATATACTAACAGTAAAGGGAAAACTGAAAATATACATGGTGTGTATGCAGTCAAAGTTTATTTTTCATTTTCAGTTTCATCAGTGTTTGTCTGGTCTGCAGTGGGATGCTCAAACAAATCTATTAAAAACATGTTTAGGTGCAAGAAATACCTGGTGGCCTTTTCATATCGGAATTCACATACTCTTGGGAAAACCCCTGATAGCCATATTTGTTCAGCGTTTCACTAGAGTAGGACTTTGACTCAGTTCCTTCGGCTCTAGCACCAGTCTTTTTTCCACCACTTCTGTCTCGTCCATCTTGTACATCATTTCGTCTGGGTCTACTGTTGGCTTTTGAATCTCTTGCATTTCTGTAGCCTTCTTTCGATCCGACTGCCAGTGACGACGGTGTTTTGCCCCCCGTTTCTGTTTCACTTTCTTTGACGTCGCCTCTGACTCTTTTCTCAGGAGATCTTGATGTTGAAGCCTGAAAGATTCTTTCGGGCCGTCTAGATCGACCTCCTGTCGATCTTTGGCTCATAACCTAGTGTAAATACCATAAATAACAAAATATTTTAGCTCTCACATATTTGGCATCAAGCGCCATAATCCAGGGCAAACTGTTTCGCAGAAGATATTTTAATTATAAGTTGAAAACCAAAAAATCTTAAGATGCTTCATCGTATTACAATTGTTTGTGGTTATTTTGTTTATCTAAATTTTCCTTTGTTTTTCTTCTTTTTTAGATGTTTATTAGTAGGGTTTTCGACAATTTTTTTCAGGAAAACAAAATGCGGTCTAGTTTCCGGTTTAAATTGTACTTCCGTTTGGATCAAGCATGGTCGAGAGAGGATTCTTTTTGTGCACTGTTTCAAATGCACACAACCTTATCGCGGTGACTAGGACCGCATCAGATTCAGATAATGTAATTGTCTCGTTTAAGAATGAAGGTGTTGCGATTTATAAGGTGAGACAAACGGCCAAGAAAAAGTTTTTAATAATCTTAATGTATCCCACTGATCAAGTCCCTCTCTTTTTGAATGTGCTTAGGCTAAAGAGCCACTCCAAGGTTTATTTCTGCCAAAATAAATGTTTAGAGATTCTCTGACCTGTAAAGCTTGTTGTATTTCCCAATTGAAACTGTAAAGACAATAAAACTCTTTATTTTAGATGGAAGTTAAAGTTTATCTGAAGCGTACCTTGTGTTAAATTTTTTATCTAAAGAGTTAAAAGACTACTGCAGTACACGGCTACTAAGCATCCTTGGCTAATAGCCCTTGCTAGCTTGCAACGTCTGTATTATACATGGCGCAGTGCCGCAATACAAAATACCCCAACTTTTTCTTTTGTGAAAACAAGGCAATGCGTGTGACTGCAGATACTGTTTTATTTGACTGGCTAGTCATTTAAACCTAAACTATTAAATTAAAAGTGGAATGAAACATCAAATGCTAGTGCAGGGATGAGTCAAGCAATAATTTGGAAGCATTCATTCCTGTGGAGTGGCTCTCAAACCTTTTACTTTGCACTTTTCTTCAGCTTTCTTTTGAAAAAATCTTTATATAAGTATGTACACTCTTGTTTTACTTTACAACATTTGGTTATTTCATGTGTATTGAACAATTGTTAAAGCCCTTCACATCATTATCATTATTGTCCCAAAGATTATAGACCACTTTTTTACTCATGTCTTATTTTAGATATCAGACCAGAAGGCTATATTGACATGGTCCACAAAGAAAGGACAGGAAATAACTAGCCCTACACATTACATGGGGGATGGAAGAACACTTATTACCGTGTTTAACAAACAGGTACCACCAATGGGAATGTATTGTACATAGAAAAAATTATGTACTGAAAAGAGGCTCATTGCACGCAAAATACACTAATGCCCCAGTGCACTTTTCATATAGCTTTAAACAGTGTACATTTTAACTTGGATGTTTTAAAATTAGTCAGTCAATTCATGTAATATCGTCACCATATATTTTACCAGTGATCCCTATGTTTTAATTTCTAATCCATCTGAAGCAGTGTCCCAGGTATAACCTGCCTATCAGTTCCATAATTTGGGTTAATGTTATATTTGTATATTCTGCATTGTGTTTATTTGAAAGAATTTTTAGAAAACTGGTTTTCACCTCATCTTAGTATTGTAAAGCAGGATCAACCGATTCAGTCACAGTGTATTACCATAAAATATTAATGTAGTCTTTTTCTTCTACACCAGTATATAAGAATCTGGAACCAAGAGGATGCCCATATAGAACAGGGAAAGAAATATTCTGTTAGTATAAAGATGTATTTTGTAACATCTACAATTTGGTCAGAAATTTCAAAATCAGTATTGTATATTTTGAATAATATTTGCATGTTTTAAAATCTTATTGACAGTTATAGGTGATTTTTTTTTTTTTTTTTTTTTTTTTTTTTGCAAAAAGTTATTTCATATAGCACAGGTAAAATTCTCAGATGTATAATTGTAATGAACAAAAGCAAGTTGAAAATTGGACCTTTTGTGAATGTCAATTTGACATGAATTTTTTTCTTCTTCAGGGTAAAGGTTCAATTTACAAAACACTTTGTTTGCCCACTGTAGATGAACCTGTAATTGTATTTGAAAATGGTGCAGTGACCCAGCTCGCAGATTTAAAAGATCCTCCAGACCCTGTATTATATGATGATGAAAACATTTTATACTGCGATGGAGGTGGACATGATGGCAAAAGTTATGTGCTAGTTTTATCAAGAAGAGAAGTGTCAGGAAAGGTATTGAACTTTTTCAACCTGTCTCTGTATTTTGCTTATATATATCTGTAAGTTTAGGTGTAACTGTCTTTGTACAAATTTTGCTTTTTAACGGCAATTTACTAATGGCATAAAATTATTGATTTGACTGACTTTCTTCCATTTTAAATTTTAAGATGACTAGCTTTTAAAATTTTGAGGGTTTTTAGAAAGGAGAGAGTTATTAAATATTATATTTAACTATATATTTATTGCTATTGCAAGTCTTTTTCAGAATTGTATTGACTATTTAAAAGCTCTCAGCAGAGACGCCACATTTACTTTATAGAATACTACTTTACATATATATTTTAGTTTGTAATAAGGGCTCTAGTGCACTGGATTGCTGTGAATAGTGGCAGTAAAATGTCAGAAAGCCAACTTCAGTCAGAAGCTGGGGATCTGTTGAGCTTTTGTTTAATGGACAAGAAGTCACCACCTGAATTTCTTACATTATGTAAGTTACCTTTATGATATTTTTATTTGTTTTTTTAACCTAGGTTGTATGAAAGGGTGTATAATTTCAGTAAGTTGTAAAAAGCATCCATTACGTGATAATTACATAAACAGAAAAGGATACTAGCAAAATTGAGTCACTAAGAGCTTATAAATTAATCTTTTTCTTTATACCAAGTTGAAATAAATTCTTGAAGCTGCTCTCAATTACGTATGTATTACATCATGACGAATAAACCAAAATATTTTTTTCATGATAAAATGATTTAAAAGTATTTTACAATTCATTTGTTTTGAATAAAGGGTCTGATGGAAGTTTGAGGTCTACAAGGTTAACTGGCTCCTTAGACCACACTGTGAAACTCCACAACATACCCGATATAACCCCCAGCTCACGGATGTGCTCAGTTGGTGAGAACCATGTAGCAGTCTCAAGTTTAAAAGCTGGTGAAAATGGCGAAGGTGTGTAATTCAAGTTCACAGTCCCTGTGGATGTGTTTGAAAACAATAATTTGTTATGTATAATACAACATATGTACTTATTAAAAGCATAGAAAACAAAAACTAAATAAAATGAGCCATTAGACATGGGGTAGTTCTTTTTGTCAATGCTAAGGAGTATTAATATGCAGCATGATTTAATGTTTCTTACCACATGAAATGATTACTTTTTCAGAGAGGATAGGTTTATGGAATGTCAAGTTTGGCACCTTACATTCAACTCAAACTTTGCCAACTAAAATGGATGAAGATAAAAGGGTAAGACTGATATAATTTAGATTTAAATGTTTTATACCTACTTTTCTGGAAATGCTTTTAGCATATTTCTAAACATATGGAAGGAATAATTACCCTATCTTATATGCGCTTAAGCTTTCCTCAGTTAGTTAAAGAAGTGATCAGTACTACGATTATAAGTTACCATGAAACAAAAAGCATTCATGGACTGCAGAGATACGTCAATTTAAATAGACACATACATTTTCTACCATTTCAGATATTCTGTGCAGGCAGCCACATTTTTGCACTATGTGGCAAAAGTATATATGCATTTCCCTACACCTGCCCTTCTTCTGATCTGGCCACCTCACTGGGAAAATATACAACACTGAGGGATCTCAAGGAAACACTGGTTCCCAAGGGCACTGCCTGGGAGGGTAGGAATGTAGTGAGTAAATTATATTGTACATTAGTTCTTTTTTTTTTTAATCAGTTTATAACAAATCAAGGCTTGTTATGACTCTACGTATAATACTACTTTAGGATACAATTTGTTACCAGAATTTACACCTCAAATAATTGAAATATTTCTAGATGCATTGTACTTCTGGATTTTTTTTCAAACACAGTTTTAGTATTGCTGCTCAAAGTTTCATGTTGATTTTCATTATTTATATGGCACTTTTTACAGATTTTACAAGAAAGTCTAAACCAGAATGCTCTTAGTGTATTGGAACAACTTGTTGATGCAAAGAAGGTAAATTCTTAATTCTGTCCTGTTGTCCTGTCCAGCATCTTGAATATTTATTCTAGTCCTAGTAATAGTGTGAACAATTATTTCATATATTAACATCCACTAAAATAATTTCCTTAATGTTAATTGTACATTCATTCAAGATTTTTCCATACTTGATTTTTCATTCATTTTTACCTCCACATGGCATTTGATTTTTGATTAATTCATGTAAAATCATTTAATTTTTGATTATTGCATATAAAATCTTTGATGTAGCCATTGATGTTGGATTTCATTTGAGGTGTATCATTGAATTGTTCCCCTTTTCCAGACTCCAACAGCTAAAAGCTTCACATCGGCATTTAACACGTTGACGAAGAATACAAAGAAAAACCAATGGCAGGAACTTGCTTCTAGTTTGCAAATGTCCAAGCTCATTAAAAGGATATCAGAGGAGACCAGATTCTGGCCACAGCAAGAGATAAAGCAATTAGTATTGCTTGGAGCAGTGCCAAGTGGTCTGGTTTCCACACTTATTTCTGTTGTGGTGTCACACGAAGACTTATCAGTGTTATTGGATTGCCATAACCACCTGACAGATATTCCTGAACCAGCTATTGTACAATGTCTTAAATTTTATCTGAAGTGAGTCCTGAAATGAATGTCTTGTAATAAGTGGACCATTTTCTTTGTATTCACCTTGAATTGTATTTATAAATGTGTAGTGTGTTGGTGTTTTAAAGGAATATATACAAGAAAAGTAAAAGAAAGACTTGTTCAATGGGTTATTGAAACCATTATTAGGTTTAAATTATTGGTTGTAACCTAAGTTTCCATCAGAAGTTATATATTTGATTATTTCTAAGTTTTAGATATCCTGCTCACTCACTGTAAGTTATAATAGTCTTAAGGTCAGGAATGAAGGTGGTTAACATTTAATTCACTTTTACCCACTTGTTGTTTCATGACAGGTGAATGAATGCATTATCTTTCACAGGCAAGAAGAAGCTACGTTTTCCAGATGTACAAAACAGCTTCAGCAGCTGGGCTCCAGCAGTCTTATAGAGAACAACAGAAGTAATTTAGAACCCCCATTTGGGTCTGAAAAGGCAGCATTTATGTATCTTTTTACAAAGTGATGTCTGCACTTAAGTGCCTCAATTTACATACAATTAGGAAAGTTTATAGTTATCAAACCTGTGGAGAAAGTCAATGATATATGATTGCACCATTTAGGTGTATTGATTTTTGTTTGAATTTAACCTTGATACAAATTCAACAACACTTTATTAGAAATTGTGCATTTTTTACTTAAAAGTTTTTTTTTAAAAAAAAGCAGAAAACTGCTTATTTCAATATTTTAAACACTTTTCCTTAACAGAATTCAAGCAACTTGATCCTAACCTCTGTGTATAATGATGTGTTCATATTGGACAGCTTAAGGGCAATAGACTTTGACCAAGTGCTGGTAAGTATTTTATGACAGAAAATGGCTTGTCATCACCTTGTACAACTTTTTATGAAGTCTTACTCCATTTATTTTTATTGGTTCTGTTGATAAATTTTTTGTGCTATGTAAATTTATACATTTTACATGGACTTATATTGATTCAATTTAGTAAGTTGGTTTTTTAAGCAGTTTGTTTTGAGTACATATTTTCCTAGTTCTTTTGTCAGTTTAAGATATTTTGATTTGATTTTAATTATTTTCCAGTTACTGATGAAGTACCTTTTCTACCAGTTAAGCTCACTTTCAGCTGCCCTAGCCACCCACAAAAGTGGATCCAGGTGGCAACCATCATTGATGCAGGTATTTCTATCCTTTAAAGAATTCATATACTATGGAAAAGTAATTCAGCATAACTATCATTCTTTCCTTTGAAATCCCATTGCAAATTCCTCTATATATTCAAAACATTTTATGATATGGCTCAGTGAATTAAAAAATCATGAGCTAGTCTTGGGTTTACTATTGTTTGTTGCTCAGACTGTGATTCACAATTACTGGTATCTAAAACAACATGCTAATTGAGACATTATTTCCACACTCACAAATTAATGGTATTGTCGAGTAATCAACATTTGAAGTACCTTAATTAGATATATCATGTATATATCATTATATTATTAGGTGGTGGATTGGCTTAGCTTGCTATTGGATGCACATTGCCAACAACTGATTCTGTCACCAGATGCTAGAACATTGCTAGCTGATCTGCACCAAGTAGTAGAAAGCCAGGTATTGTAGAGTTTCACATCATGACATATCTATTATTAATTGTGAAGTATTTTAATTTAACAGAATTCAATGAAAACTATTTATATCAATATAAATTTCCAAGTATAGATGTTCTTCCCAGAGGAATAATAAGTGGGTATAGTGGGTATCTGAATATAAAATTGACTATTTCCTCTCTTATTACAGGTTCAGTTTTATGATGAGCTGGTGAGTCTAGAAGCTATATTATCACAGCTGAAGCAGAAATGCGGCCTGCCTAAAAAACAGTGTGTTGGACTCTACAGTATAGAAGTTCTTCATATATTATAGCTCCTCCCATACCTTAGGCACTGTAACAACTTTCAGTACAATGAACGATTAATGCATTTTTGAATGTTAAGTATTTTACTAAAAAGCTGAGGGGCTTTTGTCATCGACAGGTACACCTGTGCTGTAAACCGTGTGGTGTAAGGATTTGCGATGGATAAGGCGAATTAAAGATTGATACATAGTAATCCTAAAGGTTATGCCAAGTGTTTGTAATGAAATGGATACAAAAAATAACCAAATGTTGAATAAAAATTTCATTTTAATAGTATGAATTTAAACGAAAGATTTTCTTTAATGATGTTTTCTTAATATCCAACATTGATCAATACATTTTTGATTGTTTGAAAAATACATTCTCCGTTTTAACAATCATCGAAAACCTTTTTTTTTGTATTTTTTTACAATAATAAATGCAACAGTTTCTTTATCACGGTTCTTGAACAGTTTCTATGAATGCTTTTATGCTTCAAAGAAAAGATAATGACACTCCCAATAATGTCATGGGAAATGTCAAAAACGATTGAAGGATGATATAAAGTTAATAACAAGGCCAATCCCATAGTTTTAGTCTGGTTCAAAAACTGCTTATCAAACTAAGAAAGAAAATCATGTGTTACCTAGGATTGATACCAAATTCTACTATGGTTTTGGGGACAATTGATTATACTCAACTGCGTTCAATCAAACCCTATTCAAACTTAAGAGGCCTTCATACACTCAAAACTACACTTTGATCTCAGAATTGAATATTCCTCACATAAAACATTGATTAAAATATAAATTCAATACACTTAAACATTTTCTCTGTTGGGAACAATTTGTGTCATGCATTTCTCTATTTCAAGGGCCTTTACAGTACGCACCAATTCAATAACCACCTTCCATATAACCTTAACAACCTGCTTAAATGGTTAAATACCACAATAAAGCAGCAATGGTTTCAATGAAATGCCCTTCTTTTAATGTGCTGTTTTTGGTTTTACTATTTACAAACATGACACATTGCCATAAGTTTCAGGGCCATTTTTCTCAACAGTTTTCAGTGTAAGTGTGTCTCCAATCTAGTTCAGTGGAGTATTGTTCTGAAGAAAACTAATACTTTTCAAGAATGAAACCCTTATTATAATTCTCTTGGAAGTTGGTTTCTGTGACTTACTTATTTGGCTGACAGTCTCATAGCTAACAGAAACTAAAGCCTGTTTTAATATGACTCTCCAGTGCACTGAATGTATTTTGTACATTCTCCTTTTTGTTAATATTACAATGAATTGAACATCAGTCTTTTTGTATATACTCCTCTGTAATGAGTACTTGATGTTTTTCAGTTATCAATCTTTCTTCCACCCAGAACATCTCCCAAAATACTTAATATAACTTCCGTATAAAACTTTGGATGATGTCATCATCAACAAGACCCATGAACTTATCAACAGATTGGCCATTCTTAATGGCAACAACTGTGGGGACTGCAGTCACCTGAAACAGCACAACAGAAAATCATACGTGAGAAACGTTAAACAGCTGTTCACTAAGAAAACTGACGATTTCATTTTATGCATTTGCAAATTTCATCCCAATACAGACCACTTTATTGACTCGTTTCAATTCTTTTTTTTTTTTCAGAAATACACGTTTCACTTGCACCCCCCCCCCCCCTCCTTGACCAAAACATTTCATAGCTTTTCATTGTTTTCCCCCTTATTTCAACATTTCTACAAATAAAAGATGATTTTGTTTAAGTTAAAGTGTGGTTTTTTCAAATTAGCAGACTCTAAATATTTTTATCAACAAGCCCCAGGACTTAACATTTCCTTTATTTGCAAATTCTCATGACTAAAGCAGAGCAGACAGTAAAATAGTCTTTATATGCAATACTGTACAATACATACCCCATAATTAATTGCTATGTCCGACATTTCATCAATGTCAACCTTTGCAAGAAGAACTTTGCCCTCTTCTGCTGCCACCAAGGATTCTAACCTGGGTGCTAGAAGCTTGCACGGCCCACACCACCTGGAAATAGGTTTTTCACAGTGGAGAACAGTTCCACGAATCACTCTGTGGCCCTGGTTGAGGGTAGGTGTGCACCACAAGTCACATAATAGGGCATATATTCACTACTATGAAAAATATGGTACAAATGTTGTTGTTGGTAAAAAATAACAGCACTCAGTATATAATAAACCCATGAAATCACATCTTAAGAAGCCTTTGCACAGACCACAAGCATAACTCAGACAATTCAATTTTAACTGATAAAACCAATTACAACAAAGTATTTCTTTAACAATATGAAAAATAAATAAATTTATATCTCACTAACTGCAAAGTTATGATATTCACAAAATGATCATTTCTTTTATTCACATAACATCAATTAAATATCCTGATTATTCATACAATGCATTTTCAATGTTAAAAATAAATCCTCTCTTTAAAGTGAAATGATAATCAGACAAACACACTTACCCAGCATGAAAATCTACAATCACAGGCAATTTTTCAGATTTTTTAAGAACATCCTGTTTAAAATGTTCATCATCCTGAATATTGATCATGTACTCTTTGCCTGATTTTGGCATGGACGTTGATATGGTTGCAATCTGTGTTCTACATGTAGTAGTTTGTTTTGTCAGCAGAGAGCCATTGTTTTGTGCAGTACGAGTGGTGGCTATGTACAGTCTTGAGCAGAGGCTTTGTCTCAGTCCAGGGCATTGCCTGAGGAAAGACCTAAATGCCATCCCTGAAAACGAAAAATGAATTTTGTTACATTGTGGGGGCTTACAGTTGTATGCAATGAAAAAATCAGACCTCAAAATAAAAGTTGCACTCGAATGACGTCATGTTCCAATACCAATGTTGTTTTCAAAGATTTTATACACAGATGCAGTTAAAGTCTGAACAAATTTGTCTGATTAAATGATTATGTCACAGTCACTATCAATATTGTTTGCCCAAAAGCTGTCAGGCTGTTTTTGTTATACTTCAAATTTATTGCATTATTTGATTTCATATCAGTACAAGCCAAGCACAAAAATCAAGCACTATTGGCTAATTTCTTCAAATGTTCTCCCATTTTTATTTTTGCATGTATTTCAATCTGTACCTTTTGCCCAATATAATCATCTTTTACTGGTACTTATGTTTTAGTTGTAAAAAAAAGCCTCAACATGAATTACATAATAAGGTGCTAATATTTCTGTGTTTTTGTTCTGTTTGTTTATTCTGTAGCTGTGACCTACATGTAGTTGTGGCATCCTAGCTAGCTTATCTGACACTAACAATGCACACGTATAGCGAGGTTTAACTTCATTTCGAATGCATGGCCATTTTGAAATTATGTAGTCTTACAGGTGCCATACTCAATTTATTGAATCACGCTTTTTTTAGTCGTATACTATCTATATATGCCGTGCAAGGTGATTTTGGGATCTAGATTCCTTCTGTCTGTTGAACTTTACTTGACCCTCGACTTCTCAGGCTCTCGTCTGGTATCTGTACATTGCAAAAAAAATAGTATTCTACTGTTCTAGACTTATGTGCGTGAGTAATAGTTTCTGCTCAACTACTCTTGGAAGATCATGCTTACCTGTTGTGTAAGGTGACGAAATAATATCAAAACATTTACACGTGAAGTTTAGGCACAGTTACCCCTGCGCAGGACGTCATCAATTTATGACGTACGTCATCAAAATCGGGCACCTGCCCTTTCCGCGAAGCAAAATTCTCCTTAGCAACTAAGAAGGTTTGGACATGGCTGCCATGTGAAAGCTGTTGCTCTGCATATTGGATATATATGTAAGAAATGTGTTTTATTCCGACCATTTGATACTCACAAGTTACTAAAGACTATAAGTTTTATAATATGACGTTTTTCTAGAAAACTGAAAACATTCGTATAGCAGCCTTAATATTAGATTTGTTTATTTGAACTATTCCTTTGCAAAATGCAGAGGTTTTACAAACGTCCTATAATTATTTATAGTGGTTGTAGTACTTTAGGTAAGTATCATAGATTCAATAATATGTATTCCAACTTCAGATGGGTTTAGTCCTTTTCCACAATCCTGGATGCTGAAGTAGTGATGGCAAGATAAACATATGGAAATTTTATCAAACACTATGTACATGAGTATTGAATTTAATGTTTATATTAATTTCAGATTATTTTCCAGAAGTAAATTAGCTACTATGGCAGCCACTAGTGCCCAGACAAAGCCAGCAGCAGGAAGGTCATGGCTTGACTTCCGTAGTAAAAAAACAGAAGCAAATCCCAAAAACACACTTTTTGGAAGTGTTTTGGAGCGCCAGGATAAAGAGTCTCTGCAGCAGTTGGAAAAAATAGACGTCAAAGCATATGAACAACAAGAGCTTCAAAAGAAAGAACAGCAGAGGAGAAGGGCAAGAGCCCAGCCTGAGCTGCCAGAACACTTAAAGAAAAACCTTCCAGGTACATTTTTGATACTTCAAAAAATTTTTATATATCCTGTTTTTTTTTTTTTTTTTTTTTTTTTTTTTTTTTACACAAATGCTGTAAAGTGGATATTGGATGACATGTTGAACTAAATGAGTATTGACAGTGATTACGTGATTAAAGATGTTGAATTTTTTTTCTGAATTGTATTTTTTTCCTTCACAGGTGATGAGGTTTTGCTGCATACTAAAGATGAGCTGAAAACTCAGAAAACAAGAGCAGAACGACTTAATGAGGTAATGGACACCAACTCCCAGAAGGCTCTTAACTTCGAAGTGAGAAAGTCAAATGTCCGTTCACCCTTCTCTGAGACATCTTCAAAACCTCATCACTGGATCAAGGAGGAGGACATCCAACATGCTGCCGAGATAAACAGGGTTGGCTTGGGAAGTACTAGGGCCTACAACAGAGATAAACATGGTGATAAAGGACCTGCCCATAGATATGCACTAATTGGAGATCCACTCAGGAAAGATATGGATTTCAATGAGGATGTTTATGGAGAAAGGGCTTCTACAGCTTTTATCGAGACAACCGCAGAAAGACTAGGTTTTCCTTCATTTAAGCTGCAGAAAACAAAGAAAGATGTGTCAAAAGAGGCCAACAAGTATGATCTGCCACAGAACATCAGGCATCAGTTTGGGTCCAAAGAGGTTGACAGACTACTCGCAGATCAAGCACTTGTTAAAAGGACCCTAGAAGAGCAGGAGCTGCAGAGGAAACATCTTGCCCGTGCCAGATCTGATCTCACCGGAGCATCACTAAAGTACGGGCCTATAGATCCTGCCTATGAGAGCCTGAGTAATTCCGTACGCCAGAATATCTGCCCAGGCTACACTTTCCCACGCTTCAACATCAGCCACAACAAAGAAATGTACAATGATAATATCTTCAAAACAAGATACAGCGACCCTGATGAGTATAGAATGCAGAAGGATGAACTAGGTAAGCTAATAATGTTTAATAGATATTTTCTGGATATTGACTGTATTTAGATAAATACTATTGATTTTTGAAGTTATTGAAAACAGCAAGATTTTTCAACATATTCTAAATGAATGAAAATTGAAACTTTTATGTTTTTAATTGAATAACATTCAGATTGATGAAATCTGTATGAGTTTCTATATGGAATGAGAGAGTTCCTCCAAGACAAGCATTTAAGAGGTTTTAATGTTATCAAAAATTATAGTCTTTTAGGTTTTTGTACTTAGACAAGTACTGGTACATTTTTGTCAGAAGATATGTTATTCAGTATGGTTGTTTGTTTTTGCTGTGACATTAAACTAATTTGCATTTGGTTTTATGTAGGTAGATATAGAGAATATACTTGTGGAAAGGCAAGATCATTTATTAAGATACTGAGTGAAGTTTATTTTTCTTACAGGAAGATGGGCTGAATATAATGTCATAAGAGAGAAGATGAAAAAGGCATATGATCAGTACCTGCATGAAATTCTGGCATCCAAGCAAACTACAGAGTGATTGACTTAGTAATGATCAGGGTGCAATTTTTTTTTCACCACTCACCAAGTGAAGGTTAGCTATAGTTAATCCAAAAAAAAGGATAGGCCAAACTTGGTGAGTGGATCTTTTAAAGCACTGGCTGCACCAAAATGACCCAGCATGGTCAAGTTGGTGTGTGCTTTGTCTGCACCCTGATGATAAGTACCTTTTTTCTAAGGACTTTTTCCCATCCTATATTATTACTCAGGATATGAACTGATACATGTACATAGTCATAGCCACACTCTGATGTACATACCTGCCTTGACCTGACCAGTGTGATGTGACTGTGTGTCCTTTGTGATATAATCTCCGTGTGATGTGATGGGACACTCATGTTACTTGCCGTGCTGTTTTTACTAGGTAGATGGTCAGAGTTCAGTGTTTTGCACGAAAAGATGAAGAGGAAATATGACCAGTACTTAGCTTCACTTCCCAAAGCAGAGCGTAACTGGGACAAGGATGCCAAGAGACCACCTAAGCCACCTGATCCAAAACCACCAAAACAAAAGCCTAAGCCAAAACCTCCCAAGCAAGCCAAAGGAGACATGGTTGTTGAGGATGTTGAGTTTCGTACTCCACCATTGACTCCTCCTCCTGAAAAGAAGGCCGATATTCAACCATTACCAACTGTCACAAGAGATGATGAATTCTGGGACTTTTTTGACCAACCTGTTCCAAAATTACCTTAATGCTGGTCCCTCCTTGTTGTATTTTATTTAATTTCATTGTGTTTGGTGAGCAAATTTTACATTTCAAACCAGTTATTTAAAGAATATTTTTAATCAAACATAGTGAAATTATGTATTTTAACTTCAAGGAGATGCTCACTTTATTTTGGGTCACATGCAATTCCTTTGGTGCTTTTACAGTACATTACTGAACTTTGTCGTATGGCAGATTGATTGTTAAAATCTCTACATTAAGGTGCCTCTTAATTATGTGGTATGCTTGGTGATTCAGGTTGGAGATTTAACATTTGTGGTAGCATACATTGTCAAAATTGTGATATTAAAAATCTTGATTATTTTACGTTTCAATGAATTTTAAGCATTGCTTCCTGTTTTATTCCCAAACTTTACACTTTCTCTGATGTTAAAAAAAATATATATGTATATTTCAAATACCATGCAGGGTTGTTTACACCGGTCTTCTGATTATATATTTATATATGTTTAAGAAATGCCATATCTTGAATAAATATAGTAAATACTGAAACTGATTCAAAGCTTAACATTATTACATTATTCTCCCAGATCTTGAATAAAACTGAAATACTAGCGGTTAAATATGCAATGACATAATTAGCCTTCTTTGAGGATCTCATGATATCTTCATCTTATTCTACATATTTTGGATATTTTCATTTGGCAGTAGTCAGAAAAAGTTTCACAGAATGCTGAATTTGTGTTACGTATCATGGGAAGAAAAATAACAAAATATTCGTAAAAGAGAGTCTAGTGTATTCTAGCATTTGCACGTTTCCCAATTGCATTCAATATACACCCGGCTACGTGCCTGCGTATGTTTCAGGGGCGGATTCAGAGTTATTTCCTGACAGTATTCCACATTATCTTTGTTGATCTGTTCTTCATTTTTGACCGTCTTCCGACAGAAAAAATTAGATACCCGCCAATGTAAACTTGAAAATCTGACCGTCTTCCGGAAGACCCAGAAGACGCCCTAAATCCGCCCCAGTTTTATATATAAATAATTGCATAAAAGCTTGATATGTGCCTTTTAATCACAGCGTACATAGTCATACAAAATGATTGGATCAAATTTGCACTATTCACTATTTGTCGAAATAGGATTTTATAGAAATTTGGCACGCATGTGCATATTGGACACATCTGTGAACTAGTCACTAGTTAATCAAATTTCTTTCTTGACATTGAAAATAGTGGGTGGTCTTATAACAAACATATAACCTTATACATGTATATACATGTATATCTACATGTATAGCTTTACTCTACACAGCATAAATCAATAATCGTGGAATTACTTTCCTCTTTTAAAAATGATAAGCACTATGAAATAATGTTTGGGAATTGTGCTTGTGTTCTTGCTTTTATGGCTAATGCTGCATTTGTTCTTTCCAGCCTTAGCGTTCCTAAACATGACAGACAAACACAGTCACATTGTTATGAAATCAGTATTTTGATCTATGGAAAAAAAGACAAAAAGAATCGAAAAAACCTAGGCTATCTGAAAAACAAGATTTTCAAGTCAAAAGGAAATAAGGTATAGAAGTGTTACATTGACAGGTTGATGCATTTCTTCTGGCGTTAAATTATTATTTTGAATTTTATTTATAGCCTTTTGACTGTTATATTTGCTCTTTTAATCTTGGAATTATATACAAACGACTCATTTTATAAACCTTCAAGTCAATTAATGCCAGCTAGTTCTTACTTAAAATTCTTTTATTATTAAATATTTCATTCCAGATTTCTATCAATTATCATTAGATATAAAGTTGAGTTTGCATATCTCCGAAAAATAGGTCTTATCTGTTCTAATCTTTCAGATAGAGGCTGGCAATCGAACTGCCAAACTTGATTAATGTCACCAAAATCACTTTTGCCCTGATAACCCAGTTGGGCCAGGTAGTCTAATATCTGGTTAAAAATCACCCGAAATTCAGCGCTTTGGCTCCCAGCCACCGTGCGTAGGTCCTGTCCAAAGGGTTACCAAAACAAAAGGACAAATAGCGCATTCCAGCCTTAAGTTTTTACCCATTATATTTGTATTGACAAGCCGTATTTATGCAACACGGATTACTATTGAGATTTTTTTATTTCATCTCTGTGTATACTCTGTTTGTTTCACACCTCGCTGAATGTAATAGCTGGTAACTTATAGGTTTTTATTCAAAGTTCATTTGTGAGAGTTTATTCAATTAACCTGTTTTGGTTTTATTGAACGTGCCATGCCTGATTAAGCACGTCAATAAATTGGAGTTTGATTAAGAAGAAGCTATAGCATTTTTATGCGTCTGTAATAAGAAATGGTTGCTTACCTTTTAACAAGATTAAAAGAGATATTACCTAAGTAGGCTCTCTAGAAAACTCCTGATATTTACTTAAGGTGTATTTCATGAGTGTTTTTCATCAACTAAATAACAGACAATCGGCACCATCAATTTTAACGCTTCATAGTGAAGTATTCCCATCTGTAATCATCGATGATTCAAAAGCTATCTGAATCAATAACGGATTGAACCAAGCAAAAAGGCGGACCGGAGGCGAAATCTTTAATCCCTTTTCGATAGCTTCAAAGTCAACTCAGATCAAATATGATGCGGTTTATTTCGGTGCGCTTGAGAAAGTATTTATTTGGTGAAATTCTTCGCATGTGTTTTATGGATCATTTGCACGCGTCTCAGGATCAAATATAAGACTCCAACACTATTGATAAAATTTGCTTTGATCATTAGCTTTACTGACATATAATTAGAAATGACTTTTCTGTTGCTTATTCTATAAACACCAAGGGATTAAATGTTTGAGAAGTCTTTCGTGTCTTCAAACACTATTAAAAACACGTAGTTCTTTCGCTTAAAGCAGTCTTTCGTTAAGAGAAAAATAAAGGACCACTTTTTACTTACATGTATACTTGAAAAATTACCTTTTGAGATTCACGTCACTTTTCTATTAAATTTTAATTAAATGTCATCTATTTATTGCTAAAACTATTATTGCTAAATATCAAAGTAAAACACCGAAACACCTTGAAAAATTAAATATAACACATTTGTAAAGATTTTCATTGCTTTTGTTATTGCAAGGACTACAAAAGGTTGTGCATTTCGTGTCTTGATCCATTTTTGAAAAGCAATCCACATTCATGTACAGATATACCTTTTATATTGTTCATAATACATTGTCAGTTATACATTCATTTCTAATTTGGTAAAGGAGATAACCAAACTCAGACAGCATTACCATAAACTAAGTAAGACCTCAGAATAACAAATGCTGATCTATTAAACAAAAAACTTACAGCGAAATGTAGTTCGAATAAGGTACATGGGTATAATAAGGATGTCTAAATCACCATCCCCGTCATGAAAATATTTGATCCAAAATTTCAAAAGCCAAATGTAAAAGGCCCGACATTGGTGGCAAGTTTTATGAAATATACTTGTACATATGAGTTCTATGTATTATAAAGACGGCCACCAGGAGGCACAAACACACTACATAAATAGTACTACATGAAATACATATGACAAAAACTGTGAATAAAAAAAAACGAGTTCAAAATCTTATTGGTTGATAGGTCTTTTTTCACACATGTGGGGCGAACCTCTCTCAACCTCCTTTACCTCTTGCAATCATTTGTAACTAGCTGTCCTTCCCTCAAGATAATGGCAGGCGAATTTCAAACCCGTCGGTAAATATGAGTCCCAATGTTGTTTTTGGATTTTCTAAAGATGCGCCATTAATTGCTTGACTGCATCATATTAAATACGACTTTAAAAGAGTGGCAAAAACTATTATTTTTCCATTTGATGAAACCATAAAAATCTCAAATCCAAGCCTATGATGGTAACTTTTAGGAAAGCAGAATAGCACACTACGATAATACATATTTCAAGTACTATTATGTGTGGCAAATTGTGCCATTTTAACCTTGGTCTGATCAAAAAGAATTACAGACTGTGATGAATACAGACTATTTAAACGAAAAAAAAAAAAACACCCTACGGCTATGTGTCACGTTTTAATAGAAATTCATTTCTAAAAAAAAAACTACAGACGATGCTAATCGAGCACAATTCTTATATAATTGATTTAATTTGTCATTTCAAATAGAGGATACCTGATTGAAATTATTGAGCAAATTATCAGTGTGATATGTCAAAATAAAAATGCGCATGAAATTGCAAAGTTTACGTAAACGATATTGGTTATCCAATATCACACGAGAGATAAATTCAGGTAAATGCTTCGTGAATGATATCATTATGGCAGTACAGTTTACAAACTGTGTCATTTATATAGCGCATTTATATGAAGTATTTCCAGTTATACTTTTTCTTACCGGATCTTTGTTATTTGTCTTCAGTTTGTCTTCATGCCACGTGATTAGTGAACGTTTGGCCGTTGTGAAATATATGGCATGGATCTTTCAATCTTTTCATGCTTTCGCTTATCTTTTTTGTAAGTCAATATCATAATACTAGCACCAGAAAAAATGAAAAAAAAAAACATGCTTCAGCTCTCCCTGTTTGAAAACGTGCCGTTCACTGTAGTGACATAGTAGATATGTCCTTTCTTTCTCACGTTTCATTCCCTTTGATGTAGCAATTTTGAAGTCCCTTCCAGACATCCGCTAAAATTTTGAGCGCCTGGTATAATGTTTGGTCTAGGTGACACTGGAGTCGGAGAAACCTTCTCTACTGTGTAATAGTCACTACGCAACTCACTCCCTGGGTCGTAATACGCATTTCCTGAAGCAAGTTCACCATTTCTAAAACTGATAGTGTATATCTCATCTTCTTCATCCCCGCGGACAAAATTGTTTCTCAGTGTTCTGGGCGTGTTACAAGGCGCCCTTTGAAATCTGTTGGCATTGTTGTTGTTGACGGAATCGAAACCGCCGTTCGCAGAATTTGGCTTGCTCCGAATGGGAGCGATCCTCATCTGCATGTTACCCGCAGCTGTGAAGCTCCTTGTGCACGGGCGCGGTCGAGGGGATCGTAGAAAATGCTTCTGCGCTTCGTTTAAAGATGGGGCTGGAAAATACCTCCCTGGCACCTGCCTGGCTTTCTTTAGCGAAGCCCTTGGGGGTAGCTCATCCACTGTACTGCTGCCAGTTTTTGTAGATGTGCTACTACTAGATTTTGAGGTCGAGGAAGTCGACGCATCATCTTTAGTGTGAAAAGCCGCCGCAATGGACGGCAAATACCGAATTTCTCCTGAATCGCTTTGGGGTGTAGATCCACTACCCTGGCCATGAGGAGATGACGTCGCTGCCACCGAGGTCGACTCTATTGCCAAACCGTCAAGCTGGCCATCAGTGTTGCCGCGGCTTAGAGCATGTTGAGATCGGGTTTTCGCACGGTTCAGATTGAAATTAAAGCCTCCGGCGTGACTACGTCGTTTCTTCGGTGACAGCCCACTTATCGTGGGCACCGGCCCATTGGGCGGTGACTTTGA